CTGTTCTTTGAAAACTATGTAAGTGTATGTGTGTCTCTGTGTGTGTCTCTGTGTGTCACTGCCAGAGCCATGAAAATTCATTCTTTTATATACATCAGAAATCCAGACCCAGTTGTGATTGGGTAAATATCATCTGTATCATCTCCTGGCTGGCTCGCCAAATATGTTGCTTGGTTAATTCAACACTCTCCTACGAGGTCTTTACGTGAATTAACTTATCTGCCTTCAGCCTCCTTAAACTTCCTGAGGTTTCCTAGTCTGATCATTTCTCTGTAGACTGAAAGTTTAACCAAATCTTGCTGGTCAGACATCAACATAAGCAAAAATCTTTTGGATACTTTAATTCTAAGAGAAATAACAGACTATTTCTGATGCAACATCAGGAGAATCTCAGTGCTAACCAGCTTTTGCAACACAGTGTCACAGTGCCAGACTTGTAACAGTTCAAGTCCTGCTGCATAAACCCCAGTGATGCAAATCGGAGTAAATGTGTAGCTTTCTGTATGTTTGTATCTTGTGAGTTTTCATTGGAGTAACTACACATCATCTGCATAAAGACTGACTAATGATATCTGTGAGGTCATTTAACAATTTTTAGTGTTATATATATTAATCTACCACAAGAAAACTGTCATCTAAAAGTCTTCTAAGGTGAATTATTCTCAGGGAAAATGTGAAAGAAAGCAGTAAATCAGTAGACTCTTCTTCATCTAACAACTCTCACTAGCTTTACTATTTATAATAAATGTGAAGCAGGAAGAATGGCCACTTAAAATGCACGAGTTAAATTTGCCTCACTTTCAAATGAACTGTGAAGTCATGCATAATTTGCGTCATTACGGTTTGATAATTAAAGCTACACACAAAAGGCCCAATCAGCCGCAGAAGGTTTTCCTTTTTTTCAAGGATTTCCTCTTTGTCTCAGAGAATTACAAAGAACAAACCTCAATCAGAAAGTGCACGTTGATGGAGTCCTTTACGGTAGATAAGATATTGTAAAAAAAAACGCAGACTATAAAATGTGGAATGCCTCCAAACATGACTGCACAGACGGGTCTTTATGGTCCTATTTTTGACTGTTATCATCAACCCTTCATTCCATCATGGCAATTACACATGCAGCTCATTGTTGTGTTTCCTCTTTGTCCATGAAGGGAGAGCATTCATATTCATCAAGCCCATCCCCGGCCCAGTACACACAAACACTTGTACTGTCTCTGTGCCTTTGTTTCCAGCACTGGGGGATTCCATTAGAGTCATTTTGGATGCTGCTGAGTGCTAATGGAGCTCTTCTGGGACAAACACAGAGGAACAGGGCCGAGGAGGTGAAAAATGACCATTTGTTGTGCAGATTTGGAGTGTGCATTTTAGTTGGTGTTTGTGCCGCTAAGTATACTTAAACTGAAAAAAAAAAGAAACCTCCAAATCAACAGATGAACCTTGACTGATTTAATGTGCAATCTCTCATTGTGTACATATTAATTCTAATGGCCATGCCAGCAGAGACAGCTACATTTCTGTGACTGTTGAGACCTGGACTTTCTATTTTTATCCTCTTAATGGATATTTTGGTCTTAAAATCAGCTCTAGCCCATCACCCGATGCCAAAATATTCAACAAAATAAATCACACATGCTTTTTTTGTCATTTTAAGAACAAAAGCATGAGTATTAGAAAGGGCTACTCTTAGGATAGTTGCCCACAAAACTTTGATCACATATTAATAAGGCTGATAAGGCTGTCAGCCTAAATGCAATATGGTTCAGGCATGAAATTAACAGAGTACTTTCTTGTTTCTTTAGGCACACCATAGTCAAGCCAGCACTCATGCTGCCCCTGTGATAGAAAACAACACCACCACTGCACTTTTGAATGACACATTTCACAGTACAGAGTCCAAGACTGCTCAGCTGAGAAGTCAAAAGAAGTAAGCACTTCTTTTGAAAAGAATTGAAATATTAACAAAGTACCTTGAGTTTGAGCCACAGCCTACAGGACAAACACACAGATGCAGCTAATCAGACTGATGTCAGAAAACCACAACACTAAAGCTGGGAGAGGACCAGTGATGGTCATATTTTCAGTCCAGCTGGTATAGCAGAGCAGCATTGATTTATCAGTTATTAACATTAAAACTAAATGTTGTGATTATGAAGCACATTACATTGTATTTATTTGATTCACAAATCAAAACACTTTTTAGATCACTAATGTCAACAAAAAAATGTTTAGAAATCATTAATATCATTAATCATGATAGGGGCCCTGATAAGAACATTTTCTCTTTTGAATTCAATTCTTTAGATATTTAATGTTTATCTGTAAAAGAACAAGTTGGTAACAAGAAACCTGGTGCCATGCAGCATTTATGACTAAAGTACATTGACAACAATTTTCCCTAGATGAATATTTAAAACATAAAAATAACAGCAACAAATAAGTGACAGAAAAAGCATCAACAATAAAATGGATAAAACAATACAAGACTGAAACTATCCTTCAGTAAAACCCTGTTTAACAGACAGATCAGTCATTACTACATGATGATCGGTCATTGAGCAGCTGAACTCCAAAACTTGCAACCACTGAGGGTGCACACAGACAGTCTTTAGATTAGAGATATTTGATATTTCTTTCAAAGGACATGTGCGTGACTGTCTTGGGTACATGCTGAACTCCTGTGAAACACTTTTGTATTGAGGCAAAATTCATCACACAATCAGTTGTTCATTTTTGGTACTGATCTAGCCTGAAATATCTATAATTAGTACTGAGTTTTTGCTTCTCTTTTATTTAGCTTCTATGAATTATTCATGTGCTGGTGGGAACTGTCAATATATTGAGGTTGAGAATGTGTATTATCAGGAAATCATTACAGTGATACGAGCTAAAAAACACACTGACATGTCGATGTTTGAGCCTTGGATCATTTTTGGGTAACAGCCTCATAATTGGGGAGAATCTTGCTTCCCTTCCTTTTTCTACATCTTCTACTATGACTCATATCACATCTAATCCTGCTTCTTATACATTATATATTCAGCGCATATATTTTATTAAGTGGATGTGGGTCATACAGATATCTGCTATTCTAAGTTAGCCTGATAAAGAGCGAGGGGGATGGATGTGAAGCAGGATTTTTTTTTAAAACCCTCATTATTTGGATACATTTCAAAATAAGATATTTCTCTTGTGGGAAATGGATTTTTCCTTCTAGGTTTCTTTTCAGTTCCATGTCATTTTCCTCTGAAAAATCTCATTTTTATTTCTCGGAGTAACAAAGCTTGAAGGCAATAATACATTAATTCCCCCCGCAGCTATTTTCTCTGACCTCTATATAAACCACAGCACCATTTCTGTTCTAAACACCCCCAAAAAAGCCCTTCACCCATCACACACAGCTACTCTCAGCATGGCTACAGGGAGCAAAGCCTAAACTGTAAATAAAATCATAAATAAAAGCAAGCCAGCAGTTAAGGGGGGGTCATAAAATTGTTAAAAAGCAACAGAAAGTCAGGGTTGCACCAACATACTGGCTGAGTGTCAGTATCAGCTTATACTTGCTCTTTTGACAGATGTCGGCCTATCAGCGAATAGTCCTACATTCACTGATTTTGTAGCTGAAACATATCTGTTGCAGAACTTTAAATAATCGTGATCTAGTCAGCTTGATGTTTGAGCCCCTGACTGGTAAAGGTGGGACAAAAAATCGTTACAGCACAGTATCGCGATATTTTGTCTGCTGATATATCGTATCGTCTCATTTACCAAGTATTGATTTTTCACATTAGTTGCTAACATGAAGTCAAATCTATGATAATGGAAAAATAAAATCAACTGTTTGTCCAGTGAGGTTGGCAGAGGTGACATCACAGAGCAGGAGAAAGTCAGTACAACAAATATATACAGTACAGGCCAAAAGTTTGGACACACCTTCTCATTCACTGTCTTTTCTTTATTTTTTTATATGACTATTTACATTGTAGATTATTACTGAAGGCATTAAAACTATGAATGAACACATGTAGAATTTTGTACTTATAAAAAAAGTGTGAAATAACCGAAAACAAGTTTTATATTCTAGTTTCTTTAAAATAGCCACCCTTTGCTCTTGATGACAGAAGTACCTTGTCAGGGTTACTTCAGGCACTCCTGTGAAGTAAAAACCATTTCAGGTGACTACCTCATGAAGCTCATTGAGAGGACAGCTAAAGTTTGCAGCGCTTTCAAAAAAGCAAAGGGTGGCTACTTTGAGAAATCTAAAATATAAAACATGTTTTCAGTTATTTCACACTTTTTTCTTAAGCACATGATTCCACATATGTTCATTCATAGTTTTGAGAATTTACAATTTAAATAGTAATGAAAACAAAGAAAATGCATTGAATGAGAAGGTGTGTCCAAACTTTTGGCCTGTACTGTATAAGGTTTGCAAGATGTGCAACATGAAAATAAAATACAGTGTAAATAAGACAAACATAAAGGAAAGATAAATGCTAAATGAGCTAAACAGCTGAAAAAATTATATAAATCGCAATATATTATTGCAACACTTACTGTATTGCCAATTGTTAAAATCGCAACTATATCGTATTGTGGCCCAAGTATCGTGATAATATCATATCATGGGGGCACTAGTGATTCCTACCCCTACAGACCACTCTGATTTTAGTCTCTTAAATCAGGCGAAGATGAGGACTATTATTCATATTATATATATTCAACATATTTCTCCACATACTTGATGCATATTTGTGAGAGTTTAAAAGTCCTAATGAGACAACTGTCACATATCATGAGCTGGGGTAGAATATGTAAAATATCTGAGTGGTGGTGGGGGTTGCTGTGAGTCAATATTACTGATACAGGAGACTATTGGTACAGTCCGTCCTTGTGAATGTATATGTGCGACATGCAGAAACAATTTGACAGAGCACTGACTTACGTTCACTGATGTGGACACGTCTCTTGTGTCTGTCCACCCACTGTGTCGTCTCCGCTCAGCAGACCTGATGAGACAGACGGACGGAAAATAATTACAACCATGTATTTAATATGTTCACAGCTGAACAAGCTGAAGTTAGTTTGTGCAAGGAGACGGACTGAGGATAAAATCCGAGTAGACGACCCCTGTCAAATGTGCTCATTAGTCTTTGTTAGTCTGAAGGCAGGAAAGAAGAGGAAGATGTAATAGTCGCACACACATACACAAACATGCCTTAGGACCGTCTGCAGCACTGCTGTTTCTCCCACTGAGTGTTTGCACTTTCAAAGAGCACAGTTGTACGCCAGCCACTGCCCTTAGGATCAAACGATGCTCATTCTCTCTCTTTCTTTTTGTCCGTCTCGACTGTGCTGCTGCTGCTGCACAAAAACACGGAAACACACACTGTCTGCCTACAGCTCAGTGAAAAAGCCTCCATGGAAAAATAAAACACACACTTCATCTCCAATAAAGTCTGAGCTACAGGAACAAAAATGTCTCAGTCGATACAAAAACATCCGTTACTGTGAAAAACTACACACAAGAGTCTCTTAACCCAGTTACATGCTATTATGGACTCACTGTTTAAGATTTGACCAAGAAATAAAACGACATTTCTCCCAGCTGGGATGACAGAAGCTAATGCTCAAACCTACTACAAGAGGTGCTCTTTGTTGGGCTGAAATCTGAGCAGTATTGACAAATCAGGTTTGAGCAGGATTTGCAGTATGCAGGACAAAAATGCCTGAAGAACAACAAAAACAGAGCACACCTCCCCAGACATTTATAATGTGTTAGCTTTTCATTTATCAATAACAACAGAAATATGTGAGTGCATGACAAAATTGTAGACATGTATTTCTCATGCCACATTGCTATTGAGGCTTGGATTTCAGGTATCTGGATATAACTGCTAGATGTACCAGATGCCTTGAAATTATGATTCTTGGTCCCCAGAGGCTACACCAATAGCTCCCAAAATAAGTTTCCAAAGAATTACAACGATTTAAATCCAAGCAGCAGCCCTAGAGGTAAATGCTGATGTGTAGCGTAAAAGAACGGCTATCCACAAGTGTCCACTCTGGGCTGCCTACAAAAGCCAAAGAAAACCATCAGAGCCCACATCCAAATGCCCATTTTTACTGAAGAGTTATATATATACAGTCTGCAACAATAAATATTTTTGTTGATTTTTTCTTTGTCCGTATTTTGTTTCTTTCATTACAAAGTGCGAACGTCCCAGTCAATTAACTGAAATTTAAGGTAAATCCAACTCCCAACTAAACTGACCAGTCTAAAGGTAAGGAAACACTCAAGCACAGTACATTACACAGGGCTAAACTATGCTAGATTGATTTGTCGAATGTCGATAACATTAGCAGAGCTAGCACCACCAGCATTCAGTCCTCCTTGAAGTTTATTCCAACACAGTATCTTCTGTGCGTTCACTCTCTTACAGTGACCACAGTTGTTTACATGCAGAAAGTAGTCCTGCTGAGCTTCTACTGGTTATCTTTCAAACCTTCACAAACACACTCTGACTATGACAAGATGTTTTAGATGTTGCATGTAGCCACAGAGGGCTGTAGTGTTTATCTCAGTGTGATGCAGAATATAGCACAGCTTAGATGTAAATATGGTTGAAAGTCAGATAAATGTTGTATAGCCACACAGCGCATGAATATTTCAGAGAGCACCGCTTCTTTTATTATGTAATTCTGGATGATGTATGATTTTAAATGCATCTATAGGGGTATCAAACTGTGTAATTAAAAACTACCTCCGCATATTAAGACTAACACTATTATTACATTATAGTAATGTAATTGCTTTTACATCTTCTATGCCCCAATCTGATACTGAAACAGTTCCTCCAATATGTGTTTCGGAAATACATCCCCCTCAGACTACGGTATGGCACATATTGAACATCTGCAGGAGAAATGTTTAACTGGGTTAAGTGCATTGCCCAAGGGCACAGTAGTAGTATGCCCTACTTGAGGAGACTGTTCGTGAATCAGAATGCAGCTATATGTACTACTACCAACATACACAAACATGCAGAGTTCAGCAGTTACACTTATAGATGTATGATCTGATATTTCTGTGGTAAGAGATGTAGCTGTCCAATTATTAAGATTTATCAGATATGATGCATATTGTGGCAGGAAGCACAGGAGACATGAACAAGGCCTGGAGATGTAAAGATTGTCTGGTCTACTGTGCAGTTCTTTGTGCCATTTATACTATGAGACCCCCAAAATGTCCTGTTAAGTCTTAAAAAATAGGGCTGAGTACCATACATTAATAGATATGTGAAAACATTTCTGAGAATGATTTGATATTTATCGACAAATTAAGAAAAAGAAGTGTACTCAGAACTGAGCCTTGTGGAGCACCATGAGAAAATGAGCGCTGTGACTGATATGCTGACTCATCATACAGCTTCTTGACCAGGAAATCAGGGTTTGATTTGTTAAAAAAGGACTTTATAAGTTTTGCATGCACAAAAGACACGATAGGCATGATAAAAATATACTGACACAACACTAGTATGAAGGCAGAAACTCTGAATGAGGCGTGTATAAAATATTTTGTTCACAAGAGTAAATAATAAGCCTAAACTTTCCGTATTTGCCTCTATGTGGGTCATTGTGATTGACCAGTGGCTAAACAAATCTTTCCAAATGGACCGTTTTGCACCTGAGATACAGTGTAAATTCAACGCGACAAACATGCAACCCCTGCTTTCATAAAGCACAGTGCATGTCCAAATATGAGCAGGGGATCATCCAACAATGACTGTGTAATTAAATGTAATTAGTTGGGAAAATGTGCTCACTTTAGCAGTTTGAGCTTATTACATTCACTTTATTTGATCTAAACCCATTATCATTTATTTAAGATCAAGTAATTAAGTCTTAATTGAAAACAAACACGGGGGAGTGCTTTGATTGTAAAATAATGACTCAATAAGCTTGCTGGATCTGGTCTCAAGCTTTACTACTGAAGGACTCTCGAATCTCTTTCAAATTAACCCTCACAGGCACAGGTGCTGAATATGTCATCTACAGCAGATACATGGATGTCAATCAGGTGCCCAGATTAGATGAGTGTAATACAAACCCACTATCAATACTGCTACAGTGTGTTTGCATGTTTTTTAGCATTACTGTCAGACAATAACAACTACCGAAAGTCATAGAAATGTTCAGTAACAGTCTAAAAAGTGGATCTCATTGTTTATCTCGTGACTATCTTTGTGGCATTTGTACTGTCTTATTGTTAAAAATTAGATTCCTTGATTTGCCTCACAATTTTGCAGGGTTCTTTTAAAATTAAACAGAGAGAGGGCGAGAATGCAAGTTCTGTCTGAATAAAACATCAGACAGTAAGCATGGCGTTTACACACAGAGAGTAAATAATAAGGACTGAAAGTGTGAAGTGAATAAAAAAAATTAACGACTGATGTTGTTGATGCTTTCCATCAATACTGCCAGGCTTGGCTTTCTCCGACTTGCTTTTAACAGCCTCACGGGACAGGAAGGAGAGAGAGAGAGCGTGCGCGTGTGTGTGTGTGTGTGTGTGTGTGTGTGTGTCAGTATGGACACTTTAAAGTTCAGTCTATTACCTGCTATTCCCCACTGATCTATAACAGGTCTAGCACTCACCAATTCACTAATGACTCCCCCCCGAGCTCTTCATGTATGTGTGTGTGTGGATGTGTGTGTAATGTTCTCCCTCATACGTGTATGTAAACTCCACCCAACAACCTCTAATTCACCCTCCAGCTAAGGCCTTTGAACCCGGGTCCATTACCATCTTCCCTCTCTACACACACACACTCAGTGGTCATAGACACAGCAGTAGGTCATGGGTCATATTTTAATGAGGCTGTGCAGGAAACATCTATGACAGTGACATCATTTCCTTACTATAGATGATCTTTATATGGGTTGCCATGACAACCCCTCTTTGGAGCTGATGGGATAATTGGGAAATGTGTAGGAGGTGTTAGTGGAGTCATTGTTAACCCAGTTATCAGCCACTGAGTTCATCATATTTATGACAATCAGTGGGCAGAAACTCTAATCTTGCTTATGGATGGTGATCCATCATTCCATCCTAAAAAATAGCCAAAACATGGGAGAGCATTATTCCTGTGTGCTAATGAAGTTACTGCATGACCCCGGGCTTGTAATACATTTATTAATGTGCCATTATGGAGCTCAGAAACCTGAGAGTTGGATGCACAGATCAAGAGGCAAGATATCTATCAAGTGGCAACCTCGTTTCAAAAAATGACGCCAACGCAGAAGAGAGAAAAAGAAACTGCAGTTTCTTGAGGGTCTGTTTCATTGCTGACTTTATAAACCTCTTAAGCATTTTAAATGCCAGATTTCACAGGAGAATTATACGTGTTTACAGTCTGGTCGAAAACGATTTGTGTGTCTATAACTTATTACTTATTTACAGCAACTGGATAATGTGTTTTGATCATATTAAGGCCAGGAGTTGATCAGGGGTGTAACTGGTGTCACTGAAACGTGAGAGTGTTGTAGCTGTTTGCCAGGTGGTTAAGCTACTGTCAACTCTTTGTTTTTTCTAGAGAAAACAGAGGTTTTTGCCATCTGCTTGTTCAACGTGAGGACAGCTGCCTGATGCTTCCCAGTGCTTCCTAAGACACAACTGGTTAATGTTATTGAAAGTGTAGAAAAACAGCACATGTTTGGAGGGGGAATGTCAGACTGCATTGACCGTCATGTAATCCTAGCAGCCATCAGCTGTCATTTGACAGTAATACTTTTTTCCATTTAATATGTACTGAAGAGCATTTTACAGGAGATGTCTTAAGAAGATCTCATGTATACAAGTGATGGGACATTTCTGCTGATGTCTAATGTGCCAGTGTTTTAAACTCATATTGCCACGGAACTATTGGAACTGAGCCCCAATTTGATTCTTGATTTGATTCTTTGGTAAAGACAAATTTATTGTTTGTTTTTAACATAAAGACATTTGATGGTCGCTGTTATATTTCTTGACCTAGAGTCCGCTGACAAGTTTTCATTGCCACACTTTTTTTCTTACTTTCAGAAACTCTTGTTATCGTTCTGATAGAGCCCCATTAAACTCAAAAAGTGTTGTTTTGCTAATCCTTTTGTCACTGGCATTGAAAAAAAATATTTTGTTCTTTGATTCTTCTCCTTAAAAATAACCCTGTACAGCCAACATGCCAAACACACTGAGTATTTTTTGGTCTGAAAAAGGTCTTATAGACGTCTAAATGTAGCCTAGAAAAAATGAAAGTTTTTCTAGATGTCTAAATTTAGACTAAATCTAAATCTGGGCTACATCTATACTACACTGTATATTGCTCAACGGCTATCATAATTATTTTGGTTAAGTACTTGGAGATCAGTTATGAACTCACAGTTGCTTTTTGAAATAAATAGTTGTCAGATAATGGGCTAAAATGCAACGCCGAAATTCTATCTAAAAATAAACAGAATATAGACGGTTGAAATTAGGTCTTAAAAAAAAAAATAGACATCTAATTGCTGTCTATTGCTCAGTGGGAAGTTCAATGTGCACATTAGCTGTCATCAGTTACACAGATAGCTTGCCCCTGTTATTTCAGACATCCCTTGTAAATGCTGTTCCCCAGCTTCTTGTTTCTGAAGTCAGCAGTCAGACTGTAAACAAACACAGACCAGGTAGTGCTACCTTAGTTAGAATAATTGCCGGCCATGTGTGAGGTCTGAAAAAAAAGTGGCCATTTCCTCCTCAAGTACTCTCAGTAAGTCATAAGACTCAAGCTAATACATTCCAAGATTGCAGATATGCACCTACGAAGCTCTAAATTGTGAAGTTGTAGAATGTAACATCTCATCTTTCTGAATACTCAGGAAGATAATTCTAAAGAAGACAAGACAGAAAGACTACTGCAGATAAAATTGCTCAAATATTTAAAGTGGTGGTGTCACAATCATGTAAACAGGCTTAAACAACTCAACTTCTCATATAGACAACATATCATAATGCCTAAAGTAATTTGGTTAAACCATCAATGTTAGCCATTAAATGACTTTAATCAAACCCTTGACTTAAAAAATTTTTCTATCCTAATGAAATGAGTAATTCCTCCTCAAACATCTAGACTACATCCAGAGTTGTAGACTGAGCCCTTCCACTGGACACCCTTGATGTAATGTATGCATGTGTGGATTTAACCCTCTTTTCCTCAACAAAGCCCAGTCCAATTAACCTCCAGCCCCTCTACAGCAGCAGAGCAGGGACAAAACAAAGCAGTGTCAGATTGTAAACGCAGCCCTCTGCACTGAGCACGACCTCCAGGGAAGGTAACGAGGAGGAAATGAGGATGGAGGATGGAGGAAGGATGGTGGAGGGGAGTTGTGGTTGCCAGGAGATACGCGTGTATATGTGTATGACATGCTTGGTAGGAGCTGCAGCTCGATGTTGGAGAATGACCTACTTTTAATCAAATGGATAGAGAGAGTGGAGGAGGAGAGGAGATAAAGAGGGGATGCAGTGGGAAGACTGGCAGGATCACTGGTTTCTTTTAGCTGAAAAATAAAACAGAAGAGGAGAGGTTATAAAGAATTGAAAGAAAGTCACTGTGAAAAGGAAAGATGAAAAGAAAGATGGAGCAAAGCGGGAAAGAGAGGGGGCCATGCTTACTTGAATGACCAGTCAGATTCATGCATGTATGTGTGTGTGAATCTGGGTGTGTGTTTTTTTTTCCTCTGCCCTGAAGGGAAGCACCCCGCTGCTCTCAGATAAGTCAATCCCAGAGTTCCCGGGGTGAAGTCAGCTGAGCTGTTTTATGAGGCTGCTTAATAAGTGATGAGTGGCACCTGCAGTGATAAGAATGCCTGTATGATGTGTCAGTCACACACGTTGACTGACAGGCGCATGACATGCAGATAAATTTGAACTGATGCTGATACTTGCCATCATTGTAATTTTAACCATAATGACTCACAATATTCTCTCACATTACCATCCTTTGATTCTGAAATCATCCTTGTTTTCAGGCTTTAATCTGGAGAGTTTTGGTTAAACAACTATCATTGAAGTCTTTACATTTATCTGATGAGTTGAAACACCGATCACTGAGCCCTTTGGGCCACTGAAAAGGCCTGTAGGACTTTCAGTATTCTTGCTAACTAGGGGTGGAGACAAATACCCAGATACCTGTCATGACGTGAGTATTGTTACACTACTCACACATAGGACTGGGCAATAAAATGATAACGCTATATATCGAAAATTAGTTTCCCTCAATATCAATAAGAAATATGGTCAATATGTTTTTCGATAGTTGGCATTCTGTTCCCATGACGGTTCATCACAGTTTCACCTGATTCATTTCAACCAATTTTCCTTGTGTAGTTTTTATGCTCCTACTGAGTGCCTGATTGTTTTAATGCTTTTATTGAAAGTATTTCAGCGTCATCATTTTCCAGTCAATCTTCTTGTTACAGTTTGTATCTAGAGCCTGCATCTATATCTTTGACCATGCTTTTATCTTCTGATTTAAACATCTGTGTCTGTTTTGTTTTTTTTCTCCTTCTTGTTTTGTTTTGTTTTTACTCACCCGCATATATTTACTAAAGATGTTACCTCCACCACTCTGTGTCTGAGTCCAAGTCTTCTGTTTATTGGCACCATTACATTATATTACTGGACCGATAAATATCAAATCAGTCAAACTGCGCCTTATCCATCATATCTGATGTCAGTTTCTCATAAAAAAGCAATTTTAGCAACAATCTCCACATCAGCCCAGGCCGTATCTGCAATATATATTTCCCTTGATGCTCAGAGATAGACCACCAACTGCAGCACTGTGGGGCTAAATACACACCAAACACACACACACACACACACACATATATATATACAAGGTTTGCAGACAACAGGACAACATCATGTGAAGTCATCCAGATCTCCTGCAGCTCTTCCAGAACCGTGAACCACAGAAAGCTCAGACTGCCTGTACAGTAACTACAAGATGAGGGGGGGGGATCCCAATCAGTTTGTTCCCCCCTGTCAGTTTTCTACCCATCACTTCCACAAAGACAAGACAGAGGCAGAGAATCAGAGGGGGGAGGCTGGGGGAGGAGAGGCAACAGGAGAGAAAAGGTTAAAGATAAAGAATGCAAAAGATGGGCGGACAGAGCAGGGAAGAAAAGACAGGGCAGAGGAGACGTGAGAGGAGAGAGGAGAGGTGGAGAAGCAGAAACACAAAGAAGAGCTGACTGGTGATATCATTCATCTCAGATACCTCAGACCGAACAATGAAAAACGGCAAACTGGACACTCTTCACATCTGTTTAGCTGCTATGAGGGAATGAAAAATGAAAGTCACTTCACACCTTTACTTGTTTTTCTGTACAGGCAAATGATCATAGTCTCTTTAAAGTAAAAACATAATGGCTGTGAATTTTCTACTGCAGACACGAGTAACTGAAGCAGAAATATTGAAAGGATTGTGTGCATGGTGGAAATAATAGAGCAAATACAAGTAAGCCCATAGACTGAGGAAGAGTACGTACAGTATACACAATATGTGTACAAAGAACTTCAGTTTTAGAGCAAATAATGTGAGTAAAAATCCTTATTGTTAACTGATTAATCACAGTCAGGGCTTTAATTGATCCTGATTACCTTTTTTAAATAGGGCTCGGCAATAAAACGAAAATTTACCAATGCCAAAATTTACCACAATAACTGACGTCATTTTGCCCGTATCGGTATATTTGGTGTCAGTCTGTAACAAAGAGGGAAAGACAGGTGAGGAGATGGAGGACGGTTCGAAAGCTGAAGTGGCTGGAGCGTCGGCTGAAGTAGACGAAGTTAATGTGAGAGGGAGTGAGCAGTTTGTGGAGTAGTTATCGTCCATTTATCGTTATCGTGGTGAACTGCTCAATATATCGTGATATTGATTTGAGGCCATATTGCCCAGCCCTACTTTTTAATCTCTAACATATTTGTATTTACCTTAAAAATTTAATATTACTCTGAATGTACAACATCAAAATGCAAAGACAGCAACTAGTATCACACAGCCCAGCTAATCTATTACGGATTCAGGGTGGCCAATCAGGTTTCAAGCACACGCTGCTCCTGCAACACAGCCAAAATAACTAGAGCCCATCGAACTAGTTGTGCACACCACTATATGTACAAAGGCATCCACAGTATGGATGCAAACACAGGACCACTGCAACAGCTTGCACAATTTCAGCAAGACGTATTTCATTGATCAACCACAGAAGAGCTGTATAAAAACATTACGCTCCATGATCAGAGTTTCGTATCCCGTAACAAAAGTAGTCCATGACCCACTTGGTTGCTTTTCCTGCTCTGTAACAAAAGTTTTAGTCCCACTTTTTTAACTTTAAGTCTGCACTACAGTTTGCTGTCATCATTGTTTTCAAGGGCAAATGTGGATGGCAGGTCACCTTTCTCATTTTTTGACACAGGGAGAGCGAACCGCTTCCACAGCAGAGCCGTCAATCAGACCACATGGGTTTGATGGACACATTGGATGATGGTCTCTGCAGTGCCCACTTCTCTCAGCTCTGAAACAAAACTTTAGTGTCCCAGGAGACCTAAAACGTCATACTCTATCATTACTATCATCATACTTCTGGTCTTGTGATACAGTTTTACCATATTTAGAATTTACCTAAGCTTTCTTTACGTTTCTCTACGATCTGTCCAACAATCATGGACTGATATCAGCAATTTATGGTAAAATAATCACCCTGATGTGACCCCAGCTGATCCAGGATGCTGGAAAATGCTTGGTCCCTTTCTCCCTAGTTTTCTCAATCCATGTATTTGGACTGACAGGCTTTTAAGAACCTAAATGTCTTGATCGATGTGTTTTCTGAGTCAGCGTACAACAAAGCAACAGATCCCTGCAGCCGGGCTTCATGACAGTTTTCTTGTACAGTATTTTCTACAAAGAACCCTCCTCCTCCTCCTCCTCCTCACTTCATGTTAACTATTGAAGACCTCCTGCTGACATTCAAATCACACTAAAGACGTCCCCTCTCACCTCTGTCACGACATCACGTATTCATGACATACAAAGAGAGCATTTAGCGATCCCTCAGGCACACTGCTCACAGTCAAAAACCACACCCACCCACTGGGAGCTGGCAGCCGCCCAAATATGTCCAGCAGCACCACAAAAGGCTTTCCAGTACAGTCTGAATCGAAGAACAAAAGGAGCATGTCATGTCTACCACTTCATAATGATTTATACATGAGTTCACCATTTGTCTCTGCAGTGACAGTCATATCTGTGTGTTGATTTAATGTGCCCATTAGCATATTTTCCAACATGAAATCATGTTCCACATATTATAAAGTATTTAGCTGTGCAGGCCAGCAGCAGACAGCACAGAAGTGAATCAGTGAACTGCACTGAAGCAGATGAGAGCGCTGCAGCCAGCTGGAGGTTAAATAAATGTTAGGTCGGCGCTGAGGGCTCAGCCAGAGGCTTCTGACAGGACTGCTGCAGCTCTGCTCCACTGCAAACAACTTATTAAGGATGAGCCCACTGCCTACCTGTATTTGTGCCTGTGTGACATCTGTGTGATTCTATACTAGATGTGTAGTTTAAGAAATAAAGGAGTACATTGTTTTTCCAGTGAGCAGAAAAGGCCGGTGTTGATGCTGATGTAATCAGACACATGATTTTTGCGATCACGGTCTGTCTCGACTGGTCTGTGTTAAACAGAGCAGGTCAGCATAAAAAATATGTCATCACGGATTACATCACCTTTTACTGAACAAAAGACAAAAATAATTTACCAGACATATAAACAAAGAGAATTCAGACACATCTAAAGGTGGAACTGCTGTCAGGGTTCCTACCCAAGTATGGAAAAGTATAGAAGTAATTTGATCAATTTCCAGGTCTTAAAAAGTATGGAAAAGGAAAAATCAAGTATGGAAAAATATGCGGGTTTCCAGACTATTACCACAGTAAAAAAAAATAAAAATACTGTTTCCTAAAATAGAAAAGTAGGCATTTCCAAAAATAATTCTAAAAAGTAGGGTATGGGAAAGTATGGATATTCCAACTGTGTAGGAACCCTGCAATAACTTGAATCGACTTTGAGAATTTTCTTTGCAAGATTATAACACAGACTCAACTGAATAATGATACCTCTTGCCCTGAAAAATAAGCAAGATCCTGTATCCTATACAGTCATTTTAATGCTGGTAGCCACTGCTACTGGGTTGAAAGAAGACAGGAGAGTAAAACAACAGCAGAGACAGTCTTTGTTGACATTTAAAGATTCACACTGAGTAATTTATCTCACAACTAAACAAAACAAAGTTGAGATTTCTTATTAGAAACACTACCTACTAATGAACTTGGCCAGGTTAGAAAAGGAGAAAAGCGTACTTTTGTTTATCGCATCTATCGTGAGATGGCAAATATTTATCATGGAGGATAAATCGTGAACAATAATTTATCGCCCGTCCCTAACAGGAGGCACCAAAATCAACAGCAGCCAAAAGTCCCTCACACAAACTTTCACTCTGAATGTGTAAATATGCAAAGTCAAGTGTATGGTTTATGAGGGAAATGTAGGTTAAGGTTCTTTTGTTAGAAGTATGTCTTGGTGTAAACACATAGGCCCTTACATGTGCAGTAATACAAGTGTGTGTGTGTGTTTGTGTCTCCAGACATGATGTTCCTTTGTGCCAGCCAAAATAAATGAAAGTGTTCAGACCCTCTCTCTCTCTCTCTCTCTCTCTCTTTCTCTCTCTCTCTCTGTCTCTACATCTTTCTCTATCTCACTCGCTCCCTATCTTGTTTTAAATTATCACCCCGTCTCCCCCCCCCCCAAACTCCCCCTTCCCTCCATCCCTCACCCAGCTTCCTCTTTTCACCTCCGCTCGTCCAATCAGAAAACTCCCTGGTCACCAGGGCTCCTTAGCAACAGCCCCATGAGGGGGGAGGCAGGGGCGGAGGTGGGGGTAGGAGGAAAAGAGGGAGATATGGTGGAGGGAGTAAGAGTGGATGAAGATGAGGAGGAGGAGGTGTTGGGGAGACCAACCCCAGCGGGAGTGCGAGGCTAGAGGTGTGTTTGCCATTATCAAAGCTCTGCATCTGAGGAGTGTGTGTGCATTAGTGTGTGTGTAAGTGTGTGTGTAAGTTCGTGTTAGGGTAAGAGGAAGTAAATATGAGCCTGAGAGGGATTGAAAAAAAATTAACTCTTTGTGTTTTATGTCCGTCTTTGTGTTTAAATGCAACCAAAGCACATTACACAGAACTAAAAAAGCTTACCACAACTGATCAAATCTGAAGGGCATCGTCTCAAGGTCTGGCCACCAGCTAAAAAACATGTGTGGCTGGGTAAAGGGGGCTAATTATATCCAAAGGTGGGGGGATGTTAGATTAGTGACAAGCACTAGGAGGTATGACAGGAACATTTTCATTCAATTAACACCAAAATGTGGCATTTTCCTCAGCACAAAGGCTTCAATCATGACCCATAAAGCTGCTCATTCTCTTCAAAGGCTCGATTTCTACTCAACTATGAATGAAAATGATTTTTTTTTTCCATAATGGGCATTTTAAATGCAAGAACGAGTCAAAGAAAGAAACACAGTCAAAAAATGTCATCTGAAATGATACGTTGCATAAATCTACATACATCCAATTTCAGTTTCAAAGGCATCAATCAATCAATCAATCAACTTTATTTCTATAGCACATTTTAAAATAACCACAAGGGTAGTCAAAGTGCTGTACATAAAACAAATAACACAAAGAGCAAGATAAAGTGAGCAGAAATACATTAATGCAAGGGGATAAATAAGTAAATAAATAAGCAGGCTCACGGCAGGTGCTAAAATGATAAAAAACAAAGTAACACTAAAAAGTATCAAAAGCCAAGGAGTAAAAGTGTGTTTTTAAAAGGGATTTAAAAACAGGAAATGAGGAGGCCTGTCTGATATTCAAGGGCAACTCGTTCCAGCATGTCACTCATGTGCATATCTTGAATCCAGACTAAATCTTTATGTTCGTGACCTGCGTCTTTTCAACACTGCTAACAGATTGCGATGGCTGCCTCAGCTCGAACATATCACAAATCCACCTGCTTTGACATTTCAGTATGATCATGCCATCTTCAGAAATCTGACACAGACTTTGATGTTCCATGTCTGGCCTGAAGCAGTTCAAGAGTCAGAATGACTGTGATCAATCTTGAATGGTTAAAGTGCAGAGAAGTGATGTAAAGCATACAGATAAATATTCAGAAAACAATAACATCATTAGCTTTTATGATTCATTTTTTAGGCATTGTATTGTCTGAGTGTCTCACTGAGCAGAGACAGCAGCAGGGACGTTTTGTTTCAATAAAAGCAAAACTATTGCAACACATCAAAGATGCACTACACTGCAGCCGGCTATTTCAACAACTGTCCAAACTCCCTCATACTTGTACAACGTCAAACGCTCTAGGCCCAGCTGAGAGAAAACTACTCCTTTCATGAAACCTCTTCTGCTGCATATTTCAGCACCATGGACAGAGTCACTTCTCAAGATCATTTCAATGCAAAGGAATGCAAGTTTATTTCAGGAACACAGCCCAGGGATCTTAAAAGCCTGAGACAAAAAATGGATTTGACATATTGTAGTCAAAAACTGCAGTGCCCTTACAACAAATCTGTACAATGTATATAGCTATCACTCCTTGATCCTAAACCCATTCATGACTGCTAAAAGTCAAACAACGAAAGGCCATTTCTGAAGGAAAAAATACACACATTAAAATCATGTATTCCAGTAGCTAGTACATAAGCAAAACAGGGCTGGTTTTTAACTTGTTGATTTAAAATTAAAATTCAAAGCACAGCAGCTGCTCTGGCAAAATGATGTCGACAGAAAGTCAACTTACCTGATTTTCTTGAAAAAAACATTTTCTTACAAAACTTTAAGAGCAACATTCAGTTTGTATTATACATCCTAACAACTTAAACTAATCTGGGGACTTCCTGAAGCTGAATTTCCAACACAATATCATCCTTTGCAAGCTATTTGTTGGAAACTGCAAAACTCAAAAAATCTAGTGTTAATGCTTGTGTGTTCCAAATAACAATCATTTTGGATCTTAACAAGCTCAGGTGTTTGAAGTATTTGAAAAGTTGCAAGATTACGAAGTGATAATTGGGGTACTACTCAACCTGTCAAGGTTTAAACTCAGCTCAATAATGGCAACAAGTATCTTCAAGGAGGTGTGGTCCCATTTAGAAGCAATGTATGTTTTTACACTTCATTTACACTATGATTTGATAGCATATGTTACAAACATATAGACCAACCTCTGTGTGTGCATACATCCAAGACCAGACTCTTGCACTTACAGTGGAAATCACACCCCAAAGTTGTATTTCATCATCTAGCAAACACTTACATTCTTCATCCTTATCTTCATCTCTTAATTAAAGCTGGTGTTTCTGTTTTATATTCTCATTATGAAAAAAGCCTAGCAGCAAAGTCAAAGACAGTTTCAAAACAGGCACTCTGCCCTGTAAGCTCCCAGGTGACTTATGGAAAGACCGAATGAATAAACATGAATGTAAGATGCCACGTCTGGGTTCTAGACACTCTTAAGGGAGCATGTGGTATAAACATGTCCTTACAAGACCAAAGTCAGCATGTTCACTTTATGCTGGTTTAAAGTGAACCTGCAGCAGATTCTATTCAGTTTGCATTAACAACAAATGAACACAGACCCAATGTGGAGTCTGTTTGAAGAGATCATTTTGCGCATTTAGTGAAAACCGCACATTACTTCATTGATCATTTATCTGCACTCTGCTAAACACAGAAGAAGTCTTCTCCAGGTGTCCCCCTAAACAGCCTGCATCATCATACTGCTTTAGATTAAGTGGGTTATATTCTCAAAAGACATAAACTGATTAATCAGTCTGCAAACTGAAATCAACTCCTCACAAGGTCAGTATCACCGTTATTTACTCTAAAGGAAAACACACCATTTTCATCCTTATTGACACAAATCTAACCTTTACCAGTCACTATTCATATAAATACCATTTTGATGTATAAATAATTCAGTTTTGTATTGTTTCTGACATATTTATTAGCCATGTTGTAGACTCTATAATACCATCAATTTATTAAAAATTCATCTGGAACCTGGTACTAGCTGAGGTAACCACCTATTATCTGATTTTAATCATAGTTTTTTTTTTTTTTTAATGAATCCCTTTGTTCTTTTAATTTAACCTCATATTTTTGTATTCTATAATATTTTTAGACGACCGGACAGAAATCTGTAAGTCCCGTGTAGCAATATTTCACTGAACCAAATGTTGTCTCTTAAAATGTATTAAATGAAAGATACACTCAGTATAGAAATTGTTATATTTTGTCAAATGCAGAGAAAAAAAACAGCAACAATGAGACGTCAGTATAAAAAACTTGGGCATCAGCCAACCTGCTATCTCATTATCCACATCGGCATCAGCCTCTAAAGAGTGATATCGCTCTTTTCCTCTTTTTAATGTGTATACTCTTTTCTTATTTTACATTCATTACTCTGTAAAACAAACTAAGTTAAAGGTGTGCTCTACAGTCTGGGTTAGAGGGTTCAATCATTCTTTTATGTAAGGTAGTAAATTGGCAGTGAAAACGTATTGACTGTCTCTGTCTTATTGATTGAACTGCTGTTTTGTTTGGGGTTGTCGACTTCATAGCTGAAGGCTGTTGTTAATTTTTCAGAGTCCTCAAAGATCAAAAGAATTGAATAGTAAATAAATTAATACTGGATTAAAAGTTGAACCACCTCAGGTGAAAGCCGCTCAGATCCCTGTTTTCCTCCTGTGGTAGACTGATTTTTGGGTTCAGCCATCAGGCTCAATTTGCTAACTTGGGCCCATCTGCCTTGAGGTTACCGTGGTAATTTAAATCATTCTACTGGCCAGTCTGTTCTACAGCCGCACGCACGCACGCACGCACGCACACACACACACACACAAACAGTTGTCCTCTCCAATTTTTCTGGTATAATTATACCATTACTGAATGTAATTTCCCAGGTCTCTCCCTCCCCTCCCTGATCTCCGTTCCTTTAACTCAGATAATCTGTGAAATGACATTAGGTCCATCATCTGACATGTGTGTCTCCCTACATAGTGAATGAAAAGCCCCCTGTCCTCCAGCTCCTCTCTATTCATTCATTATGTAGGACAGTATTACATCTATGCACCTTCATCTCTTCCTATGGAAATCACAGCTGCCCTCACATCAGCCTCATATAAATTTTATGCCTCTGGAATTATAAGCAGATAGATTTTCTCCCTGTTTTCATCACACTCCTCCTCTCCCTCGCTCTCTCTCTCTGTCTGTCAGGTCATGTTGTTGTTCTGTTTGTCATCATATAATTTAATTATGTTTTGTGTACTGTGAAAATGCACAGACCACAAGTTTTTGTTCGCTCGTAAAGCTCATGTCCTCTTTGTTTGAGATGAAATGTGTGTTTAATGCACCCTAAAAACTCCTCCTTCTAGCCCCGCCCCCCTAACCCCCCATGGGGAAGCGTGGTGTGAAAATGACTGACATGTCAGTGTGCAGTGTACGTGTAGTGATTACTGCTCTGGTGGAGTGGCTAAAAGGTGTGATAAAGTCTGTCTTTGTGTGTGTGTGTGTGTGTGTGTGTGTGTGTGTGTGTGTGTGTGCACTTTTGTGTATGGGCACACCTCAAAGGGGATTAGCTAGGAGCTAGGATGATGGAGTGAGTGTGTGTGTGTGTGTGTGTGTGTGTGTGTGTGTGTGTGTGTGTGTGTGTGTGTGTGTGTGTGTGGAGGTTTTAGTTTTCTTTGATAGGTTTTTAGCTGAGTCTATAAAAGTGTTGTTTGTTGCATGTGCATTTATAGAGTAGTGGAAAGCTGATCGAGTGTTTAGGTTGCTGAAAAATTTCATTTACACAAGATATCTATCACACACACACACATGCGCACACACACACACACACACACAAACACACACACACAGGTCTGTATTTCAGTGGTTTCATGGTCAAGAAAGATTTTTTTTTGTTCATGATTTTCTTTTCTTACAGTCTTAAGGACACAGAAAATAAAAATCTGGGGGGAGGGAAAACCTTGGTATCGAGCAAAGCCAAGCCTCACCTAGCAACCTCCTTAATGTCTATAAAGGACTCGCTCAAACACTGGAAAAAGGAACGAGTTTTCTCAGGATGTGATGCTGATTTTGTTTATTTACACTGAGCCCGAAAAAGCTGCTGAGCTTTGATTATTCTGTCATGATGTGGCTGTGGATGTAAAATATAAGCCTGAACTGACTTGTGAGGCGCAACACACATGATTTCACAGAGGCGTAACATCTTACAAACATGAAACACAAGATCTGTTTCATGTTATTTCCACAGCCTGTTACTTTTTGAGCCTCTTTGCAGGGATACCAACAGTTACAAATGCAGAGCTAATGCATCACACAGAAACAGATTATGTTTATATTAATGATTCGTTATCAGCTGGGATGGCTTTGCTTACACAACCTCGCAACTGTGCGGTTGTGTAAGCAAGCTGTTTTGCAAGAGCTTGAACTTATCACAGTTTGCCAAAAGATTCTGGATGATCTTAATGACCGTCTGCCAGGAAGCTGAGTTGGTTTCCCAGCAATACTAATGTTCTGTTAAATTTCCCATAACTGAGACACGTCCTTGGAAACCTTCCAGAGGGTCAGAAAACAGGCAGGAAACAACTGGCACTTATAATACTCATCTAAAGAGACTCACGCATACACACACACACACACACATGAGAGATGCACATCTGTAATACGCAGTGAATTGTTTGACTCTGTAACATCTGTACTGATTTCTACATCTGTACAACAAAGACACCCAGGCTACTATTCCGATCTCATCCCGTCTCCTTGTTCATTGTTCTGCTGCATACTATACATGTTTTCCACAACAAACATGGGAAACATTCAAACATGAGGAAATAAAGCAGAGGCTATCCCAGCGGCAACACTGGTCACAAATTACGGGAACCATTTCACGAGTGAGCGGACCAATGGCCAATGGCAAGCTGAGCCCTGAAACCCAACCAATCAAGAGAGTCAGTGAGTGGAAAAATACATGAGAGAGTTCACCCCCTAAATTGCCTTTTTAGATTGAGGGCAGCGATCTCCTCGTTTACTCTGATGGATTTATGACACTTTTTAAGAAGGGGCAGAAATACAGATGCACTTGTAAGGCTGATTTACCGTGTCATTATTTACAGGAGACATCTTTGATTTTCCTGGCAGAGATTCGGCCCCAGTCTAGGGTTTGAAACACATCACATTTATTGTATGTGTTCGACTACATGTTCCTTTTCTGTACTTTATTGTTGCTTTAGTGGCTGTTCCTGCTCAGGCTTACAACCAATGTTTCTATTTGGTCCAAAGACACCAGTAACGAACAGTTTGGTCTTGCTGCATGAATACATGAGGAAACACAAGTTAAAGTGTATAAATATTGGTGATCAAATAAGAGCAAAAAAAAGAAAAAAACTACAACAATGCTGTGTGATTTAAATATTCACTCTTGATCTACAGGGCACAAATCCAGTACCATTTGTACATTTCCACCTCTCACTCCAGAGCACGACCGTTCGACTGTTAATTTCTAAGAAAATGTGTCAGTTTAATAGACAGACTTATTCCCAGGGCTAGCAAACACACACACACATTGTGATGCTGGTGCAGTGATGTAGGTTAAATGCCTTGCTTGTGGGCACAACAGCTGTACCCCATCTGCAATCGCACGAGTCTGGGTATTAACCCTTTTCTCGCTCTTTGACTTTTCACCCACCTCATTTCTTTTCTTTTTCACTCGGTTTAACCATCTCTGACCCCAATATACATTTCCATTTCCATAATCAAATCAAACTAATCCAAGATATCTCACTTCCTCATATCCTTGATAGAGAAAAGATGTATTCTTAGGTGGTTTTCAGCAGTCGTCGGTGTATTTTTTTCTACAAGCTCTATTCTGGTTGCAGAAAAATCCCCATTTGCATGGCTTGGTAAAGAAAGGACCTTTACGTGTCTCACCCTCTGTGTACATTCATTGTGGTCTAGGATGGTTTGGCAAAGTTGTTTCGCCTTTGAGCTTACAGAAAAGCGTCTCACATCTCTTGTTTTGCAACACCAAAAATTTGTTCTGAGGGACAATACAAGCTGCCAAAACATCAGAAACCAGTGTTCCTCAGCCAATTATGTGAAATGTTTTTCATCAAACTAGTATAGACAGGGTAGGGCATCTCAATATTTCTACGTGAAACAGTAAACTAACTGTAAAAGTGCACCATGCAGCACAGCAATTCATCTTCTTTGTCTTAATTCAATGATGGACCATCGTCACGTCTGATAATCCTCTTTAATTCCTGCTAAGTGAACACGCAGCTTTCACACAAAACATTTCATGACAGGAAAACTTGGTTTCTGCTGCATGCATGTGTTTCTTATTTGAATATTCTGCTGACGAGGGCTTATCCTGTGCTATCTAGTCACACACACTCACACATCTGCAGGACACATACACACACAACCAGACACTTACACACGCACTCACTGAGAGGACACAGATTAACTGGACATGGCAGGAGAGGAGTCATCTGTGGTCTAAATCTCTATGATTACGTAATCGGAGCAGTCCAAACAGCAGCTCCGATGAAAATATGTTTCAGTAATCCTACTATTGTCCTTTTCTGTTTGTTTGTTTTTGTTTCCATTAGTTTTATAAATCTACTGCTGCTTTGAGTGCACAGAAAACATTTTTTTGTCATGTTAGATGAGACAAAAGTGCACCAGTTCAGACATATTGTAAACAGTTGCAACAAGCAAAGAGCAGATATAGTATTTGTGAAAAAGAACATCTGAAATTCAAGGATTGTCTTAAATGGTCATGCAAAAGTTGAAGTCCTTCCAACAAATGCAGAGCAGTGGATGACATTTTTATCCTTTAACACTTATGAAAGGCAGTTTGGACAACAGTATGCACTACCAAAAGCGGTTCAAAGACTTTGTGTAGACTCTGCTTAAGCATCTTGATCAGATGGAAACACACGTTTGTAAAATATACATTTTAATTATGATTAATGTGTGTAATTGACAGGGTAGCATTGGACTGTTATTGGAGCTGTTTAAATAAGCTGTCCTTAGATGGAAGGTAAGACCTTCCAGGTTACCATGATCTAGATTCTAGACTAAGCAAACAGCTTATGGAAGCACTAATGTGGTGTAGGAGTAGGAACGGGCCGATATGGGCAAAAATATTTATCACAATAAGATTCGCCACCCTGACGATAACAATAAAAGTCCCGATAAAAAATATTATAATTCCAATCTATATTTTTGACTCATTCTGTCTCAAGAACACTAGTTGGGGTAGTCAAATAAGATACTTCACCACAAGTTTGAGTGGTAGGTTATGGAGAAAACTAAACTCTTATTGCATAGAGTGAACAGCAGCAGATCCACTGTCCGATGTCAGGCAGACCTAATTGAGCTCATCTAAACCCCAACCTTGAAGGAAATCCTTCATGTGGAGCCTTGATCAGTTACAAGCTGCTCAGAAACGTCTTCTTCATTACCTTCAGCCATGTTTGTTTGTTATTCTGCTCTGTGTGGGTTATGGCTGTGAGTCTGTCGCTCATGCTTACGTCGCCAACTTGCATTTATCGTAGTTATCATGAGATGGCAAATATTTACTATGTAGGATTTTTCTGACGGTATATCGTGAACGATAATTTATCGCCTATCTCTATGTAGGAGTGATGAAAGACACTTATGGCACCGTTTTTATAAAAAAATCTTTTAGCTAGTTAAATAACATTTACATAATGTTCTTCAGATCTGTTTTTTTTTTTTTTTTTCAAGAAAGCTGGTTAAAGGAAATGTCAGGGATTTCAAAAACTTACTGTAAATGGGACAGTTTCTTATTGCTATCTTGTTAGGAAGTATTTAGCCTGTCTGCTATATGTGGTACTTCTTAGGGTCCCAATTTGTCCAAATTAAAACTACATTGACTATGAAATCTGCTGGCTTTATACAGACTGTTTAACATGTTACTTCCAAGTCCTGTTCTCTAAAAGACCCTCCTGTGACCTGGATCATCGTACTGTAGTGAAAAATGCGGTTTATATGAGCATGTAAAGTAGGGGTCAGGTCCGCACTGTGATAAGCAGTCATACCATCTGGGAGCAATATGTTTCTCCAGATTTGATCTTGTTTGTCCACAGTAAATGTAATAACGTCTCTATGTAACCGTGCTAATGATTTAATGGTGTCAGGAGGGTCTGTGGAAAACTTTAAATCAAATTTACATCCGTTTGTTTGTTTGTTCTTCAATAACAACATGACTGGCACCAGATACGTGGCCTCCAGCATTGTTCTTTTTAGAAAGAAAACAGCCGTGAAACGTGGGCAGATCACAGAGTGACAATTTGTTCTGATCTTTTCCCTTTGGCCATGGAGAGAGGGGGAGGAGAGAGAGAGAGGAAGAGAGGAAGAGAGGTAGAGAAAGGGGGATGGGATGTTAGTGTGAGACCTTCCAACCAAATATTTGCTGTGAGGCCCGTCGTTGTCCATTAGGCTCTCTCTCTCTCTCTCTCTCTCTCTCTTTCTTTCTGTTTTCTGGGTGCATTAACCTCCTCTTTGCAACAAAAGAAGGACTGTACTTGTGTGTGACCGAGTGTGTGAGCATGCTTGTATGTGCGTGTGTGTGAATACCTCCCACTCCTGTCCACCCTCCTGCATCCCCAACAAACACTCAACCACATCACAACACAGACACACACCTGCACATGAAAATAAAACACTTGAAATGAATTAATCACTCTCACCCCTGCATGCACCACACACTCACACAGAGAGAACAAACATCTACTTCATGTGTGTAATGTAAAAAAAAAAAATCCTCCAGCAGTGAGCAAGCAGCACTGCATCACCGTGGCCACCTGTGCATTGTCCAGTGTGACAACTTTTCCATCATCCAAGGGAAACTGAAACATTTCATCAGCAATTCATAACTCATCTCCATTCACCCAAACACACCTGAGCATCCATGTCAGAGTCGTCATCGCTGAAAATACAGGTGCAAAAGTAAACAGGCACTGATTCCTAGCACCAGAACTGTCCTGCTCCCTGTGAGCTAATAAAGCTGCCATGTGAGAACTGTCAGATAAGATATTGCCTCCTGCATTTGTGGACAACAACAGCATCATAAAATAAATCATTTAAATGCACAAAAGCATTTAATAAAACCTCTGCAAATATAACCAGTGGGGGACCGGCGGAAATCCGCCCTTAGGTCATCCAGCAGCTCAAAAATGGCATTACTAAATAGACGATATGTCTCTACTAATTTTATTTATGACAGTCCAAATGTGTTGACACACGCACACTGAAGACTCTCTCTATCCATCAACTGTCAGTGCACCTATGCCTCCTTCTCGCCACAATGATCGTTTCCACGCTGTGGAATTTTGCGCCTGCCTTTTAAACATGCTAAAAATAGACGCAAAAGATGGGTGCTAAATATTTATATTTGCATCTCCTCCTCCCAGTATTTTGCGCGTTGTGATAATCCGCATATATTACTCATGAAGGCAAAGCACACGAAATGGATTGGGCGTGCTATTTTGCTTGTTTGACTGACACAATCCTTAATGCATCTGGTTAGTAGATCAGCTTTGCGCGCGATCAAGTTTGCATATGTTTTTATACACACAAACCTTCAGTAGATCAGGCCTTAAGTCAGCTAGCAGCACCTGTAACTGGTTATTTGTGTCAAGTGAAGCCACAACCAGAGGTTAAAAATCTTGACAGATGTTGAAAATGCGACAGGCCCCACAGCTAATAGCAAACTGTGGTAGGTTTAACAATCGATTCGTATTTATGTGTTAAGTGCGAGCAGGATCCTGACCCTGAAACTGTAAATCTTGTTGACTAAGAGTCAACAAACATGGCACAAAAATTGCTGACAATCAACAGAGTGCATGCTCAGCTGTCCTCCACACAACAGGATATAGGGTTGTAAATATCACAGTGTGTGTAATTTTACAGAACAATGCTGTGGCCATGACATTCTCAAACCAGGTTAGGGAGTGAAATCGGTCTTAGCATACCTCACACAACAGAAAAATCTACCAAATTAATCTTTAGAGCCATCGGACATAGGCTTGATTATCTTACAATGTGTAGCCTCCATTAATAACGGCAATTCAGAATCGATGTTAGAGTCACAAAATGAACCGACAAGAATTAGGGACAGAAAATGTGATTTTTTTTGTGTGACTGTCAGTGTACATTTAAATGTAAACCAGGTCTTGTCACTCTTACAAAGGGTCAGCAGCATTTTTAAAAAAGTAAACGTTGCATGCTCTAAAACTAAGTATCATTGTAGACCACCAACACTAGAACACGCTGTTAGACACACTGCAGATAGATGATAATACTCAGGCTATGAGCTAAACACAAGGAGAAAACTGACATAATATCTCTTCCTGCTGAATGATTTACAATAAATGGGAGAATACCATTATATTGATCTGACTTATTGACCTCAGCAGGGTTCAAAGGTCGGAGTAATGCTCTTTTGGCACCACATTCATTCAATTTAGTGACATATTTGACGTCATACTGTTTCTTCACTCCATATTTGTGATAAATGAACGACAGCTGAATTTTAATATGGGCACAGACCTGACAATAAATTATTCTTTCTTTGCTGATATGTATACGAATCTCATTTTTACTGAATTAATATTTTGTGTTATCAGTTATGTGTTATGATATGTTTTATGTTATTTTGTCCACTCATTTTCAGTGGAAGTGACTGCCTTAAAGAGTATTTGTGTGCTTCCACCTGATCAAGAAGTGTTTTATTTAGCTTTTATGATCAACAATTGTTAATGTGAACACAGTTGATATCTGTTGTACTTTGTGAGAGCAAAGTTATAAAGAAAAAAAGGGGATCGACAAGAAGGGTTCAATATATCAGCATAACTATGTGTTCCTCTCCCAGGACTCAACTGAGTCATTTAACTTTAGTGATACCAGATGTGAAATGTACCATATTCAAGCCATAGGGGACCACTTCAACAACGTTTCTTCAACCAATACAGCTTACACATTATAAGACATTGTTATTTCTCAGCATACATATATTGTTACAGTAAATACCACCATGTAAAACCACCCCATTTACTGAGGCATGCCAAAGCTGGATTCTGAAAAGAAAAGACTTCGTACAGAGAAACACTCTCTGACAATGATTTAACTTGCAGAACTAGAAACAACCACAAAGATTTTTTTCAACCACAAGATTCAACAGTCTGCAGAACTTTTGAATATGAAGAACAAACTCACAACTAACTGCTTCATCAAGCTGTTACTGACACACAACGATCATCACGTAAAAGCACATAATGCCTCACTTTTACTGGACAGTTAATGAGAAATGTAACGAATTGATGTGTGGTTGGAAAAGATGCTTTTTAGCTCTGTCAGACCAGACTATAGCCATTTTTGCAAAGTAACTTTGTGCCTGACAAGTTAGATGTACTGCTCATCAAGTGTTTTAAAACCTTAAATTAAAAATATAACCAGCAGAATTACAGAAAATTAGTCAACAGAGAAACACCTGCAAGCCTGTAGAGACTGCACTAATGTCACATTTGCCACGCATCATTCTCCCCATCCTCTCACAAACCCTCCCCATAAGTTTTCTTGTCTCTTCTCCTGCTTTGCTGCACCAATGCTGAGGTAAAGTTTTCAGCTCCACCACCTCCAGAGCACACAGCTGCAGGCTGACACCAACAGGTTTAGGATATCATCATCATCTTCATCATCAAGAGGGATTAGGTCGGAGCCTTAACACCAAACAATGACCTGCTGCTGCATTAAAGTTTAACATATTGTATGTCAATCCAAGGCTCTATTTAAGGTCAAATGCAGGCCATATCTGCATTATGAATGCACACTCTAATACCAAACACACACAATGTTTATGTTTTCACTTTGATTTAAAAAAAATAAACTGACCAAAATTAATCAGTGTCTCCATTTCACATGACTCAAACCCACTGACATCAGGAGTTACAACCTGACAGACAGCCAACTCCAGCTTTGAGACAATGAACTATTATCTGTCACTGGTGATGAGAGCAGGGTGCCTCCAGTCTGACCAATGGAGGACACATCACAGAAGATCTCCTGAAGCTAACTCTGCTGTTAGTCAGGTCAAGGCAGATATCCGAACACATGCACATGCAAAAATGCTTATCTGAGATACAACTGAAAAACATAGACAGGCAGGCACATTTAAGAGTAATTGTAGCCAATAAGCTAACATGCACACAAGACATAATCAATATTTTTCCAATCAACTGTGTCAGACAGTCTAATCAGTGTGTGTGTGTGTGTGTGTGTGTGTGTGTGTGTGTGTGTGTGTGTGTGTGTGTGTGTGTGTGTGTGTGTGTGTGTGTGTGTGTGCAGTCGAGCAGTACAGACAGCTGTAACCACATTTCATTTCTCTTCATTGTAACAGCCTGAGGAATCAATGAAAGCAGCTACTATTTAGACATTTATAACAAAAAGATTCACAACAAAAAATATCAGTCAAGCAGTAAATGAAGACATCATGCAGGGTAACTTATTAAAGACTGAATTCAAGTTTCCAGAGCAGCACCAACCTAACTATGATTTGATGTACATGTGTTAGTAGTTTATATTTTTTGTGTGAAGGCAGACTGTTGTGAACAAACAAGGGACAAAACCTGTGTGAGAATTAAGCCCATGATAAAGTACAGTACACAGAATTTTGTAAAATCCACATGGATAGTACAACACTGACTGTTTTACACAAAGATGTATCTTTGTAAAGCTTTAAGGAATACAATTTTGTAGTCTTTGTTGAGAAATGTAAGTCATATAGCATACATTGCAGCTACTATATGTCAACAATATCAAAAAATTAAGTTAGCCCTTCTAGTTTTTGCATAAATCTCTCCTCCTTAAAATAAAACCAAAATGGAAAAGTAAAAACACATAAATAAATTTCCATGTGACACACACATGCACACACAGAAAGTGTACAAACATGCATCAGTACCTCTGTCAGTGCAGCTCTTGCATCAAGGTGTACTTCAGTGCAGGGTGACTGTGTTGTATCTCCATCCCCGTCAATCCTTCAGCATCCACGAAACCAAATGGAGAAAACAGCAAAGAAAAAAGCCGAGCGTGTGTCAGTCAAATCCACCAGAGGACACAACAACAACAACAGATGGAACAGGTACTTGAAAAAATGGAGACGAACACTACTCTGTTTTCTGTCATTAAATCAGTTTTCTTTTTCTTTCACTCTCTCTCTCTAACCCTTTCACCCTCTCTCCGTGTTCTCCCCGTTTCTCCGTACGGGCACTCTCTCTTTCCCTCTCTCCGTCTCACACACAGAGATTCTCCATCTGTCACCGCCCCCTCATCCTCACCCCTCCCACTTCATGAATTATTAATGAGACGCAGACACACACACACATACACACACACACACACACACACACACAGAGACACACGCTCCGCTGCTGTCAAACGCGCTCACACATGGTACACACTGTGAACACAACAAACACTGTCGACAACCGGTCAAAAGTTCATTTATTTGGACATAAGAGACAAGAAAAGCTGTTTCTTTTTGATCTGAGTAAATATCTGACTTACTGCTGTACTAAAGGAGTTTGTATTTAATGGTGGAACTGTGACTAAAACTGTAACACTATGCATATTTGATTCATCATATTGACTGAATATTGATTTATAAGTAATTTTATTTATTAATTAGTTTATAAATGCTCTTATATGAACTTTTCATGGGCAAAATAAAGAAATAAATCTCATCTCATATTAAAATGTTAATTGTAGTAACTTACCAGAGTGTTTAACGGCTCAGGGTCTCCCGGAGTAAAACCTGTATTACTCTCATTTAAAACTATTTTATTTATATATTTTTTGTTTGTTTGTTTTGTATGTTGTTGTTTTTTTCTACTTTTTCCATTTTGAATTGAATATTGAAAAGGTCTGGTAGTTACATACTAGTTACAAGTCACATGGTCTCCTCCTTTTACTGTTTTGCAACCAAAAATCAATAGCAAAGGTAAAGGCAAATTTGGAGTGTCATGGCCATCTAAAGACTACGATTTTAAGTCAATTTCTTATGACAATGACTTAATATTGACATCATTTTCCTTCAAGAATAAAGTCATAGTAAGGTTGTATTATGAGAATAAAGCTGTGAGTAAATTAAGTCCCAATGTTACAAAATTAAAGGCATATCATCCAAAAAAATAGTTGCAGTAGAGTTACAATATTACAAGAATAAAGTTTTCATGTTCTGTGAATAAAGTGTTGATAAAGTCGTAGTTTTGTCTCTAATGTTTTGTCTCCTCATCTTAACATTGTTGTGAGACTTGTGGTATCCCCCTTTCAGACAGTATTATGTGGCTAATGGTTGGTTGACTCTAAGTATTGTTGTCAATTAAAAGACAGTGAGTCGTGTTTCTGTCAGAGAAAAGAGAAAAATGATGAGTTATTGACATGATGTTGCCTCATATTGACTCTTAGCAGCATCTCTGAAAGCAGCACTGACTGACATCATTTAGGCTTCAGTTTCCTGCAAATTCATGTCACTTTGATTGAATAAACCCTCTCTGGTATGTCCAGCAGAAAACTGACAACTTCAGTTTTGGTCTTTAAACATAAATTTGTCTTTAGGATAAACACTGATGTTTGATGTTGAACCTTATTTCCTGCAGTTACCTGTTCAGATCTCATTTTACTTCTTACAGTTTGTTTGTTTGTTTGTTTGTTGGTTTGTTGGTTGGTTGGTTGGTTGGTTGGTTTGTTTGTTTGTTTGTTTGTTTGTTTGTTTGTTTGTTTGTTTGTTTGTTTGTTTGTTTGTTTGTTTGTTTGTTTGTTTGTTGGTTGGTTGGTTGGTTGGTTGGTTGGTTGGTTGGTTAGTTGAATGTTTGGCTGGTTGGTTGGTTGTATGTTTGGTTGGTTGGTTGGTTGGTTGGTTGGTTGGTTGGTTGGTTGGTTGGTTAGTTGAATGTTTGGTTGGTTGGTTGGTTGTATGTTTGGTTGGTTGGTTGGTTGGTTGGTTGTTTGTTTGTTTTGTTTTTTTTGACAAAAACTCTGATTCACTCAGATTAACAACCCTGCAGTGCATGATAAGTCTAATTCTCCATTTGTCAGGTTTTTACAATCAAACCTTAATCAATACAAAATACAATTTATACTCAACAACACAAACTGATCGTACTCTGTCCTCTCTGTTCTCCGACATGCATGCCTCACTTACTGATTAACAAATCTTGTTTGGTTCCTGCTAGTTTGTCCATTCTGAGCTACTGTAAAAATCATTCCAGTTCAACATGGCAGCCTTCAGAGCGAGGACCTACTGCTTCTATAATACAAAAGACTTTTTCTAAGTCATCAGAAATGAACTGATAAGGATATTCCATCCAACATAAATTCAGATCAACATACTTCTGCAAAAAACATTCAATTTCCTTGGAAAAATGCTACTTAATTCTACAGAATAAACCTTTAACTTGACATTCTGGAGACTGTTCATCATGTTTCAGCCGTGTCATTGGAAGTTTTTATTTTATAGCTGAACTACAGCCGCACTCCCCACATGTACATGTAACCTATAAAACTCAAACTCACACACGTCAGCCATGCATGAACACATTCACACGCATGACACACACAGATCATGGAGAAAACAGGGCTGATCATGCGTGAATGCAGAACACGCAAACACACACCAAAATCTGTATCTCTTTTATTCTCTCTCTCTTACACACACAGACACACACACACACACACACACACAGTTGTCCATGCATGCAGTTTGGAGAGTGAGAACGCCCCCCTCAGCTGGAGGCTATGCGAGCTTTCTCATAGACGTGACGAGGCTGAGAGGAAGGTCGGTGTGTGGGTGTGTGAGCGTGCGTGGGTGGATGGATAGTGAAGGTAAAACCCAGCATATACACACGGATAGATACAGCGAAATAAAGGAAACACTACACTAATAAACACAACAAAAAAGAACATCCCAGCATCCTCACTGCCAACTCATTTGAGCAGATTAATCTCCAGATATGGTGGCAGCACTCAGGTGTAGTTGAGTTCAGTGAATGCTCAGGAGACTGGGACTGCTGTGTGCAGTCGGTGCATCCAGCTGTTCATTAAGAAAAAGCTGAAGTAGAAATGTCACGCTGGCCTGGAGGCTTAGGTCAGACCTATAAACACGATACTGTCTCACTGACTGGCTGACTGACTGACTGATGAGGTTACAATGTTTGTCAGTTGAGTGTTTGGTTTCCCTAATTGGCCGGTGCTCACTCCAAACTTACGGGTACAAAGGCTAGTCATGTATCACACTCCCAGATTGGGGTGCAGACCTCTGAGGCTCTGGCTGGCCTTTTGGGGTTTGTGGGACATTGAGGTCAACTTTTATTATGTATTTGAGACAAATTTCACCTTCACCATGCAGTTGTCACTTTCATTTCACACTGGATGTTGATTTCAGATCAAGTCAAGGAAAAATGTCATTACCTGAAGAAAGACACAGACCTGTGTTTACTTTTGACTCTTTCCCTGCCACAAGCAGAGGGTTTTTGGGTAAAATCTGTAAATATTCTGCAGGGTCTTTTTACGGTGGATCTCCTGCAAAGATTTTAGGTGCTCTGTGAGAGTCTCGTCTGCAGGCTTTGACAGTCCATGGCCAGGCATGGAGCGTAAGCCAGGGGCATCAGGTCATTTCCTGGTGACATGAGGATGTATTTGACCTGCTGTGAGCAGTCAGTGTTCATAGCAAGACTAAGCAAACAGACCCCTTTAAAATGCAAACATCATTATATGCAATGGTGGTTTGCACCATTTGCATAATGGTGCTCAGTCAGATAACATTTGTGTGAGCTGCTGTCTACAGTAACATCACCAATCCCAGAAATGACTAAGTGACTGCCCGGTATACACAATAAGTGGTTCATGTGGACAGGGTGGTCTAGGATGGAGTCAAATACCCAGTTTGATTTACTTTCCATGTTCATGTCAGTGCCATCACAAAAACACAGTGTTGCAGCCTCTCTTGATGCTCTCTTCAGCCTTTTTCACACATGAACTCCTGTTGTTTTTTTCCCCACAGATAATTTCAGGACTTCCAGGCCCTGAAATTCTCAAGACTTTACTTTCCACATAAACACCTGCACCTGCTTTGTTTACAAACTGGCTCATTTATTACAACCTGTTCTGAAAATATCCAAGGTTGCTCTTTAACACGTGTTGCACACAGAAGGGGATTTTCTTTGGGAGATGTGTTTTCAGCCACTGGAAGTATTTGGTGATAAGTTATGTGGCCTGTATGTGACATGCAGGAGAAGATGCCAACTGAAATAATGAATGCTTGATTTTAATATTAGGACAACATGTATTTTTATATCTGCAGTACAAATGCAGGAGTAAATAAGAAGGCAATGAAGAGCACAAGGGAGTATAAAGAAGGGAAGGTTGAATACAGCATAAGCAGCATCAATAACAACCTCACTTATTTGTATTGGATGCTATAGAAATTCATATATTTGCTCATGTAGACATTTAACGTAATTTGTACTGAATGACTGGCAGGTAAAAGGCTGTTTAATGTCCAGGTCAACAGGTTTAGATGTTTCCTTTTTTAGCTTGGATGTTTCCCCTCCCAACTTATTTCTTGTAATATTTTATTTTATTTTGTATTTTTTTTGCTGCTGTAACGTGAGTTTCCCAGTTTGGGATCAATAAAGTCTGTCTATCTATCTATGTATCTATGTATCTATCTATCTATGTATCTATGTATCTATCTATCTATGTATCTATCTATGTATCTATCTATCTATCTATCTATCTATCTATCTATCTATCTATCTATCTATCTATCTATCTAAGTTCAGTGTGACCAAAGTTGGGTACCAAGACACCATCAGGCTCCTCAACTTCGAAGGCTATGCTCACTCAAAACAACATCCAAGTAACTACCATGAAAAACAATATCTGTGTTTCATTTTTATGCAACATTTTTCTGCTACTCTTCTACAATCTGAGCAGCTGTAAACATCCTCATCTTTAGGCTTTACACCTTAATTTAAATGAAATGCTATGTGCCTTTGCACAGGAACGGTTCATTGCCAGGAAGTCTGTGGGTTCATGAAACGCTGAGCATCACAATGAGAATAACGATGGATTAAGCTGTCCTGTAGATGAAGCTGGAACAACACAAACAGGAAAAAACAACTAATTTGCTAGATTTATTCAACGTGTTGGAATGAAAGGCAAAAGAGAGAGAAGAGAAAGGAATCTGCAGAGGTAGAGGAGGATGAGAGGGGGAATGGATGCCAGAGAGACCCCCCTTCTTGTTCAGTTTAGAAAGACCTGAGGCTCAAGGAAGAAGAGATTTCTGTTTGTGTGTTTTGCACTTGTGTGTGTGTGTGTGTGTATCTAGGCTTGACCTCCTGACCTTGGCCAGCATTTTCAGCTCCCTTCTGTCTTAAACCACACCCCCAAACAATCAATAACCCCCCTTACAACCACCTCTACTACCACCACCCGCTGCTGCCGCTAGCTGTGACATGCAAATGACCCTTGCATATCATTAAAACATATGCCCTAACAACAATAGAATAACCTCCCACCCCCCCTCTGCTACTCCTTAAGACGTGCGCCTTAAGACATGGACACACTTATATACACACACACACTCACACAAACACACATACTCAGTGTGCACAAACAAAAGCAAGAAAACATCAACTCGTGCCCAGATGGACTCCAGTCAGTTGACCTCTGCTCAGAGCGGCAACAGACGAGCAAACAGACAAACAGACATCGAGACAAGTGTTCTTAAGCCCCCCTAAACACACACACACACCCACACACACACACACCTCATCAGTCATCCTGCTATACCTCAAACAGAAGCTCGCAGTAATGCTCATGCTAATGTCCAACAATTCCCACTTGTTAAGTTACAGTGGGGAAGATCTTCAGTGTAAAGAAGTTGTTTGCATCACTATTGTTTGTTGGTTTTTCTACGTATGATGACAACTTGGCCACCAAAAGACAGACCTTACTTCTGCAGTTTTCTTTGGTCCCAGAACTTTTTATGGTGCCGGTATTCCCAGAAATAATTAAAGCAGCAACAGTCACTTATCAAGGCTTGGTTCAATAGAGTACAGGTGAAAGTGAAGGACCTTCTTGCATCTATCTTCATTTCCAAGGAAGCATGGTCGATAAAGTTACATATCTAAGTGTTGATGATGGTCTGTAGCACCAGCGCTACGGACTTTATGCACAAGCCAACTCGTAAGTTTCAGATAAGTGAAAGTTTTGAGTTTCTATTAGTGTGCTTGTATTTCATGCAGTACTGACAAACAAGTTTAATGTAAAAATCTACATGACTATGAAGTAAATCAGACAATGATAATATAGGGAAGCTCCCTCAATGCACATAAAGTGACACAAGGTATTTCTCCTGTTTTTGATAACACTGGAACAGATGTTCTTTTGGTGATTAAATTATAAGAACATTTGGAATGTAGTTGTTTTATCTTCATTTTTGCTTTCCCTTTATTGTACTTACATTTCTATTCCTTATGTTTTTATATGCTGATATGGACCGATGGGTCTGCGATCAAGTTTTAGATGAGCTCCACTTTTCCGGTCTCATCCACTGTAAAGCTAACATATCATTCAGTATGTTTACACGCACAGGTAAGTTGATCCATGGTCATGCCTTGACTTTAACTAGACATTAAAGTCTAGTCTAACAAGACGTTAAAGTCTAGACAAGAGTTTAACTAATGTCCTTGTCCCAACTTTACACCCTGGGCAGATTTGATTTACTGACAAAGATATTTAAGCAAATACCAAAGTAGATGGAAATATGCTTCCCTTCAGATTGTTACTATTTGACTGTCATACAGTTGACTTAGTATGTCAAAGAAAACTGGTCAAAACTAAACTGAGAAATACATTTGGTTTCTCTGTTTGTATGGTTTTTGAAATGACACTTGCAGTGGCTGTTTACTGCATGCCAAGAAAATTCAAACTGAGAGCCATATTATGATGTGGCCTCTGGTGTGGCCCAAGACATGATGTTTAATGTGAACCTGCAGCTGAATTAACAACAAGTAGTTCTAAAGTAAACCACTAAACTGCACCTCTCAAGCTTTCTCAAACCTTCAGCACTCCCTTGGTTTAGTACAGGATCAGCTTTTGTAACAGCAGCGTCTTCTGAATCCGGACAAAACCAAACTTATGTTGTTACTTCTTCAAGAGTGGTGAAAACAGTCTGATCAAGGGAAGTTGTTTCCAAAGACGGGTGTGTAATTGAGTCGATATTTACTTTTACATACTTGAAATAATGGAATCAATGCACCCTAAGAGGATAAAATGGTATTCACAAAGAAATTGTCCTCTCTCTTTCCCTTGGGCTGGGCACAGCCATGGTGCAGAGGTAACTCACGTCACTATAGCATCTCTTCCTTCACTGCCTGAAGCTTGTGACCACAGGTGAGGACTGGAGAGTAGATTGACTGGTAAATCAAAAGCACTGCCCCCAACCTAAGCTGCCTGTTAACCAAGATGGTTCAGTAACCTGCTGTATTACTGTTGATGCGGCACAAATCCCTCTGTCCATTTCATTACCTATTTAACCTCCTTGCTCGAGGCAGTTACTCATTTTTAACCTGAAGGGAGCAACTCTCTACATCCTGGCAGAGAACCACAACCTCAGATAAAAAAAGGAGGTGTTTCACGCTGTGCTATAAACTGTCAAGTGTCTGCTGGGGGCCACAGTTTCATAAAGGTAACATAACCATATCGTCTGCTAAATAGCTGCAAAAAGATGCAATTCTAATGATGCGATTTGGCAGGGTATTGTTGCCCTTTCTTCTGGGTTTATATCTGGTCCTGTTGCTCCTGGTTTACCTGAAAGTCTTTCAGATCATAATAATGTTGCATGTATCAAAGAGAGTGCGCATGATGGAGAGCTTGGGGATATTTTACTCTGCAGTTTTGGGGTCTTGCAGAGTTAAGCCATAGCAGGTGTTTGAGGAAACAGCAGTGGTGGTGTCCTTGTTTCCTGGCATCCCAGGATTAGCCCCATACTGAAAGCACTATCACATATAGAAATGAGGGGAAATATAGTAATGTCTCCAATCCCTCTGTCCTGATATAATGCTTATTTCGCAGTATTGGCAAATAACACTGTACATCCATGTCTTTGTGTAAAAAGCTGAGAAATTCAGGTCAACTCTTGGGCCTATTTTATCTCACTAATGTGCTTCCTAAATATCAGGAAAGTACCAGACCACTGACGTTGAACCAAATTTTTGTGGGTCTTAAGTCGGACTTGTACTTCTGCATCATACCTACGCTATAGGTACACTGTAGTGGCCAACACCATTGTGAGCCCTACATAATTCCTTGTTGCTACCTCAATATTCAGTTAGGTGTGGAATCTCTATGCTCATCATACCACCAGTTCCTGGTCCCACAACTTTCCCTGCTTGTTTACAGGAAACCAAGGCAACTGAATCTGAGCGTAATATGTTTGAGTTGGCGCTGATACGCATATGTTGTGCAGCAGTTGATCTTACTTCAACTGTTTCAAAGAAGACAAGAGGATAGACAGACTACAGCCGCTGAGAAACGGACGGGATGGTGGCGATACCGAAAAAATCCGCAGACCACATCGATTCAACATGTAGTCACATTCTGGAAGAAGTGCACATTGGGAATCGTCCTTAAGCCTCTGCATGAGTAGGGGTACTCAGATCGATGGTGTGGGTAGAAAACACCAATGACATTAGCTCTGTATGCCAAGGACGCTGTGATCGTGGTGTCATCCTCTGAGGTTGGGCTCCAGGTCCAGACAGGCTGACACGACTCAGATGCCATAACAAGCAGGGATTCACTTTGACATCCTTGACAAATCCATAAAAATCACTCAAAGAAGGGGTTACAGAAGACAAGCCCATCACTGACATCCACTAGAAATTAGTGGTGAGTTTAAGAGTAGGAATTAGCAGGCCTGCCTAATGAGGGGTCCTCTCTATGGCTTAATGATGGGGGATCTCTGAACGAAAAGTGCTCGAGGAAATTAAGGATATAAAACAGAAGAAATGAGGGCAACTTTATCGCTAGACAAGAACTGGACTTATTACAGTGTATGCCACAGGGGTGCAGTGGTTAATTAACTGTGCTGTTGACCCCTAAACACACACACACACATACTCACACACACATGCACGCACAGCGATATCCTGTGGTTATTGAACTGATCCCACCATGGGCTCCAAGAGTTTGGTTTTTGATCAAAAACAATCAAATGGAGCAAACACACCCACACTGCTGTACGAATCAGTACAAACCAGAGGCTTCGGTGAAACACTCATTAAGCACAAGACTACACAAAATCAGTGTACATACGTCAAACTCTAAACAGAAACAAAACAGTGAGTCTAAATTTGAAACGTCACTTGCAGCACACAGAAACACTCTTTATTCAAGGTTATGGGTGTCTGAATGTCCTCTCCTAGTCTCCCTCTTTCTCACAAATACAGAAAATTCCTCCACTTCCCATTTCCAAGTCAGCATTTCTGCGTGTGTGTGTTGTTGCCGCACTGATCCATGGTAAGCAGATACTGTACGTGGGCTGCTAACAATAAGGCTTTGTCCAGTGGATGGAGGATGGAGCCAAAGGGGAGGAGGAGGAACAAACTGTGTCTGTCTGCTTCCCCTCTCGGATAACATACAGCAGCGTCCCACTGCAGCACAGGGCCACAGACCCCCTGCAAACACCATGGAAATTACATGAAGGTATTTCAACATGAGTGCATGCAACAAGCAATATTTACAGCAAAGAAAACAGCACAACTGTGAAAACAATGGACTGTAACTATTCTGCAGCAGATAATGGAGAAAGAGACTCAGAGAGACCTCCAGTTAAAATAAACACAAAAAGGACCAAAATACAGCGTCTTTATATATATATACTGTATTGGCAACATGACAAGAACCCAAACAAAGGGCTTCCTGCCGTAAAGAACATTTTTGACTTTCTCTGCCAAAGACATCCAGTGTTTCAACACAACAAACCCTTTGAGCCTCCAGATGTTTCTGCTCAGTTTAAGCCTTTTTTTGCAGGCCTATAGAGCCCAAAACCAGTCAACGCTGAGAAGGTCATATACTGTTCATTTCAAAGCCAGAATTTCAGTCAATAGACGAAATCACAAAGGCCTACTGTCTCTCATTGGGTTTTCCCCCGTTTTTATTCTGTAGATCCAAAATAACTCATAATTGGACCTTATTGTGAATGTACTTTATTATACTTCTACACTGATAGAGAGGATTGTGCAGTCATGCCGGTCATCTGCAGTCCAAAGCACATTCATCTTTGATTTTAAATCCAGAATTTTCCAAAACAAACCCCAAGCCCTCCTGACAACAGCCCAACACTCAGTCAGTACGTTTACATGACACTTGAGAAAACCGAATTATTGCCTTACTCCGATTAAGACCGGACAACTGAAGTGCATGTAAACACCTTAGTCATCTACAATCAGAGTTTGAGAACTCCGATTAGAGTCTGAGAACTCTGATTAAGACACCAAGATAATACGATTGGAATTCGATTTTCTCTACCATGTAGCCAGCGTAGTTGGAGTATGATTGGACAATGCATGTGCGCGTGCACAAAAACACCAGAGCAGTAGTGTGCACCTCATCTGCAGAAAAAGTAGCACCTGCATCATGTTCAACAAAAATAACGCTGTACGATGCTCCGTCTTCTTGCCCAAAAATGTCCAGCAGCAGTTGTAGCCACTTCTGACGTCTGGCACAGACCTGCTGTCCTTTTTGACAGTTGTATGGGGAAACAGCACCGCTGAAAAGACCCATATTGCCCCCTAGTTTTGGGGAGGAGGACACGTTCACGTCAATAATTCGATTTTCTCAGCTGCATGTATATGCGGACAAGGAGAGAAGTCTGATTCGGTGAAAAAACGAATTATGAGCTCAGTCGATTAAGTTGTGCATGTAAACGTGACGATCAGAATATTTATGGGAAACTGGTAAGTGTGGTGAAAAATGGAATTAAGAGGATCTCTGTTTTATCTGGCTACTCTTGGTACCAGTGAAGTCACAATCATATAAACAGAACAGAGTGAAATAGGGCACTTTTTAGGCACTTTCATGCTAGCTTGCTAACTTTCTTTGTACAGCCACTTACCACCAGATGGTAGAGACTGTTGTGTAACATAGATAATCAAAAACCTGTTGGAAACAGAAAAAAAAGGGGGGAAGGAAAAAACATTGAAGTGTTGTTTGTAATGGCTTTTGGGGATAACTTAACTTGCCCTAAGTTTTCTTAAGGTGACCACAGTTTCAAACCTTCTCTAGACACTTTTAATTTACTGAAACTCATATGTAAGAGCACATGAACGCCCAGTTCCTTGACACTGACTCCTTTGATTCATTTGAAATAGTGGGACGGTCTTGAAAAAGAGATTTTTAATCTCACAGAGTTTCTTCTCCTTGTTAAAAATGGTAGAATAAATAAAAGTAATTGTGCCAAAGTTGGTTAAAACCAAGACAGTGATTGTTAAAGACTTAATAATCAATCTAAACTATAATCATAACTTATAGTCAGCTATTACCACTACTAAGCTCATACTCTGCCTTTATATTCCAAACCGGTAACACTTTATTTGACGCCTATCTCTATAACGCATTAAAAATATATGTATAATGCATTATAATCATGTTATAGCACTGTATAACTATAGTTATAAACACTCATAAATGATCATAATGCTCTATAGCAATAATCATAACACATTATAAATCATTTTATCATGACTTATAAGGTCAGGTATTATAATGTGTTATAACTGTTAACAACAGTTGCATTGCATTATCTTTGTGTGCATTGTCAGCGAGTTGTTGACAGTTACATAAAGTGAAAGTGTGCAGGAGATAAAGTGGGGTTGACGCACAGCAAAAGGGAGCAGCTGTATTGAGGATTTGGGGTTGACACACAGTGTTCCAGGTGAGCTACCTGTGCAGCCCACTGAGTCAGCAGTTTTCTGGATGATTTCTGTTCATTTCAGTTTGAATGAGTTATGGCTGATGTGGTTTTTCATGCATTTCTGCCTCAGTTAGGCTCAGAGTTATAAAGAAGCATGATGCACATGATGCTTTAACTTACTCTTATTCCTACCTGTGTTTAAAGTCACACCACATGAGTTCAATTCAACACCGTTTCCACCTCAAATGCGCAAAAGTGAACAAGCATTAAACCTCGCGCACACATGCTCAGTCACACACAAGCGGCCTCTTCATCAGTATCACGTTGCTCGCTAATTGAGCTGTTTAAAAATTTACAGGGACAGAGATAGTTAGGTGGGGAGGATGAGAGGAGGAGGAGGAGGAGAAGCACAGGAGCGAGAGATTAAAAATAGTTGTTCAGGAGGTCAGACGGATGAAAAAGAAACTGACGGAAAGAGGGTGAAAAAGAAGGATTACAAACAAAACACCGCAGAGAACGTCAACCACATGCAGCGCAGCTCCCTGAGAGAGGACACCCTGAACCTTCCCACAATCCTCTCTTGTTTATTTCAATTTAATCAGGCGTCCGGCAAGCAGATTCATTAGAACAAATGAGTCTGGGGCCGCAGCCAAAAATGTGCTTTGATGTTTGTCACCAAACAAGCAGATTAGTGTTTCAGGGAGGTGCAATGTTCCCTCTGAAAATTAGATTTCTGTTAGCAGGAGGCGAGAAAAGACTGTGTTATATAGATGCGCTATTTAAAGAGTTATTTCAAACCTTGCTGTAGCAGTTAGCAGACCTATATTGGGGAATCTGTTATACTTCTAGTCACATGTTGTCTGTCGGTAATACTTTTGGCAAACTGAAATTTTATGAAGCCAGTTACACGTCAGAGAAAGCCATAACTAGACACATTTAGGAGCATTAAGGCTTATTTATGCTCTATGTTAGTTGCGCACAGATACTGATGGAGCCATATTTCTGCACTTCCTCTGCATGGTTGCAGTTGCTGACCAAATGTTGTAGTACCACAGAAAACTGCACAAGAAAGTCTTCAGTTTGATGTAGATCCCTGGGCAGTACAATCTAGAGGATATATCACTTTCTGATGACCTTTACAAAGCAAAGGGTTCATCTGTACCAATCACAGCATTTACCTTTGCTCATGACGGAAGCATAAATGAGCCTTTAGCCATAGCCATTGTCTTAGCTGGCATATGAACTAACCAGGACATCTAATCTGAGGGTGTGAACAAGCATAAAACAAGGTAGTATTAATATTATTAAAGCTCCTGAGAGTTACTTTTAGTTTCTATTTTGGCCCAGCCGCTGCTTTTCTTGCCTTCTTGTTGCTTAAAATGTGACCTTTGGCAAAATCTCACAGACTTTTAACAGTCAAATGTGTCATTAATTGTGAATATTTTACATGGAAATTGTAAAAGCAGGACTGTTTCCCCGGCTCCCGGTGACATTCGCTCCTTTTCAGTCCTGAAAAATGACCAAATAAGAATCATCATTCTTGTCACAGATGGACTTGTTTGCCTTTACGCATCATAAAAAGGCATCAATATGACTTTTAGTTTATCTATGAACCTCAAAAACTCATTGACACTAATTGTGTCCAGCTGTACAATGTATGGAGTCATAACTGGATATACTAATGTTTGCATTGGCCAATATACAGAGCATAGTTGTCCTGAGCCTTTTTCACTGTCAGCAATCTGTGGTCTCTAACCTCCAGGCCAACAAGGGCTTTGGTCAACAATCAAAGCCCAGAATGGAGCCCCCTCTGTGGGGCTTGCAGAGTTGACATCCGGCCTCTCTCCTGGAGGTTACTTAGATGAATCATCCACCTACATAACTCTGTTGAGCTAAATCACATTTAGGTCTGGGAGAAGCAGCCGTGGGACATGTGAGTCACACACACACATGCACATACAAGAGTTACACAATGATATGCAGCATGCCAATCTAAACTGATGTTCAACCAAGTAAAACAAGAGCTGGAACATGATTTTTACATTTGGGGGGAAGAATCCCCCACAGGGATCAAACAACTCAGTCTGACCTTTTATGAAGCTAAGTTCCTCCTCTAAAGTTTCAGTGACTTCGTTCAAAGTTTCATCCTGCAAACTGCAGGAAAAGAAACACCAAATTCAGCTGTTCAGTGGTTTATAAATAATATTGTATGTGCTGTTGGGAAGATTCTCAAGATGTTTGTTGCAGATAAATGAACAGGTGAGGATAAGTCGGTTGCTGTTGAAATCAGTTTTTCACTCCTAGAGCAAAAAGCGTCTGAGAGTCAGAAACCATGATGCCTTTCTGCTTCACAAACCTAACTTTTAATCACTTTTTCAAACCTGAATACTATTCCAGGAACTCAGAGGGTACCTGCACTTTTTAAAATCTAATTCAGTCATTAGAGTCATCCAATTTAACAAAAATACAAACTAAGAATGCAGATTTGTTACCATCCAGATCATACGAATCTTTGTATTTGTGAGCTGTTGATATCATGCTAATAGGTTTTTGCACACCTCCTCCAAAGCTCTACAGACAGTGGTGTGATCAGGTTTGAGTCGGTTCATAAGGACTGTGACATTGGAGCTTCGCCCCTTTGCACTCTGCTGAACTTCTATGAACCAGAACAACACAAGTTTAAAGGTGCCCACACTTCTACATGTCGTTGTCATTTCATATCAAGTCGTTTAAACATGAAAAGGTCAGACATGGTTCTGCCCTGTTTAAGCCATTTAGCCAAAAGTAGTGAATACACATCTTAAACAAGCCTCACACTGGGCAGCACGCTCCATCACTGTTTCAATATTACACCAGTACCACTACTCACAATAACTGAACTGATCCTGTTTAAAAATGTTCATGATTGGTACAAAACATCTCCTTAAACCTTCAACCCTCTTCTACACAAAACCCTCAACTTCACAAGAAAAAAAAAAACTTTAATTTCCAACAGACCCGTCATAACAGTTTAATCAAACACTGTTTTCAATCCTACACACAGCAGTCGCAGCAGAAACACTGAGTTACTCCGATCTGCATCGCCTCAGATTGTGTCATTATTTCGTATTCAATTGTTATTATTATTATTTTTGTATTTTTGCTGTTATTGGAAGATTAAACTATGTTACCGTGGCACAAATGTTCATGCTGTTATGCAGCCTTTGTCTCAATCACTCTGAAATTACATATTTCAAAGAAATTTCATAACAGGTCTGTTAAAAAAGACTTTATTCATTCATCTTTTGCAGAACTTAGTCTTCACATAATTCTGTTCCTGTGCGTTTACACATTTTTCATCTTTAATGTCTTGCAAAAAAGTGAAACAGTATTTAAAATTGTGAGCTCAGACAGTGAAAGGGACGGAGTGGAGAGGGAGCAGCTGCTGCTGACACTGAAGAAGAAAGATACCTCGTTGTCTGGAGGTAAACAACACACCGGTAATTGAGCAACCATCACCATGGCTACATCAATGCAGAGCATCCGCCCACACCCAACCAGACACACACACACACACACACACAAATACACAGACACGCACAACAAAAACAATTAGGCTCAATTACACAGGTTGTAGGATGATTCAAAGCATAGAAGTTTGATTTTCACTTAAATCTTCTCATTTTACTTGGACTGTAATAAACTCCAGCTGCAGCCTTAAGGAGAGGAAAGTAAGTACAAGACTTTAACTCTACAAAGACACACATTAAAAGGACTTAAATGAGACAAAATATTAAACTATTTACATTTTTAAAGCACATTCAGCGTTTCAGGAGTGTTTCAGTGTTTTGTCATGTGATCTTCTGGCAACATCAAAGTCTTGTCTAAGTCACTTTTAATGATATCTAATTATTTCTTCAAGGATCAATTAAACATTATACACACCACCCAAGCTTCAGTGAATGATTCAAAATACAATAATTCATGTTAATTCATGCTAATAAACACAAAGACTGCTTTCAGCTTCATACCTGGCTGCTGGAGACTTCCTGGAAGCAATTTAGCTTCAGTCTGAGAGTATCTTCTGCATTCATTTACATCTTATCATGTCATTATGTAAATTCCTGTACTATGCTGCAGGATTTCTCATTCATTAGTGTAATGTTGGTGTAAATATCTTCAATTTCTATATTTTCTACATTCTTTTATGTATCGTTTTCTCTCATTGACAACGACAGTGGTACAAGACCTTTAACATCTATCTGAAAAATGCCAACAGTGAATAAGTTACAGTGCTTTGTCTCCCTGATGGCTGCACAGTATCATGAAAAAGCTTTTATTGCAATGTGTTTTGTTTTGGCATGATGAATGTATCATTAAAAAAAACTATTATTGTGTGCATGCCAGATGTAGGATACCGTAAACCAGTTCATGCATGCTAGCATTGTTTAGCGTTGCAGCAAAAATATAAGTAAATAAATAATCCAATCGGTTCATGAGAAATGACTTTTAAGCAGACTGATCTGGGTTAGTTCTTCTGTCTCCTCCTCGCCACATTAACAGCTGCCATCTGTGTTCAACACCGGGCACCTGGGGTTGCACCTTCTCTTCAAAGGTGTTATATTTGCAAACACAGCAAAAACAACAGACACTGTCTCTAGTCTTGTAAATCAACAAAGGGTGTAATAAATCAGCTTCTCTGCGTTTTCTCCTTCCAGCATTTTGCACGCCAGGGTAGAGACGCCCCACATCGCGTGTTTATCAGTGCAAACGTGCAGCTTGTGCATGATTATCACACCTGGTTTCCATCTAACGGTGAATACAGGAGCGTTTTAGGAGAGAATTTGATAGTTTGATTAATCAAGATAAAAGTGGAATAAATGGTGCAGCGCTAATCTCCATCTTTTTGTCTCATTATGAGTTGTTTGGGCAGTTTTTCCTTCCTAAAATTGTGCCCTTCTTTTTTTTCTCTCCAGCCAACACTGGTTAAAAGTCACATCATAAAGCCTCATGGATGATTAAGCTGGGCTACATACTTTGGTTAGATTCAAACCAGAGCTTGGATCAATCCAGGACCATTTCCTCAGACTGTCAAGTGAACTCTAGTCCACTTGAAAACAGGGTCTTCATTCTGCTTCCAAGCAAACCCAGCAATTATAAAACTCTGTGAAGACGTTCGGCATCTTTAATGAATTCAAAGACATGCGTGTATCCTTAAATAAAGTGCTGGAGCTGCAGTCCAGACAACACAGAGAGTTATGAAGAAGGCAAGCGTCAACAAAAGTGAGGCGAGGCGGAGAGGAGGAGGAGGAGGAGGAGGGAGGAGACCCTGAGCCCCCCCCCAGCAGACAACAGCAGGACACGGCAGACCTTAAACACTTCTCTGCAGATTGTCAAGTCAAATAAAGGTTGTCGCGCGCCAAGCCTATTGTCCAGACCCTGACCCTGTAACCCCTCCCTCTCAAAAACCTGCCTATCTACCAGGCCTCACCCCCAACACACACACACACACACTTACACACACTTACACACACATACACAAAGAGTTAAACTCGACTCTTTGTGTCCGGCAACAGGAGGTGTGGTCGTTTTTTCTACAGTTAATGAGTTGGCGGGGACACGGGGGACAAGCGGAGGCACGGGTCATTCATTCATTTAGCCTCTTAAGCTTCCTTAGCCCTTAACCACCACCCCCTTCAACACACACACACACACACACACACACACACGTAAACAAAAACATACACAGATATATGATAGGCACACATAGATGCACAAACTGATCCGGCCCTGCTAATTAAACGAATATAGACAAATTTAAACATCACCGTAAAGAAACTAAACTTCACTTTCTGACACCAAAACTGCAAACACACACTCACACACAAATACATACATACACACACACACACACACACACACACACACACGCGCGCGCACACACTCAGCCATATAGCTCTGGCGTCTGGTGACACAATAGCTTCCCATAGCAGCTGGTCAGCTGAAACCACAGGAGTCTCACACACACACACACACACACACACAGACTTAAAGATGCAAAATGTACAAGCCCCTGCATGTCTAATGACGTGCCAAGACGACAGAAGAAGAAGAAGAGAAAATGACTGGACCGGCCATCTGTGGCATGTGGAACATCTGCGCTAATCAATAACACACTCTCTCTCACACACACACTCACACACACTGACATGCATGAGTACACATGTTAACCAAGGCAGGCATGTCCATGTTGACACAAGTACTTTGATGTACATGTCTGCGATCACTGCTGGTACGGCGTAAAATTGAGGTATTTCAACGATAAAATTGAAAATTCATTTTGTGAGTTTGACTTCGATAAATGTAATAAACCTTTCCTGAACTCTTCAGGAACCAGTTGTTGCTCTTATGCACACCCTGTAAACATGTTGACACTCTCACCTAATTAGAGTTGCTAGGCTACAACTGTGCATCACTGTTTGGGTGTGCATTTGAGCCACATCGTCACAAATATTCCTGATTTAAATTTCACTACTACAAACAGTGTCATCAAAAATCTTTACAATCCCAAAACAATTTGACGATACACACACTAAAAACACACAGAAAAGCTTAGCTGAAGTTTTTGGAGGTTCGTTGCTGATTTGTTAGGAATAACTTTATCATTACTGAACACTTTTGAAGCAGTTTGCTGTACATCTCTAAATCTGAGGAACAACATTCACTAGTCAATATGTTTTGAGTTTTCATCACATAAAACTAAGTTAATCATGCTGACATAGTCTGAGAATATTAGTACAGCACACTGACACTAACATTGATCTCATGTACTGAGACAGTCTATCTATAAAGAAATGCTAATCAAACTTCCTCTGCTGATTCGTTGATCAGGATTCAAAAAAGAGAGGCTTAATTTTCCATAAAAGACTGTAAATGTGAATAATTTTCAATTTCCTCCCATTTGTCTGCACATGGAAATCCACACACAAACTGAGGAGCTACAGGAATAATCAGCAATCATACTCCTCTGTGAGTGTGCTGCTTCTTATAAAGACATCAGGGGAGGAAAAGACACACACACACACACACACACACACACACACACACACATCCCCCACTTCTGGGAAACACCTGCAGCCATGCTTGTTATTCTGGAGAACAAAACACAGTTCACACATCCCTTAACCAATTACACCCCAGACTACTCTCTCTCTCTCTCTCTCTTTCCCCTACACACACACACACACACACACCCTCTGACTCTGCTTATCTGCATTCACCAAACAGTCTATATCTAAAGGTGAAGTCTCCAGTCTCTCTCTTTCAGCTCATTAGGAGTCAATGAAGCGAACACAAAGATGTCGACTGCAGCCCCACTTCAACTCAAGTTTTTTAGCAGGTTTTACTAACAGTCTCTCTCACAACAAAGAATAAGTGTTTGAGTAACAGATAGTAATCATCCTCATTGTGAAAACAGCATTTTTCGACTGGCAGAAAAGCTCTTTTATTATGAACTCGTGTGGAAAATCTTGACAGAACCAAGGAGGTTCAAAAATCACCAGTTTCATCTCTGAAAACATCAAAAATCTGTTTTATTTGGATCCAAACTGTGGAGCACAAGTTCTGCACATCACATACATTTATCAATTTGTTTATTTATTTTTGTTATAGAGTGTGAACTGGGAGAAAGATCAGGCAGAGACACACAGGACAGACACTTGAGGTCTGAATCTATCCCAGACCACCCTCATACTGTATACGGGGCCTGCTTAGACCTCCATGTGAGGTCACTCCATGTTTTATATAAGGAACCATCTAAAGAACATTAATACTGTCAGAATGTATGAACTGCACTGTCATTTTTAAACGAATGAATGAATCCAGATGGGTGTTCAAAACTGGATTCTAAACACTGAACGGAGTAGGACTGTGTTCCCTTTTCAACAACACATAATATTCATGATCTCTTGACTGCAGCGATGAGATCAGATTAGCAAACTAGGACAGAAGATGGATGAAGGTAATGAGGAAGATGAGGAGGTGAGGGGGAAAAAAGGAAGAAAGAGGCAGAAAACGGAGACAATCTGTGTGTGGGTGTGCGTGTGTGGGTGTACGGTAAGTGTGTGTGGAGGTACTCGAGTGACCTATATGCGTCAGAGCAGTGTACCCCAGGGCCAGGGTTATATTTGGTCTTCACACACGTTAGTTAACGCAACCAACAAGGACACACACACACACACACACACACACACACGGGTTCAGAGACAGGATTATTGTCATCATATTTGGAATATTGAAATGAGCCTGGATCAAAAAACATAAGTTTGTTCACTTCGTCAAGTTCAAGTTTTAAAATTCCTCTTACCATTTATTGCATTGAAAGACCTCAAGAAATCTGATAACTGAGTCCTGTGTGACAATTTTTCAGCAGTTGTCATAAAGGTTTATAAGGCGTCATTATATAACAGAAGAAGTCTGTTGGGAATATTTCAAGAAGACGGTTAATGAGAAAAACTTCCTGCTATGAAAGCGTAGAGAGCAGACGCATGGTGCCGTGCTTCGCTAACTAGCTCACTGAAATTACTAGCCTTCTACCGATTTTTCACCAAGTCAACTCGACGCCATTCTTACCTAATAAGTGGAAACACTGAAAATGAGACCATGCCACTGAAAAAGAATGACGAAATAAAGATGAGGAGAACAAGCAAGTGCCTTCACCGAGTGATAGCAGCAAAGGTGGCGGGCTAGCTAACTAGCCTCCACCGCCTCCACAGCATGCACCTCAGTGGTTCATTTCTGAGATGGAGAGAGAAGATGGTTAATGAGAAATATTAAATTATAATATTTTGAGCTAGCCCCAATGTTACTTTAGAGAGCCTCTTAGCAATAAAAACATCTTTAAAATCCAGTAGTTCACACAGTAACAGTCATGAGAGGTCATAATAACCACCTTCATTTTCATCAAGTTTCCTCTTTAGCTCAGCCACTGGCTCCACTTTCCCCAGGCCTTTAGCTTAAATGACTTTATCCGAGAATTTTTGACAAATTTGAGGGCCCTAGTCTCATTTCATGACTTAGTAAAGCACAAACACACAGGTGTGCATTTTTTCAAACTGGTTAGTTCTCGTCTGGGTTGTAAGACTTATAGATGGCTAGTCACAGAACTGAATGAAAACAGTTCAAGAACAGTTAGTAAGTATAGTTGTACCCTTGATTTGTAACATGAGGAGCAAAAGCTTTAACATTGATTTTGGATTCACCATGAATCTTTGAATGTCAGCTTTTAAAAGTGCTGAATCATGTCTCAAAGAGATGCTAAAGCTAGCTCACTAGCAGCAGCTGCTTCTTCTCCATCTTTCTTCTGTCTAACAGCATACCTATTCTTACCTGCTTCAGTATAAACTTGCTGGGAATATCAAATGGCCATCAAATTAAGCCTGTGAACATAGGAGGACAGCTCATAAAATGAGAATAAGAGCTATAACGTACAATAACATCCCATCTTCCTCTAAAGGATCAGTCTATTAGAGCCGACCTGCATCACTCACACACTTTAACCTGTCAGCACCAGGTCGAGGCTGTGCGTGTGTGTGTGTGTGTGGGAGTGCGAGTGTGTGTGGGGGTGCGTTTGAAGGTCACAGGCTGATGTGATTGTGTGGGTTTAATGTCCTTGACTCTTCCCTAATCCCTGCCTTGGCATTCAATCCTGACCTGCCATGCTCCACTGACCTCAGATTACAGCGCACACAGGCACAGAGCACTAAATACACACATGCACACACAGACACACACACAAGGGATGATGCTGGAGACAGATTACCTTGTCCGTATATTAGAAATGCAGTCAAGCATGTACTGTATGGATCTATCTCGAGACACACATGCATGCTACGTGCACAAAAAGTACACATGAACAATGACACAGAACATGATTGGACCCTTGTAAACTTCCTATGGTCCATGAAGTCAAATGTGCATTTTGCAAGTTCAGGTGCAAGCTCAGGTGCAAACTGAGAAGAAGTTGTATTCCCCTTATAAATCATGAGTGTTTAAAGGATATGATTCAAACATGATTCACTTTACTTTTTTAAAGCCTTTAAAATAATGTCATGCCAAGACTCCCAAGACTCCCAAGACTCAAGTCCCAGAAATCTGACAGAAAAGACTCCACACTGAAGGAAGTTTGTGTGAAGGAGCAACTCTGAAAAATTTGACATGAGCATACACATGTCAGAAAAGGGCTTGAGTGTAGGACTGGAGGGATGGAGCAAAGAGCATGTCATTGTCTTTCAGCTTCATAAGAACAGCTACACAATGCTATGAGCAGTGAAGTGGCATCACTTTGCAGGGGAAGCAAGAGCTTGAACTTGACCAGTCCTCTCTTACATCAGCAACTCCATATGACCACATACTGTATGAGGAAATACTCTGCTCTCTAAGTGAGGATTAGAAGCACAGCTGTGCATCTCTGCAGCAGAGTGAGCTTGTTTTGTGAAATACAGGCTGGTCTTACTGCCTGAGTAATTGATTAATAGTGCTACGACTCTCTGCTGCTTTAAGACAGCAGTGTGTCACAAATGGGCCTGAGCCATACCCCATTATTGGACCATCACAGTTAAGACTACTCCAAATTTTTCCTGAGATCGGCGTCTCTACCTAAAGCAAATTTCCCTTTAATTTCAACACCCAATGATGAGGTCTTGACTAGGGAATCACCTGACCAGCAGAGCCACACTGCTCAAAGTACTACATCAACAGTGGCGTAACCTCATCCTACGTCAATATGAGAGACTGACATTGCTCTCATTATGCAGAGTTGGTAACCGTTGTCAAGGGGTTGTCAATGCTTGATTGTCCAATCCAAATAGTAAAAAGTATTAAATACAGCTGGGTTAGCACACAAATTACAACTTTGCAAAGGCGCCTCAGGCTGCATTACTAGCTACTTTGCAGATATAGAGTGGTACAACTTTTGGGCTTATGATATGATACAAATTCATCTTAGAGGTGTATACAAAACCCGAGTTTGATCCACCGGTCTGTGGTAATTCATCTATAATGCGGCTGCCCACTGACATCAGTTTGATTAGCTGCACCTGTATGCTTAGCTTTTAGCTGGTAGCTTAAACTCAAAGTGCTTCAATTGTATTTGATGTAGGGTGACCATACGTCCTCTTTGGGGGCTGTCCAGGTTTGTAAAATCATTCAAATGTCTGCGGTTTTGTACGTAAGTTTCGAGATTGTGTCACGTGGACTTACTGAGTTAGAAGCGCATAAAAGACACTCGATCTGACCCGAAAAACTCTTAAAATTAAAACTTCGTGTGACTAAGTGACTCTGCCCCCGTGTATTCATGTCCGCTTTTTGGGAAGTTAAATTACAGTCACCCTAATTTGACCTAAAGTGCAAATCACTTTTGATTGATGCTGAAAGCCTCAGTCAAAACTTTTGCATTAAAAACACTGTGCTGGTCATTTTCATATTCATTCTACAAGTAATCTGTGTTCCTGAAACCTATGTAACTGGTTACCATCGCAGAAATAATTGGAGGTGTTGTATGTCTTTCCAAAACACTTTAATAGATTACTCACCAGCTCTGTAATATTCATCTTTCATCCAGATCCTCTGACCTTTGATATTATGACCATGAACTTTAATAAGGTTTACCAGCCATTAGCCACACCCTCATGAGCAGTTACAACCACACATCAATCAGTTTGTGTGTGTGTGTGTTTGTGCATGTTGTGTGAATGCTTTCGCTCCATCTCGTCTTGAATCCATTCCTGTCTCTCTGTGTTTTCTAACCCCCCAGTCATCGTTCAACCAAACACAATTCTGTGTACCCATTTTCCTCAGGAGAATGACCCTTGAGGTGATTGGCCATCCACACTGACCAGGATATGGCCCTGTCCAATCAAATTAGTGGACGGTCTGCTCTGGCTGAATTATGCGTGCTGAGATAACGAGGTCCAGGGAATAATTGGAGGGCTAGGACCACGAGAACAGACGGGTGACCCCTGAACAAACTGTCTGCTTTCAACTCTCATCTGTTTCTGCATTCATTCATTCTTCACTGTCTCTCCCTTTTTCCTCTTTATGTCTTTTTATCTCACCCATTCAATCGTCCCATCACATTTTTTAGCCTGACTCTTGATACTCTTGGAAGTAAAAACAACTACAGATGCGAGCATTGCGCATATTTATGCAGGGTACTTTGGGGTCATACATTTAAATGGTTCAATAACTTATTAGGTTTAAAGTTTAAGATATAGTGGTTCTTTGTTAGAGTTGCTTCAAAGCCAATACCAAAGCAGACCAAATGACGCATCAATATTAAACCATGACTAATTCAAAGAGATAACAGTACACTCAGGGTTTGATAGAATGTGCTACCGTACAATACAGTGCAACATCAAATAATACAATACAACACAAAATATGATGCGACACAATAAGAAATAAACAATATAATACACTATGATACACTGGATATGATTTGATCTAATGCGATATGTTATGACGTGATACAATATGACCCGAAACAATATGAGACAATAAGATGCTGCAATACGATACAACATGACACAACATGATACGATACAGTGTTATATGAAACAATACACAGGATGCCATACCACACCATGAAATACTTTGCCATACTATGAAATGCCATAACATAATACTCTATAATGCAATACAGTACCATGAGTTGTTAAATGATACCATACCACACCATGCCATATGGTTTAATATGATACAATATGATGCTATGGGACTGGATTTGGCATGATACGACCAGTACAAAATGATAATTCCATACATGCCAAACAACACCATACTATATGGTTTGATATGATTTGACACAATATGATTCGATACGATACAATATGATACGATAGGATGAGATAAGACATGGTATAACACCATACTATACCATATCATACACGTAATGCATACTAACCAATATGATTGTGTAGCTACTATTCCATAGTTAATGACCCAACATGACCCAGTCTGATACAATGTCACTCACAGTTTCAGGTTCACAATTAAATTTTTTTGAGGGTGTGAGTAACCCAGTCTGTGTTCAAGTTTTAGAGAAGTGATTTTGGTAACCCTTTCTTTTATGATACGCTTATTATTACCATGTAATTAACAGGTAACAACATTAATTACATGATAACTACTAAGTCAATACTGTCTAGCTACCAGGTAGGTAACATTCCATCATCATACAAATTTGAAGCCGAATGGCTCTGGTATTTCCAGGATTTTCTTCACTTCCTGGAACCACCACTTGCGCAGTAGCATTTTACGCATTCGACGGGTGAGTCGTATAGGCTGTATCAAGTGTAAAACATAGAAAATAAGAACCCTGAATAGCTTTTGAAAATGGAGCTGCACAGAGAAAAGAAAAAAAGTAAACTAGACAGTATTGACTTAGTAGTTATCACGTAATTACCAGGTAATTTCATGTTGTTACTAGGTTATTACCTGTTAATTACCTGGTAATAAGTGTACTGTGATTTCTTCACCACACTGTTATCTGATGCTTTTTGGGGGCATTTTCTGTATCATGAATAAACTATGGTGTGAATAAATGTCAATTTTCAACTTTTTGTCCTTTTGAATAACTTTGTATTTCCCCACCCCTCAGGCAGACCTGTTTTTCAGAATGTGTGCTGGGAAACTAGACCAGACAAGAACTTACAATCAGTGGTGACTCATCATGACTGTCAAGTCTGAGGAGAGAGAGAGGACGATAAGTGAATATTAAATGAAAGGTGAACAGTTCCTGTAAGAGCACTTTCGTTATGAAGACTCAGTGTGAAGCAGCATAACTGCTTTTGACCGCAAAGAAACTGCAACATTTCCAGGAGCTTTATTGCTGCATTATGCATGAATGTAAATTGTAACACAGTAAAATAATGTATGCTCTGGTGTCCCTATAAATGCTAAAACCATTTGTGAGACTATATATGTGAAATAAGTTATCAGAGTGAGGTTCACAAAAGCAGTTAACGTAACACAAAGTAAAAACAGAGGAATATGAGGATTATCAGTTTGAGCATGTAACCCAGAGTCCGCTCACACAGATTGTGATGACAGCTCAGAGCTGGAGGCCAGACCGACCGTCTGTCACTCACAGCACTGATACACTCTGTGAGCACGTATGAATACATAATGCAGACAACATCAACACACACACACACACACACACACACACACACACACACACACACACACACACACACACACACACGCTGCAGTCCCCTGTGACTGACAACACATCAGCACTGATAGTCCAGGGTAACAGATTAGTCATCACATTATTTGCTGAGTGAATGAAGCGACCTCTCTTCAAATTAGCTCAATGGCCTCTTTCCTGAGAGAGAGGCCCTTCAGTGATTACGCTCAAGGCTTAAAACTAGGATTAACCCTTAATTAATCATACTATCATTGTTTGGCTGCATGTAGAGCGTGGTAAGCAGGGCTATCAGGGGACTGTGAAGGTCTTAGCTTTGATAATATGTGTTTAGTAGAAGTATTAAAAAAAGAAAGAAAAATCACAATTCTATTAAAAACTGCTATATTTATGGGGCTCCTTTTTCCCTGGGTAAATCACGCGAAAAACTTTTGGTTTTAAAGCCGTCTGAAGTGCCACAATAAGAAGTATGACAACATTTCTCAGGAACAAAGTAAAAGTCACTGAAATTGATGCAGCTCTTACTAACCTCCATATTAGGAGTATAATTCATGTATTTTACTCCACAAAATCATCCTGTATTAAGACATAAATGGCTGCACAACCCTCCCATATGACATATAATCAATTATTCTCCAGCTCAGCAACATGGTAGCTAATAGCAGAGAGAAACAAGCTCAAGAGAGAAAGCCAGAGAGAAACAAGCTGACCAAGAGATTATCAAGCTGTCTGGTTTAAAGTCCAAAGACAAAGTTTGACTTTTAAAAAACAGGAGACATCCTTGATAAATCATTAGCTGTTTGCAGTTTGTAAAGGTCAAGTTAACAAACAATCTTTTTCCTGTCATTTATCAAGGCGGCATGATAAAAAAACACAGCAATGGCAGAGCTTGGAAAAAAAGTCTCAGGCATTGCTGACGTCTTTACTTCGACTCACTGTGAGCTAAAACTGCCCCAGTGTCAGAACAGAAACACACAGATAATTACTACTATAGAAAGCTGCCGGCCTCATGAAATGAGTGGATTTTAACCCAAGATGGTACTATAATCTAATTTAACAGCTGATATTGTAAACACAACAATATTATATTATATATGCTGTACATCACTGCTCCTGTCCTCTGTCAGCCAGCATTACTTGGATGTTGTTTGCCTTTCTTGCAATGCATTACACGATTGTTTTCAAAGCCACATGAAACTAAGCGGAAGGCATCAATACAGGAACTGTGACGCATCACAGCAAATAATGTAGATGGTTCAATCCAGCTGGAACCAGTACACGATTCCCATCACTCGTCAAACAGTGTCCTCTTTGTATGGTATTGCCAACCATATACTGGCTTTACAATATGACACTAACTCAGGAAGAGTTCTGTGTTTCAGAAAAAGACAAAAAAAATGAAAACTGATGACAGACTCTGGCTCCTGTAACCAACAGCACCTTTTAGTGGGACTCTCACAGCCGAGCACAAAGCACTCTGAGGAGCATTCAGGCTCTTTTTCTACAGAAACCTTGAAATTAGCAGCAGAACAGCTGCAAATCAGGCTGGTGAAATGCAGACACTTTTTAGATGAATCAATGAGAGTCATTTTCTGACCAGGAGTGACATTGACTCTAATAATGGGCAATTTAGACTTCAAATCAAAGCAGCCGGTCTTTTGGTTTGGTTAAATGTGGTATTATAAAGCCTGAATAAAACCCAGACATGTGATACACACACTCTCATACAGACAAACACACACACACACATGCACGAACATGCTCGCATATTCACAGAGGTGGCATTAAATGAAAAAGGAAATCAGGCAGACGAATCAGGTCTGGAGTCAGAAAAGCAAACTGAGAGCTAATGAGGACTGCAGAGATTTGTGTATGACTGTATGTGTGTGTGTTTGTGTGTGTGTGTGTGAGTCTGTGTGCATTTGTGAGCGGAAAAGCTGACTAAAAATCAGGCAGATAATTTTTCTCTACCCCTGGAAAAAGGAGTAACATTGACTTATCGTTGCTTCCTCCTGTTGCTGTTGGTGTGTGTTTTGCCCCACAGATGGAGCTTCTCAAAACTTGGCTGGTTTGATTGTTTTCATGAGAGTTAGCTGGAGTTAAATGAACCTTTTTTTCTAGCATCAGTGACCTGCACCGAGCCTGCAGAGCGCTCATCCTGAAAATTACATAACACCTCACATCTGTCCTGAAACAGCAGTCACAGTTTGGCTCTTGGCCTGACGTCTGTAGAGGTCAGCGGCTCAGAGGATTTTCAAAATAAGAGCTTTTACTTCAAGAGCCACATTGTGAAGAGAAAATGTATACAGGGGTAGTTTTGTGTGGCTTAAAACACCTGACATATTTCCCTAACTATTAATGTGAAACAAAGCCTCAGGTAGTACAATATTTGGACAGTAAAATCCAGGAAATAAATAAATAAATGACCCTCAATAGTTTAAAAAAATAAGCTAATCTGTGTGAGAGTTTAGAGCAAATAAACTGTAAAAAAATCAAGCAGTTGTACTAATTCTGGTCGGTAAACACTGATGCATGTAAACCTGCTGTATCTCAGACATATTACATGCTATACAGACCGTATGTGATCAGATATATTTAATTAAAAACAACCAGATCAAAACTCTCTTCCTGGCGTCTGCAGCCTCTTTAATCCCTGATTTGTCGTCTCATCCCTGTCACCCCCTTTATTTGTTTCTTTCTGACTCCCCCGTCTTCCATTAACCTCCCTCTTGCCTCCATATCTCATCTCTCCTGCAATCTGTTTCTTTTTTTACAAATCCTCCTCTCTCCCCTCCCCCATCATTTCATCATCTCCCTGTCTTGTATTCATATTGTAAGACACCTCCTCCTCTCTTCCGTCTTTAAATGGTCATTTTTTCCTCTCCATCACTGCCCCCATCCGCCTCTCTGCCCTCCATCCCTGCTGTCTGTGGCTGCCGTCTTTCTTAACCCACTTTCAAGGCCAAACAATAGAGACAATGGGGAGGGAGCCCCCGGGGCGATGGGAGGGGATGTCGATCGCAGGACCAGTGTTAGCATCTAAAAGACTGCACCCCACCAAGAGAGAGAGAAACCCAGGGACAGAGAGAAAAAGAGAGAGAAACCCAGAGAGAGAGAAGAGAGAGGGAGAGAAGGAGAGAGAGGGAGCTCTGCTGCCCATCTGCTGAGGTGCTGAAAGGAGAGGAGGGGGGGTCAGCGAGGAGTGACAGACTGCTGAGACAGAGTGAGGTGATAGTGTGAGTGTGTCACTCTCCATTTTCCATCTAACACTCTTTTTCTCTCCCTCCCTCTCTCTCTCTCTCACTCTGCAGGAGCACTACTACATACATGGTGCAATACAGCTCAGAAACAATACAGGGCACTCCAGTTCCCATCAGCCTCTGTTGCCAAGGAGACGAAGAAGCCACAGAGCTTTAGTTGGAGTGATGTGGTCTGAGTGCCACAGAAGTTTGATTGATCCAAACTGAAGGATAGTCACTCAAGACAGTTGTGGTTAATTATTCTATGAAAATACACGTGCACAAAACTCTTATTAAGTTTCCCAAACTTTCAGCGCTACAACACCGCCGCCCTGCTACTTCTTGTTTGATTTGGTTTAAAGAAAAGATTTATGGGCTCCAATCAAATCGCTGTTTTATCATTTGCATTTCATCAGTAACATCTGTATTAAGTATTTATTTACTAATCTTCCCTGGAGAAAAAAGGCAGCATTGTTCCCTCTGACAACACACAAGAAACAGCGACTCAGTCTTTTCAGCTCCACAGACGACAGTCGTGATAAATGAACTCGAGGTTTGCTCAGAAAGAACCCTAAGCAGAAGATAAAGAGAGTTTTTCCTGTCCTTTCCTGACCCCACTCTAAACTCTAATATGTAAATGTTTTTAATGTGCGCTCTCTGATAGAAGCATGGTCTGAGTTTGTCTTTGTCCAACATGGAGCACATCACGCCACAGCACACACACTCAGACTCACACACTCACAGCAAGCGTACACATTCAGTGCATTCACTGCTCACTTCTCTCTACATTATTGGTTCTTTTAAACAGCTGCATTGAACAGAAAGAAAGGAGTACAGTAGGTCTCAGGGTTCAGATGGATTGTGGGTATTGTGCTGTGTGTAGATTGAATTATGTGTGCGTGTGTGCATTGTGAGTGTACTGTATACGTACTGTAGCGTATCACCACAGCAGACTCCAGCTCTGACCTACAGACCCCAATGAGGCAGTGCTGATGTACACCCTAAGTCTGTCACTGATTGTAGATGTGGACACTTCAGGTCAAAGTTAAAGAGAGACAGCAGGAGGAGGTGAAAGTGTTGATGTGGAGGAGGACTCTGAGTTCAGACTTTGACCTAAACTGATAATTGAATCAATCAAATAATGTCCAGAGTTTCATGCATGTAGAGAAATAAACATGCATGTTTTCATGTTTTCATGTCTTAAAATAAATGATAATTTTTTTTATATAAAGGAATAAAAAATGTAATTCATGTTGTTTGGTTTCAGCTTTCAATCCAGTTGTATTCACATTGTTAATATTTTTTACATGCATGATTTACATATAAGGACCATCAACCTACTGAGGTCTGCAGGAGGGCTGAGTTTGATGAACATGCTGGTGTACAAAGGTCAACCTTTCTGGTGAAGTTCTTGGGGTTATTTTTCTACAAAGTAAAGAAGTAGGACCGTCCGCATCGCAACAGCTGCTGTATGTTTGTCAGTATCAATGTGCGTGCAGGATACAGGCTCTCCTCACATTAATCACAGGGAATAATTAACTTATAGTGATGGTCTGTCTCTCCTCAGGGAAAAGAGGTTTATTGAGGGAAACACACACACACACACACACACACACACACACACACACACACACACACACACACACACACACACACACACACAGAACAGATCTGCTCCACATGTGGCCCCCTAATGGAAAAGGAAACCTTTGACCTCTGACCTCTCCCCATCAGCAGCCATTAACACTGCCTGTTAATGACCTCTATTTGTAAGTGTGTGAATTTACTGATAATGATTTCAAACACAAACACAGACTGTACTATACTGGACTGTATTTTACAGACTTTTTGACATTTTTTCCATTAGTTAAATACATTAAAAACAGCAGCCCACATTTCTACAAGCCTCTCTAAGAAGAAAACCGGAAACTTAACACCAGCATAATAATGTTGTCTTTTTTTTTTATCTCCATCCTTTCATGCACCTGAAATCTGGGCACCTGCAGATTCAAATATTCCCTTCCAAACCTAAAGCAAACTTTTAATAAATCCTTTTTCTCTGTAGCTTTCTCGCTGGCCAAATGCTATAAAAAGAAAACAGTGAGCTGAGTTGTTGCTTTGGGTGACGTTTCTCTTCATTACATGTTGAGTTCATTTTAAATGAATCACACATTCACAGTTCTGCTGCCCCAAATATTCACTAGAGCACCAAACGTGGATTAATCTGCAGATGAAATAGTCCTCCAACATACGAATGCACCATTTCCCTGTTTGTTCGTAATAAAGACCTCAATGAGGAGCTGTTGTCTTCACCTTTAAAAACTCCATTGTGGTCATTTTGTTGGATTAAAGATTTACAGGTCTTTGTCGTTCACAGTGAGGGAGCTCCTGACCAGCTGGTGAGGCCGGAGACACTCCTTTTTGTTCTTTTGTTATGTTTGGACTTTCTAATAATGTTTCTGAAGTCATTTTTAACAAGACCTGGCTTGTTGCAGAGGGGTAATTTTTCAGGGGGCACTTATTGTGCTTTCTGCAGTTTATGCACCTCAGGGGATGCCTTAAGTGGGATTTTTAAATTATTTTAAATACTGGAATTCCATTAAGAGACCACTTCAACATGTGTATTAAATAGAAATATACATTTTAGAATTTTTTTTCCTAGGTTTTTTTTTTAGGGTTTTCAACTGGAGAGGTAGGGCATGTTGTCATGTTTTTCTACTGGTAGAGCAGCCAAAGGGCCTTTTGTCTATAATTATTATTTTTATACTGGAGGGGCACCCAGAGAGCACTTCTTTCATGTTCTTTTTCTTCCACATAAATCTAAGAGGGCACTTTTTTTATGTTTTACCATTGGAAGGGCATCCAACAGGCCTTTTTTCATGTTTTTTAAAGGTATCCAGAGGGTACTCTATAAGGTTTTTCTTCTACAATGGAATCAAAGAGGGTTTTTTGTACATTTTTCTTGCAGAGGGGCATCCAAGAAAGAGCTTTCACATAAGTACATGCATTAACATGCCTTTATAATGTCTTTGTAGTAGGAGGGTATCCAGTGGGCACTTTATAAAAGGAATTATGTTCTTCTACTGGGAGGGTAACCATAGGGGCTCTTTTAAATGTGTTTTTTTTTATTGGAGGGGTTATCCAAAGATCAATTTCATCATGTTTTTCCTGGGAGGAACTCCATAGGTCACTTTTTTAACATTTTACTGCTGGAAGAGCATCCAGTGAGCATTTTAACTGTTTCATATGCTCGATGGGCTTCTTGAGAATACTTTTTGGGAGCTTCCACAAGACTACTTTACATATTCTTCTATTGGAAGGGCATCCAGAGGGCAGTTTTTATTATTTTATTTTGGAAGGGTATGCAGAGGACCTTTTTTTTTCATGCTTTGTTTTCTACTGGATGCATATCCAGAGGGTACTTTTTAATGTGTTTTTCCTACTGAAAAGGCATTCAAAGGGCACCTCATTATAAGAAACTACAATACATGAAAAAGCCAAATGAAGCCAACAAAGGAAACTTAAATACTGTTTCTAACACAGAAATCAAATATTCAGTTGTTAATTATCTGTTCCCTTAATGTTTGTTTTCTTGTTTGAATAATTTCTAATATATTTTACTTGGAACCACACCAGTTAGTAACTCCTAATGGTAAAAGACATGTTATTTTTCTAAAGATTGGTTTTGAATTAGTCAGCACCTCTGAAAAATTATTTCATTTTATTTTATTTATTTTTGTGAAAAGTTTAATAAGATTTAGTCGTTGTGGCCCTAAAGAGTGTGTGAATTACTGCGTTTTCGTCGTTGCCATCATCACTCTCTGCCCTTGTCTCTCTCTCTGTATGACAATCCCTTACATGTCCAGGTCACTATCATCAAGTTTCTTCCTTTTCTAAACCCAGAGTTGTCTCTGAATGTGGATGTTTATGTGTTGTTTTTGAGACAAACCGCGCCCTTCCACTGCAGCTCTAAGGTGTCAGATCCTCTCATATCAGGTGGCAGACTGCGAACACTGTTATTGATCCAGCGATGGGTTAACTGTGATCAATAGAGCTGTGACAGCAGTGGGAAAGAGCTGCAGGGTGACTGCAGTGGGCCGTCTGCTTGTCCTTTGTGGACTTGTTAAGGTGTTTCAGCTCCAGGAGGAGGAAAAGCTTTTGTTGCTGACACTCCTCACCTGCCTGCCAGACGCAGTCAATCAGCTGCAGAAAGACTCAGAGCGGTGACAGATGGGATATATGGTGGGAAGAGGCCTGAAGGCATCCAGCTTTAGTTACACTCAGACAGGTTGGAGCAGACACAGAGGATCAGATGGAAACTTATGACTGTGGCCAACAAACGGTGGCTTTTTTTTTAGGTGGATAGGATGAGCTGCAGCCAGATTCACGCTTGATTGGAGCTGATCGATCATAATTTATTCACAAAGATACTCCTGTGGGACATATGAATTACTTTGTCTCACTCTAGTTTCTGCCATTGCTAGAAGAGAATGAGGAAAAGACAAAGGAAAATAAGCTATTTTCTCTAATATCCAATTATTTATACGGAAAAAATCGGAGGAAAAATGAGTAAACAAAACAAATACAGAACATATCAACAAAAAAACTGTAAAAATAATTAGTGCAGAAAGAAAAAAATGGATGAGCTCTTGATTTTAACAAGAATAGTAGAAAGAAACACAATCAAAGCTGTAAGTGTAATGACTCTATGTTGCCCCCTAGAGGCTGCAGAGTTCATTACAGCCAAAAACCAGAAGTGAATGGAAATACTTGAACCAAATTCCTCTTGGGTATAAAAACGTTCCCTTTAAAGTTTAGGTTTTAGTTTCACAGTTCAACATTTACAGAAATATTTACAAAATAAAAACAAACTTATATAAGGAGAGAAAGGAGTCCTTATGTTGAGTCTATACAGGACAGGTGACCATTATCAATTGATTTAGACAAAGACAGGTGTTGGACAGGTTGGTAATAGGTCAAGTATTAACGAACCTGCTCATTAGTTTATTTTTTAACGTTGGTTTGAAGTCATGTTTGATTCACAAGCTTTGAGTTTTAAGAATTGTTTGTATCATTTCAGTATTTGTGTGTATTAATTAAGGGGGAAACTGTCATTTTGAATAGTGAGAACAACACAAGAAACAGCCTGCTCGTCCGCATCATATCAAATCAATCCAAAGAAAAAAGTGTGACTTCAGATTTACAGTTAGTATCCTGGTTTTGTGTTCATGTCTACACCATATCTCAATATCAGGTACTGGTATAAGACTTAATATTGATGAACTTTGTAAATGAAAATTAATAAAGCAGGCTAATATGAGCCAGCTCTCAGGTTTAGACTGCCCTATCTCTCTTCCTTCTCTATCCTCTTTCTGTCCATGTCATTCACTTTGAATCATCATGTCTCATTAGAGTCACTGATACAGTCTTTTCTTGGAGTCCCTGGTCTCCATCATGCTGTAGGTTCCTCTGGATCGCTGCTGCAGACATTCTGCAGCTGTTGACCTGCCTGCCTTCCAGCTGCTTTTACAAACTCGTGACTAACTTTAACTTGTGCATCAGTCTCTTCTCTGTCCATCTCTATCTTTCTACATCTCCCTCTCTCCTCTCTCTTAACCCAGCTCAGTCTCGGTAGCTGACTGTCTAACATGAGTCTGGTTCTACTCGAGGTTTCTGCCTGTTAAAGGAAGTTCTTCCTCTCCACTGTAACTTGATAAATGCTTTAAAGTGTTTCACCCATGTGTTTGAAAATTAGGGGATGGGAGTGGGTCTGCTCTTACAGGATGGAGCTAAATAAAAAAAAATCATCATCTGTAAACTATGTCTTTGTAAATGGAGTCTGGTCTAGACCAGTCAAGTGTCTTAAGATAACATTTGTTGTGAATTGAGGCTTTGTAGATGAAGTTTGATTAATCGATTGATTAATTGATTGATTCACAAGTCAGCTGTTAAAAATAGTGTCACCATGGAAACTGTGAAGCATCAAATCTAAGGGACTATGTGTTTTAGCTGCATACTTAAAAAAAATAAAAACATCTTTAACCAAACAGTATCTAGACGGGCAGAGACAAGGCATGGCAGAGATGTTCCTAACATGTATGTTTATGTCTGCTCTTGTTACTTTCAGTGTTCAGGATATTTGTTTTATATTATTTAGGTTTTTGCCTCTGTCAGATAAATACGGCATTTTTGATGGACGACCCTGTTGAACCTCCCAAGAGGTGACAGTCAGGCCTGGTTTAGAGGGGTTACCGCCTCTGTCATGAGTATTTAACATCAACACTCTTGTATTTTTCTGATGTGAACCTGCAAACAAAGCTTTTTTATGGAGGAAGGATCCATCAAAATGTTTGTAGTGTGCATACTTTTAACAGTAGAAACAATATAAACTGGTTCCATTTGAAAACAAACCAAAATAACCATGTCACACACACACAGATGTTGCGCAAATAACTTAAAGTCATAAACCTGAGCAACAGCTTGAGTTTCCCGCAGCACCATGATGAGTTGTTGTTGTTGTTAAGAGTCACACAGAGAGGTAAAAGAGAACAAAGAGCGTCTGATGAGCTGAAGAGCAGATTTTCGCTCAGCTGAAGGTGATAAAAGTGGACAGAGCGGGTTATAGATTAACCATGCAGCCTTTGTAATGAGGCTCATTTCCTCTGCACGACCACAGCATCTGCTTCCTCACTTATAGCCAGGAGCTGTCCTCAGTCATCGCTCACACACTCACACGGAGAGAGAGACAGAGAGAGAAAGAGAGAGAGAGCATGGCTAATTGAAGACTGAGATAAAAAGAAAAGATGCAAGAGGGAACGATTGATTAAATTTAAGAAAAAGGGATCAAAGATTTTTCCCGTATTTATCTTTCAGCCACTTTACCTGCACACCTGTCAGGTCACAACAGCAGGTTTAACTCTGAAAACAGAGCCAGGGAGGTGCTGACAGACAAAGGGGCACAAAGTCAAAATAGATCAGAGCAGAGACAGACCGAACATAGATCTGGTAGAAGTTTGGTTTTGGTCGTGAACATAGAGGCAGATATCACAGGAAGAGGGCAGTGTCATTGGCTCTGATATGAGGCTAAACAGGCCGAGCATTAGGAGGATGAAACCAACTCCTCGGAGAAATATCAGCTGTGTAAGTCCAGCTAAGTCATGTCTGTTATTCATAACCGTGCCAAGATGTAACACTGTCTGTTTGCATTGCAGAATACACTTTCTCCAGCAGGGGCATCAGAATGAGGAGAACAGCGGGTAGGACTATCTGGGGCTCGAGCAGGAAAGTAGGCCCTTGATGAGCCAGGAGTATACAGATAATTCAGCTTTTATAGCTTTGTTAATGTGTCTTATTTCTTCTCTTAAAGTTACTGCCATTATAGTCAAAGTAAAGCTGCCTGATCAAATAAACAGATACTCAGGATTTCTGCTCTTACTCCCACCAAGAACAACCTGCGAGCTGACAGGATCATTCTGGAGGCAGTTTGGTTGGGTTAATTAAGTAATGCAGCAGCTAGCACCACGTCTTTCCCAAAGAAAGCAAAATACACTTTAAATTGGTTGAAGTCTTGACACCTCAAATGGTAAGAAGGTAGATCGACATGCTAAGTTTCAGCAGAGATCAAATTAGGTCAGAGCACTCCTGTTTAGCATGCATGTCAACTTCTGTAGAAACTTTTCAGAGGAGAGTTTCTCCTACTTTATGTCCTTATCACAGCCGAAGAGGCCATGTGTCAGTGCCGCATTTCATGCATATGCATGGCCCACTGTTGTCACGCTGCAAGGCACGCACGAACACGCTCACAGATGCAGAAATAGAGGAAAATACTACAGTGGTCAAAATGCAAAAGTGTCACAGAATCGTCAGGATTTTTTCACATGAATGAAATTTAAACTGGAGCGCATAAGCAGCACTAATAACCAACAGACAACACATAGACTACATCTGTTCTTCTCAAGGATAAGTGAAATACAGACAATTAAAAGAGCAAAAACAGGTTAAAGTTATATATCATATGGCAACTATAAAGATGCACCTGTGACTATAATCAAAATGACAAAAAAGTGAACATGATTGAAACATCACAAGCTCTCTCAGCCTGTTTTTGATGCAGCACTAGTATCACTTGAGGCACACCTCTTTACACCAATATGACTCAATGATAAGATGCTCTGACAAAAAGTAGATTTAAGAAAAACAAATAAGATCTTCACTTTGTAATTATCACGATAAATTGTGTCTTAATTTCAGCCTCTACACATCCAGACGGTCTGTCTCGCAGGATCAGATCTGCTGACTGTATTTTAATCTGAGCCTCACAGCGACTACATTTAGAAAGCAGCCTGTGGCAGAGCTGTTAGAAAATCTTTAGTGTGAATCGACTGAGCAGAGATATGACCTTTGTCTTCCATCTTTCCTCATCATTCCTCACTCTGTCTCCTCCAGCATTACATGGAGACATGAAGCCCAAACCAGAGGGTTTCTAAAAACGGATCTGGTCCAGTGGAAGACCTTCATCTCTGATATGATGCTGTCTGACTGAGAGAGTAAAATAATTCATAACCGATCATCTTAAACTTGCTCCTCTGGATGATAATCTCATTTAAACCAAGAGACAAATTTACAAAAGGAGTAAAAGAAGAAATTAAAGCCTGATTTATACATCAACACCAAATCTCCACTGTAGTATTTACTGTACATTCAGGTAGTTGTGTACCTACACTGAAGCTACACAAGCTCTGTGATTGGTCCACGAGGTAGCACCACATTTCACAGAAAATCCAACCTAAACACATGCACCAAAACCATTACAGTGCAATAACCAACCCTGTAGGTCTTGAAGAGACACAGAGTGAGACTATTTTAAAAACAGAATTTCTCACAGCACTTAAAGGGATATTTCGGCGTAAATTTAAGTTATAGTCAAACACACCATAATACAGAGTTAGACACTCGGCACTCGGTGATCAACTCATCAGGGCTCCCCCACAAACAAACGGCTGCTGGAGGAGAGTGGATGAGTTGTGTTTAGTCTCTTTGCCAAGGTAAATAAGGCAAAGCTAAAAATATGTTTGATGGCTAGTACTATGTCTGGGACTCTATTTGTACTGTTGATGAAGTTAGATGCTGTTCTGAACATTATTCGTGGCTATAGAGTGGCTTTTTGGTTGAAGTTTGCGCGTTGAGACGTAGACCTCTGTGTATTGCTATTGTGCGGTTGTTGCTAAAGTTAGTATAACTAGAGAGGCAAGCAGACGGCAACATTCATCTCTGGGGTGTCTAACTCGGTGTTATGGTGTGTTTGACCGTGACTTAAATTTATGCCTGAATATCCCTTTAAGTGTAACATTTTTAAGTCAGTGGTTATTTATTAATTTCTGCTTGAATGAAACAGCATTAATCACAAAACACAAGAGCTAGAATCAGTCTGTCAGACTCTCTCCTCCCTGTTTTCTCTCCTTCCAGTTAGTGGTCTCAGTGGAAACCCGAAGCCTGGAGCAGTACCAGACTCCAGGACTCCCTCCCTCCCTCTGTTCTCTCCATCCTCCATTTATCCTCTCCACCTGGCAGTCAGCCAGACACCGCTGTGCCACCGGCCTTCACTCCAGACACTCACAATCTTTGTTTTTACTGTTTCCATCAGCTTCATGTGTACCTCTGTCTCCTCTCTCTCTTCTTTCTCCTCTCTCTCCTACGTCCACCCTCTTATCTCTCTGTCTCTGTTCTGCCTCTCTCATACCTCTGTGCCCTCTGAGGAAACACAAGCTTCTGTGCTGGAGGTTTAAAAATAGAAGCTGCTGAAAAGAAAAAAATTGATGGACACTTGAAGAAACCGCCCAGGTAACCTGAGAGGAACCGCAAAAGGATGGAAAGAAAAAAGGTTTTGGCATCGACACACCGCCGCAGGGGGAGATGATGTAGTGCATGCAGGAGAGGAGAGCCAGAGACACAAAGATGAAGATGCACCTGTCTGAACATCAGGAGGTTTTTGTTTTAAATATCAGAGGAGATAAGGTCTATTCAACAAACTCATCTGATCTGCAACAGCTGTTTGCACCAAAAGAAGAACCTGAGGAAACAAGAAAACTCTCTCCGAGTCTCTCTGTCCTGGAAATTTGATTTGTTTCATTATAACTGATGACTCAAATAAAAGGAAATGCACATGCACCAAACCAACTGCATCAATATTCACTGCAGCTAAGGTTACATACAGTTCTTAGATGAAGTTACTGGACAAACTGCAAACAGACAGTACTTACTGCTAAAGCTGCATGGAAAAATGCCGTGAGGCTGAATTATGTGTAACGGCAAAGATGCAAAATGGAATTTACCATTTAAAGAAGTGACAATCACACAGTGACACACAATACAGTATGATACATATAGTTCAGTGGTATATGGTGCACTGCAATATAATATGACATTAAATAACAGATACAATATCATATAATATGAATACATAAAGTGAGAAATAAAACAATACATATCCAAGGGGATCCAAAACCATCTGATAACATTTAGTACAATATGGTGTAATACCATACAACTATCATGACGTGCAGGGTTAAACAAAGAAAAAGACCCAAATGCAGAACAAAAAAATGATTTAATTAAAAGAACTAAATGAAAAAAGCAACAAAGGAGAAAAATCCACAAAAATCACTGGGGCTAAAATACAGGGAGCAACAGGGGACACAAGCATACACATCGACATACAATGAAACAACCAAGACAGAGGGGAAGACAGAGACTATTATACACACGCTGGGAAACGAGCAACAGGTGAGGCAAACGAGACACAGGTGAGGCTAACGAGACACAGGTGAAACTCAGGTGATTAACGAAGGAGGGCAAACTAGGGAAGTAAAGCAAGACTAGAAACACAAGGAATTAACTACTACAAAATAAAACAGGAAACACTGAAAACTGATCTAAAGAATAAAACACTGAGAACAGGAGGGAAACAGGGTCAAACATAAACTGTAAACTCAAAAGACTGGACTACATGGGGAACAGAAACACTAGGAAAAACACACAAAATGCACAAATAAAACCAAGAGAAGAAGACTAAATTAACAGAACATATCTATATAATATAGTGCTTTTTTGTGATAGTTAATGGAAACAGGGCTGTGCACAGACCCATCTTAGCCAGAGTCAGGTGGTTCCATTAAACTCAGAGTCATGGCTTAATTAAGCAAAAGCAGAGAGGCAAAAAAGGCAGATGGATATGCAAGGTTTTCTTTTCTTGTACTGCTGTGAAGAAGTCATGACCATATGATAAACTGCTGAGCGGTGCTCTTATTTCTGCACAAATCAACATAGTGGATTTACTTCTGTCAGTCAGCAACATTTAGTGGATTAATAGGAATAACTCCCAGCTTCATCCTCTGACTGAATGACTTCTCTGAGCTCCATGTCTGCACCTCAGGCAGAGTCAGACTGCAGTTCAGTCTACATCTGAACTCAGGTGAGACATGAAAACTCATGAGGACGACTGCACCGGGTTAGCAACACACACAAACACATACCTTAACAGACACAACATGCCAGGTGATCATAGTAATGCCAGTGGGCTTCCCTAATCCAGAATTAATTTACCCATCACTGGGCACCGCCCGATTCTACCCACAATCCACCTGGGCTGGCTGAGTCCCATCTGCACTGGAGGCTCCATTTGGCTGACTGTGAGCCAGGAGAGGGGATCACTGGGAAAGCAGCCATATGGCTTCTGCTGAGACTGTGTGCGCTGCATAACACACACACGCTATGATCTGCACTTCGACTAATAAAGGGTTTTTAAAGACTCTGTTTTATTTTTGGGCCAGTGTGACATGTTTGTAATTAATGTGTGTTCCTGTAAAGAGAGAAGCAGCCTCTCAAACAACATGAGTAGCTACCACCATGGGACAAAACCTCTGATTTCACACCCAATACTGTCAGCTGTTCAAACTTAGGTTGCACAATATGGATTTTTTAGCTGTAACCAATAGTACCCTGCTCTGACACTAATGAGGTTTCTGTCATGTACTAATGTGTTTGTATTTTAAGATGTGTAGTTTTAGATTGTCACTCACATTGTGGATCAGACTGTGAATGTGTGCAGGGATCACATCATACAGAGCAGACAGGGATATGTCTCAGGATCCTGTTCCAAACACACCATTATTCGGTAAAATCTTTGGTCCTCCACTTCAGAGAAATGTAAGTTCACTGACTGCTCTTGCTTTGGGTTGTCTCTGCTACACTCTCTGCAGTTGTTAACTCACAACTGGACTTCTGCAGAAGGTTTTGTACACAGTGGAAAAACGTCCACAGTGGTGATGCTACTTTTACTCTTGCAACGGCTTGTTGCAGCTGCATTTGGTCTTCTCTTTATCTCATGACTACAAAGGAGTTGTAGGTCTACTCTATAGAAAATTGCTGGCTGCTCACCGTTAACTAAAAGCATGACTTCATCACAAATTTATTCTTATAATGATTTTAATTCTCGTAGAATAACAACTCTTATTTTGCACTATAATGACTTGACTACAACTTAATTCTCATAACGATATGACTTTAAAGCACCTACGAGTAAATTTTTAATGTTAATGAGATAAACTAAAATTAATACTGGTCCTCAATCATGGTATCCAAAAGCAAACAACACCATGAGGGACATAAGTGACAAAGTATTTAATGAAATTTTTTGCACCTGAAACTGAGGAGGTGGGTGTCAGCTGAACAGCATGAGGAAAATTACCTGTTTTGCAATTTCTACTTAATAATATAAAATATGTTTGACCTTTGAAAGTCAGCAGGGTAAGATCTTTTTTTGTTGAAAGTCGCTGATTTGGCATGTTGGGGACAATGTAACCTGTGACTGTTTTGTCCAGAGGGGGCGCCAAAACTGACACGAACTAAAAGTTCCTCACAGGGGCTTTAATCTCCTTTAATAACAATTTACGCTTGTAACATTATGACTTTAATCTTGTATTTAGAATCTTAAAAATGTTAAAACAAAAATGTCTTTGATGTGGCCCAAATACTATCATATAAGTGGGATCACACACACCACCACCCACTGTGTCAGCCTGTTCACAAGAAAATGAAAGCGGCTTTGACTGGTCATTTTATAAGATGAAACTGTGTTGAGAGATTAATAAATAAGGTTTTCCACTTGAAAATGAAAACTTTATGAAACCCTCCATAATGACAACAATAAAACAAAACAATCTAAACTCTTTCCTGCATCTCTGTGGGTTCAGCCCAAACGGACCGAGTGTTTGCACACGCATCATCATTTACAGTAAAGTCAGTCTAACCAATGTCCCAGACTGAAGGATAAACACAGATGCTCAGGCTGAGTCACAGTACGTCTGGGTGTCTTGGTGCTCAGAAATGACACATATTGTGTGTTACAATACTGACATCTGCTGGACAAACACTTAAACTGCAGCAGTGCTAAAATAAAAAGCTTTAGGAGAGAGCTTAGAGTTTCAAAGAGAAGCTTAAGGGAAATTATTACAGGGTTTTAGTTACTGAGATATTTCACATCAGCAGGACCTCTTTTCTTTGTCTTTGTTCTTTATCACAGGCTGAAGAACTTCGTCTTGTAAAACACCATGAACTCACTACGGCTAAAAGGATCAATTCAAAATTGCAGCACCATCGCTATCGTAACCTTTTCTCTGAAACTCCCCGACCAGGGCACTTAGACTTTACGTCCTCTACCATTTACACACCTGTTTCCACTCATCATGATTCTTTCACCCTTTTGCACACAGTTTCTACAACAATAGACAATAACATGGATATTATTTCAAACAACGAGAACAGTTTTGATGAACAGCAAATATTAAATGGACTACATGTTTTTCAAATTTTCCAGCATTAACACCCTGTGTGAAACAAGTCATGTATAAGTGTGGGCCTATGTGAGGACATAGAAGTGTGTGCATGATAGCCTTTGAGTATGAAGTATAAAAACATGCAAACAGACATTAAGTAAAATTGTTGTTTTATTTATTTGTTTTTATTGAATTGTTTTTTAGCAGAGTGAGGATCTATTTACGAATTTGCAGTAAGTTTTGCTGCTATATGAGCTTTATGCACAGAAATAATGAATGCACTGGAAGAACATACAACTGCTGAAATACTTAGTGCTGCAACAATGTGCATCACTATATCTGCTATATATTTAATTCCCCTACTCCCTCTGTTCTCTATCTGTGCCTGTCTGCCATCCCATCTCTTATTATAAGCATGAAAAACTCTAAAAGTAATCCTGAAACAGAGCAAAAGTAGTTGACCTGAGGCCAAAAATAGGAAATACAGGTGATCTTGGAAATTCTTCAGTCAGGGGCCGTACTGGAGTCTCTCATACCAGATACCAATGCTTAAAAAAGTAGGCATGTCTCTACTGCTACCTCTTACTTCTAAATGTTTTCTGAACACATCATAGAGAACGTTTCCTCTGAAGAAAAGTCAGACTTGTCTCCTCAGGTGATTTAGAAAGCCTGACATATTTTCTTGTTGTTTTTTTCCAGGGTTCACAGCCCCTCTGCTTCCTCTCCTGTCATTCATCTGATAGTCAGTCAAACTGCTGACACCTGACACCACAGGGTCATGTTTCACAGTAAAGGAAACACACACATATCGTTCTGCAGCTGGATGAGTGTGTGTTTGTGTGTGTGTGTTTTTGAAGAAGGGGGGATGCATTTTTAAGCCAGTCTTATTCCTCTTTCATACAGCAGCCCACCGACCATGAAAACACTGCTGGCAGATGGCATGAACCCACCAGAGCCCTGCACACAAAGCATCGCTGCAGGTCACAGAAACTCAGAAGATGTTCTGACATCCCTGACATCTTTAATTCATGGTGGAAAAACATATTAGATCCAGAAGCAGGCCAGGATGTAGATCTGCTGCTCCCACAGTGCTGTGGCCCATTTTCAGTTTGGAAACCAGCAACAGACAGTCAGGACAGAGAGGGATTCAGCTGCTTTAATATCCTGTTCACACTGTGCTGCAGTGTGTCATCTACTGTTTGTCATTTACACATAAGATGGTCCTTCGTTGGTGACACTGACTCTTCTTATAGATCTATCTTTCCTGTCAAGAACCTCCTATGATAAGCTTTGTACAGACACGGATGATAATCAGAGAGCTGGTCAGCTGATGGTGAAATTATAATGCCTCTATCATGTTATTGTACTTTTCTTATGTTTTGATTTTGCATTTGATTAACACCAAAATTTCATGACAATTACACCCATTATTCCTTTCAAATTACAGATTAATACACCAGATTGGATCTTACTGAGTCAGCATGAGTTCATGAATCAGAAACACATATTTCTATGATACTGATACTTTTGTCTGACACATCAATCTGCATATATCTTCATATAATCAATATTTAACATGAGCCGGTAACTGTTCTAGATTTACTGTCATTGAGAAGAAAAACATTTCATCATTTTAGGGGATTTTAACATTACTCACTGGCAGTGACACCAACTGCTGCCTGCAGTGTCTGCAGATGTTACTTGCTGCTTTTATATACTGTATATTAAAAGTGCTTAGTCCCTCCACAGTTCAATAACTTAGCTTTTAATACAAGTTGAGTATGACAATATCTCATAACTAGTTTTTATTTATTGACTTCTTATTGTGTTTTCAGCGTCTTTAACCCATAATTGTCTTTGATAGTGTGACTTGTATAGCATTTGGTTAAACTGCAATTGTTTTTCAATGTGCTGTATAAATAAACATTGACTTCACTCGACTTGTGTAGTTCAGACACTGTTTGGCATTACAAAAAGGAATCTAAATATTTGCACTGCTATGATGCATTCACATTAAATAGAGACACACCAATTAATCTGTCGACCATTACCCAGGCTGATTATTTACATTTTGAAATAATTGGCATCACTTTGGCATTGGCCCTCACAAAGTTGATGTTACCACCATCTTTCCTAAAGTAGGCTATTACATTATCCACCCTAAAATACAACAAATTAAATCTGATGAATGATGTATAAAAATAATGCAGTTCAAGGTTGCGCCCAACTTAAATTTAAGTCATATTTTAAAATCTATATCTGTAATCTATAATAAATTAACAGTCAATCATGTAACCGGCTGAGATGACCATGTTTATTAGGTTGCAATGTTTATAAAATAATGATTTTCTAAATTTACGTTCTGTGGTTTTTCTATACTTACTCTTAATCATTTTTATCATTTTTAAAATGACAAAGGCTGGACAGAATTTTGGTAGTCCCTGGAGGATATTTTATATTATCATGAATACCATTACCATGATCATTGGGAGTAGTAGTAGTAGTATTTTGAACCACCTGACATCAGTATTTTTTCCATCAGCTGACCTGTTCTTTCATAACCTGCATCAGCCGCTCTGTCCTGAATTAAATGACCAAATAAGGAGTAAATTAACTGGACTTGTACATGTGTCCCACCACAAAAAACTTCAGACTGCACCCAGATTACCCAGAGAAAACACACATTTATGCTCTCTCCCTCTCTTGTGGAGCAGGCTGAGGTTCAGTATCTTGCCTGAGGACAGAGGAGATCAAACAGCCCATCTTTCAACAGCAGGAGGACCTGCTCTATCCCCTGAGATGAAGATATCTACAGCCTGTCACTTATTTCCAAATTCAGAGATGTGTTTGTCTGACAGAAGGTCTTACCTCTGCTTGAGTACTTCAGAGAACCAGAAAGTCAGGCTGAACCTGAGCTTCTTCACCAGGAGGGAAAATCTGTCCTGACCTGGTAAAAACTTTACACTTCTAGTCAGCCCAATAGCCTCTCACAGTACTTATATTACTTTTTGCTTTAATATATCCTTTTATGTTTGTTCTCAAAGTAATCTGTTATTCACTGTTTCATGTGAATTAATTCATTACTGAAATTTAAAACATCTTTTCCTTTTTTCACCACAAGAAAACTCCAAGATACATTTGCATACATTTGAGAAAGTAAAAGTGCATCCAACTTGATCTTGAAAGTCAGTAAAAGATTCATGTCAGAACCACATCGAGAGTATCCTCCAAAGTCAGGATACCCGATTAAAGCATTGTGCACGACCTTCAGGAGTGTCAGAGCACATGCACAACAAGTGAACTCAGCGAGTGCTGAGTGAAGAATGTTCACTTCAAAGAAATATTCATGTTACTTTGAGATTTTGGCCAAAAATGACAGACGCTGATTGACTCGGTTTATAACTCTCTTTCTCTCGTCCTCTGAACACTCAAAACACTTTTACATCCCATGTCACATTTACTAGGGCTGGGCAATATGGCCTCAAATCAATATCACGATATATTGGGAAGTTCACCTTGATTATGATAAATGGATGATAACTACTCCACAATCTTCTCACCCCCTCCCACATTAACTTTGTCTACTTCAGCCGCCGCTCCAACCGCTACAACTTTTGAACCGTCCTCCATCTCATCTCCTGTCTTTCCCTCTTTGTTACGGACTGGATGGGGTGGAGTCACGTCTCTGACGCAGGACAGCGTCTTTGAGGGACATGAGACCATAGCCTACCTACACACATCAAAAACCAACTTTTATTTATTTATGTTTTTGACACCAAATATACCAATATGGGCAAAATGACGTCAGTTATTGCCATAAATTACAGTATCGGGAAATGTCTAGTTTATCGCCCAGCCTTAATATTCACCCAATCACACCAGAGGCTGCTATGCACTGAGCCCATTGGTTTTTGACTACTTCAATTCACACACCGCTGTGCACCTCAAGGATGGGCGGAGCCAGATATCTTGTTGAGGACAGCAGGAGCCAGGATCAAACCCCTGACATTACCACCTCTTCCTGCACATTGATTTCATATGAGGTGAGTCATCAGATTGTCCCTGATGTTGATTTTGCTGCTGAGAGTTAATCACCATTGTAACAGGATTCTGACCAATCAGTATCAAGCATTTAACACAGCAGGTAACAGATGTAAGAATTATCCCGGTGTCCGCAGATGATCACACTGAGGCTGGTTTGTGTCTGTATGTCTGCAGCCTGACTATACTGTACACTTCATGACTTGCTGTGTTGTGTGGATAATGCTGAGCAGCCAGTTTCACCTTTACAGTCCTTTACAGCTGCAGGACCAGAGCTAAGTCCATGCCAAACTGCTGCTCACATTTACTCTGCATGTCTTCTGCTCATTTGAAGGAAAATTTCCCGACCAGTTTTCCCAAAAAGACAGCCAGCTATGTTTCTTACAGGCTGCAAGTCCTGAAATGTGTCCAATAACTAGAACACACTGATTAATATGCTTCAGGAAACGTAAATGAGGTTTTGTTTATCCCTATAATTTAGTTCATGGTACTGTTAAACTACATCATTACACTGCAGATGATTTTAAACAAATAGATTTTTGCATCACTAACATCTTTTAGTCAAGTTTCATCCAATAATCAGTGAAATCAATCCACTCTGGAGTCAAGTACGAGAAAAAAAGACTGTATAACTGTGAGTAAACTCTGAAAATTGATGTTTCATCCTGCTCTTCAGATGTCCTCTGCTGGGAAAATGAGCATGCAGCGAGTTCAACCCTTTCTCCTTTTGCTGTCCTGCAGGCTTTACGTTTTAATCTCTTTGTTATTCAGCAGGGACACACACACACTCTCATACACACACGTACACAATCTTCTACCATGGCTGAGTACATGCATTAGGCTCTCATTACACAAGTCAATAAGCAAAGCCTTCTATAAAGTTACGCAGCCACAGCAAAAAACACCAACACAGATCTTAAACATGATCACTGTGGGATGATCAAAGCCACAAAAAGAGGATTCAGAAATACTGCAGGTGAAAACCGTCTCCCCGTCATCCATCACAGAACTCCAATTTACCAACCTGTTCATGACCATACTCTACGCTAAACAGCAGAAAAATGTCCAAGAATTTGAGCTGCACTGCAAAAAACTCAACTCTTAATCACTGTCTGTCTAATTTTGCATCAAAATAGCTCATATCACTTAAAACCACATTCACCTCAAAAACTCAGATTATCGTATTGTCCAAGTTATTGAAAGCCAAAATAAGACCTGAGTTGCAATGATTTCCAATGAAAAAATTCTTTTCGAGTAATACATGTAGAGAAAAAACCTTTGCTTAGTTTCGAGTTATTGCAGTGTCACGTCATATTTTAAAGTATTACATATAAAAAAGGAGGTCTGAAATGCTTAAAGGGATTCAGAAAAGCTGCCAGTACAACAAATATTTCAACATCATTAATCTTGAATCTGTGGTTTTAAGATGTACATTCGTTTGCTGCACTTGCATTTACATGAATTTGACCTTGTGTTTTACCCCTGATATCTTGAAAAAACTTGTCTCAGATTTTAACCTGCGAGCTAAATTTGGCTTATTTGAAGTCTAATGACATAATTTGACAGTAAATTGTCAAATTCTTTGGGGAAGTGTTTTTGCATGTGCTCACCACACTGACATTCCAATAAGTGATATTCTCAACACAGAAGATAAATGCCATGTGCACACTTAAAGGGATATTCCGGCGTAAAATTAAGTTAGGGTCAAACACACCGTAACACTGAGTTAGACACCCCCTCAAGAGATGAATGCTGCTGACCGCTTGCTTCTCTAGTTACACCAACTTAAGTAACAACCGCAGATAGCAATATAGAGAGCCACATGTTCAACCAAAAAGCCACTTTATAGCCACAAATGACGCTCAGAACACCACCTAACTTCATCAACAGGACATATAGGGTCCCAGCCATAGTACTAGTCATCAATTATCTTTTTTACTTTGCCTGGTTTCTTTAGCAAAGAGACTAAACACAACTCACCTACTCTCTTCCAGCAGCTGTTTGTTTGTCATGAGACTTCAGATGAGTCCATTACGGACTGCAGCAGAGTTTGGCAGCTCAAGGAAGAACATTTGTGATTATTACTTTATGGAAATGCAATCAGACTGAGGCAGAAGAACTACCGCGTCTGCAGTGCAAAATGATTAATATGGTGATTATTACTTCAAGGAAATTATCATAAATGTTGTTAAATGTTGATGATCATTAATCCTCTTGTGGGCACAAGTTAATTAAATCAATTGGTTGAAGTGGCTTAATATTTTTGGTGTGCAACAGATCTTGTGCAACAAAAAGAACAAGTCCAGTATCTGTGTGCACAAGATAATAACTTGTACATCCAAGTGTACATTACAGATACATATTTTTCTAGAAACATGTTTATTATCTTGTGTTCGCAAGATAAAAACATTTGCACACAAGATAATCAGCTTGTGCAAAAAAAAGAACTATTCATATTTCTTTTGCACACAGTGTAATTATCATTTGTGCATTAGATAACTTGTTGGTGCAAGATAGTAAGTCATAAGGTCAGATATTTCCTAACTTGTGCACACAGTATATTTAAAAAGACATAAAATGATCTTCCGTGCGCAATGAAACTATCATTTAAGTATAAAATAGTCATGTTTTAGGCTCAAGATAAGTTATGCACAAACAATAACTTGTTTCTCTGAGATCCTTCAAATGTGTTTCTTATTCCTAATTCCCTTTTGTGGAAAACATAATATGTACTTTCTGGATTTAAGAGTCTTGGTAGATCCCCAGTTTTATCCACAATGGAGAAGTTGCGTATTTCTTAAAACTACATGGATCATGTGCACGACACAAAGTGTTTTATTCTTTGCTTGGGGCCTCTTATTTTTGCTCTTTGGTCACTTGAAGCACCCTGTGAGCTTCCTCATTATGTGTTTGTATTTTTTCTGTTATATTTATGTGTGTCCTTAAACTTTAAGCTAATGCACTGAGACTAAAATCTCCCTTCCCTTTAGCATAATAGTTATAAAGTGGGTTGTAGTCTAGATCAGTGGTTCTCAAGTCCAGTCCTTGAGGCCCACTGTTCTGCATGTTTTGGATGTCTCCCTGCTCCAACACACCTGATTCAAATGATCAGCTTGTTATCAAGCTCTGTAATGGCTTAATAACGAGCTAATCATTTGAATCAGGACAGTGGGCCTGGAGGACTGGACTTGAGAACCACTGGTCTAGATTATGGTTATATACAGTACATCAAACATGTGCTGAACTGGTACATTGTAGTACTTTCAACAGATTGAAGTATGTCAAATATGTAAAGGTAATTTCCCCTCGTGGGACTATAAAAGGAACATCTTATCACAACATAACTAAACATGACTCCATACGGGTAAATAAGCCAGTAAAAGTGACAAAAATGAAGTATGCAGTATGAATTATGCAGTCTCTGAAAGGAGGGAAACTTTTGATCCTGGAACTAAAGGAGCAACATGATGGGATTTGTTCATTACAAACAAGCACCAGTAATAAAAATACACCAAAGAGAAAAAACACCTCCTCTAAATCACAGTCATGAGTGAAATGTTTGCTTGGAAGTTAGAGGATCGTAAAAAATAACATCTTTAAGGTCACAATGAGCGAACAAGAAATTAAATCCCCTCAAACACAACAAGGTCACCACTAAATGTGCTCGTGAAGCTTAGTAACACACAGTGGGTAGCCATGTTGACACACAGGACTTTTTCGTAGGAGTGTGCGATGTTTCCAGGTGTGTATTTGAGTGTGTTGTCCTCTGTGTGACATGATATGATGGTCTATAAAAGCTCTTGTTTTTCCTGGAGTCTCCTCCCTCACAGTGATGAGCCCTGATCCACATCCAGCGCACAGACAGACCTGACTCACCCTGTGTGCAGCCCCGGGGCCTAACCAAACAACACCAACTTGACAGCCCTTTAAACGTCCCCGTTCACTCGTCCTCCGCAATGACACTTCTCCTCACACATCACACACACACGGGCCTCTGCAGATGCACACACTGAGCATGGGCCCAGTCATTTCCCCCGGACTTTCGGGGCTTTATCTGCGATTTGCGCAGAGCAGCAAAAAAAAAAAAAATCCCACGAAACCGCAGCATCATCCAGAAGATGCGCAGAGAGAGGCGGGGGCCCGTGTGCGCCGGCTGCCCGGAAAACACCGCAGAGACACGGGGCGACAACGTCCCAGCCCCCCGTGCACCGAACCGGGAGCTGCAGCATCCCGCCTTGCTCTTATATATGACCGGCTCGGTTCTTGTCGTCAGCCCGGTCCGGCCCAGTCGGAACCGGGACACCACCCGCTGCGTCAGCGTGATAGAGCTGCAACTACAGAGCCCCCTCAGCAGAAAGTAGAAAGTGTCCGCTTACCTGCGCTTCTCCGCCGCTCCTCTCCGCGCTGCTGCACCGGACACCGTCAGCTCCGCAGCGGCATCAGAAAACTCTCCACCTCCGCTGTGCAGTCGGCGGTACCGGACCTCTGACTCTGTGTCTCCTGTCAATGCGGTGCAGCTCTCTCTCTCTCTCTCTCTCTCTCTCTCTCTCTCTCTCTCTCTCTCTCTCTCTCTCTCTCTCTCTCTCTCTCTCTCTCTCTCTCTCTCTCTCTCTCTCTCTCTCTCTCTCTCTCTCTCTCTCTCTCTCTCTCTCTCTCTCTCTCTCTCTCATGGACTCTCTGCACTCTTCCCCTCCTTCAGCTGTTCTCTCTCTGGTCCGCAAACGCGCATCCCCGGATGTTTCGCCGCGTGCACACGCTCCTCACGTACCCAGAGGTTCGGTGTTCAGGTGGAGGATGCAATGATCGATGGTGCCTGTGGAGGAAATAACATCAACACGGATACTTTTGGTGTAAACTTGCATGTCAAGTCTAGATATCATATCATCATATCATTGATCTAAATCGATTCTAATGAAGACATTTCGACTTGTCTTAAACATTTGCGCTCAACATTTTGGTAAAGGAATATAACCTTCTCCCTCTACTCGTCGTTGCACCGCCCAAATATAGTCACTGGACATTGTGCACAGTGGGGAGTGAGTGAGTGTTATAAAAAGAGTGCACTTCTTAATTCGGCCTCCATAATTTAAACCCTCATGCCATCAAATCTCATGCAGATTTTAGGAAACTCAACCAAAACCAGATTCACCCCATCTGCCCTGCTGACCTAAAAATAGCTCCAAATGGATTGTACTTTAATCTTGAAAATGAAAATCTGCTGTTATGAGGCTGGGTCTCTGATGTTTCATAACTGAAAAAAGGCACAAAAGCATCCAGATAAAACTTAAACCTTTCACTTTATGCATGGATAAGCCTAGTTTGTTGACCACAGATCTTCTTACAGATTTGTTTAAAACAAACTTCATCATCTTAGATATCTTTTTTAAACACTTACCATGATAGATTAAAAAAAAAAGGTTATCCTGGACAGGTTCATGCAGTCATCTTATATTTGTGGTGCAATAAACATTGAAATTAGGAGGGTATGTGACAGGAGGACTCCTTTGACAAGAAACTAGGAAGATAAACATCAACTGAAAGCAAAATAAAACAAAATAAAACTCAAATATAGTCATTTATTTATCCTATTGTGTCCAGTGTGTGATATGATACTGGGAATACTGTATCATATTATATTGCATGGTATTAAAGTGTGTGGTATTGTATCGTCTTGTATCATGTTGTATCACATCATATTTCATTGTAAAGTATTGTATTGTATCTTATCTTTCCTAACCTATTCTGTTCTATCCCAACATATCATAGTGTATACTATATCCACATCACATTACATGTATGGTTTCAAATTGAGTTTTACCATATTGAATCATGTATCTTAGCATTGTGTCTTTTTGTATGTTATTGTATGGTAGTTTTGTAATTCACCTGGGAATATTGTTCAGAATGCTTTGTATGTTACCTTGATGGACAAATGAATAAATGAATGAATGAATGAATGGATTGACTTTTTGCTCCCATTATGCCCCTGAACACCACAGCATTCCAGGGTTTCATAAACGATAATATTCATCCCTTTTCACTGACGATAGCGGAGGGGGGCACATGTTGGTGGCAAAACTAAAGCTGATGCAGATTATAATTCTATCCCATCCTAACTCATCTCATCTCGTTTTAAAGGGATATTCTGGTGTAAAATTAAGTTAGGGTCAAACACACCGTAACACCGAGTCAGACAGCCCCTTGAGAGATGAATGTAGCCGACAGCTTGCTTCTCTAGTTACACCAATTTTAGTAACGACAGTGCGATAGCAATACACAGCGGTCTACGTCTCCACGCACAAACCTCACCACAAATATAACCACAAATAATGCTCAGAACAGCACCTAACTTCATCAACAGTACATATAGGGTCCCAGCCACAACATCTTTTTAGCTTTGCCTAATTTCTTTAGCAAAGAGACCAAACACAACTCACCCATTCTCCTCCAGCAGCCGCTTGTTTGTGGGGGAGCCCTGACGAGTCAATCATTGAGTACAGCGGAGTTCTGCAGCTCAAGGAAGAACATTTATGATCACTACTTCATGGAAATGCAGAACTACCGCATCTGCAGTGCAAAATGATTATTATGATGATTGTTACATCATGGAAATGGTCAGCTCCAACCACTGCACTAACTCAGTGTTACGGTGTGTTTGACCCTAACTTAATTTTACACCGGAATATCCCTTTAAATACGGGTGAAGAAAAAAGGGAGTACATGCACCGTGCAACACTAGGATATAGATTTAGTCCTACAGCCAGTGTGTAAAGGGGCTTAGCTTCCCTATGTGAGATGTTTGCTCTACTCACTAAACTAAACTTGCACCCAAGAACTGGGCAGACATCACTGCTGGACACGGAGCGGACGTTTGTATTTTACTTTTGCCACTTTTTGCGTCAGCCATATTTTTGACTCGTTGGTACTGTTTGAGACCATTACACTGAACTCCTCGGATAATGGTCTACTTTGTGTGCCAAAATCTGAACTGAAACCAAAAGAGCAACTGCAGTGAGGAGATCAGGTCAACTGAGTGAGTGATCTCTTTAAAGTCTCTCCTTAAAGCCTTCTTTTTTCATTTGAGTTGCAACTTTATTTTTGTTTTATAGCAGTCTTTCGAAGAATTATATTTACTTAAGAGTTCATGTAAATAATTTTTGTTTTCTAAAGTATGTATTTCTTGAAACACGTTTTTTACCTCCGCCAAGTAGGTTATGTTTCCGGTAGCGTTGGTTTGTTTGTTTGTCTGTTAGCAACTTTACGGAGAAAGTAAGAGACGGATTGACCTGAAATTCACCAGAGGTGCGTCTCAGCCCCAGGAGGATCCCATTATATTTTGGTGGTGATCCGGACAAAATTCTGGATACTGTGATCCAGAACACACAAAAATAAGGGTGTCGTTGGAATTTTCAATGCTGAAAGATAACAAATGGGCGGCACAGTGGTGTAGATGGGCGGCACAGTGGTGTAGTGGTTAGCACCGTCACCTCACAACCAGAAGGTCTTGGGTTGGAATCCCGGTCAGGGCACTTCTTGTTTTAGGAACATGATGAACAGTGAACATACCAGTTTAAACACAAATAAACGTTAATAAAAGACACGTAACAGTAAACGTTTTGGTGTGAATCACAATATAAGGGGGGACATGAGCTGCTTGGCGGAGGTCTGCGCTCTCAGAGTGCTTTTCTAGTTATTGTATTTATTATTATCGGTTGTCTTCCTTCACTTTGATGACTGTTATGGTATTTTCTGTCAGATTTTTGTTGTTTCTATATTTTTTGGGTGTAGACTGACAACATCATTTTTTTTGTTTTGTTTTGTTTTTTTTGTTTGTTTTTTTCAAAAATACAGTACCTCAAGGATAAATGTTTTTGAGAGTTTTTTACTACACTTTATTGCACAACATTCAACACACACACACAGTCAACACATTACTGTACACAGTTTGAACCCGACATTTGGTATGTGGAGTATTTTTCGGAGTTTACACGTAGTCAGGTCGGTGTGCTTCACTTGGAGTGCGGTGCTCGGCTCCAGCCGGCTCTCTCTCTGGTGTGGAGTCTAAAGTGCGTGTTAAGGTGGGCTGACTGGTTGAAGCATTTCCCACAGACGTGGCAGCTGAAGGGTTTCTCCCCGGTGTGAATGCGGTGGTGTCTCTTCAGCATGCTGACTGTGGTGAAGCTCTTTCGGCAGACTGCGCAGCTGTATGGTTTCTCCTTGGTGTGCCAGCGCATGTGCACCTCCAGCTGACAGGCGAAGCTGAAGCCCTTTCCGCACTCCTTGCAGTTGTGCCACCTCTGCATGCTCTGACTCGGGTGAGAGGAGCGAGGCAGAGGTGGCTTCAGGGGTCTCACGTTCTTTATCTGTGCTATGTGAGTGCTCTGTTTCCCGTTGGAGCGGAGTATCCCTCTCACCTGCAGGTCTGGTTTCTCAGTCCTAGGGCTTTTCGCAGTACTGTCCTGAAAGTCACGCTGGGCCGATCTGCAGTTTGAAAAAACGCTCACCACAGAGGACGCTACAGCTGGCTGCTGCTTCCGGCTGTCACTCTCTACTTTAATTTCCTGGGGTGGTACTGGAGGTGGGGAAACACTCTGTCTGCTACATACTGTCTGGGCTGGAGGAGTCTGAGACCTCTGCAGAGGCTCAGTGTGACTACAGTTTCCTTCCTCGGAGTCTCTGGCTTCTTGTGAACAGTCTGTTTGAAGTTTTCTGAGTTTTGGTTCTTCTTTGATTCTTGGCAGCAGATCCACACTGTTCCTCCACTCAGAGTCAGACTCAGAGGGCTGGAGTGCCTCTTGAAGAGAGACAGAGTGAGGTTCTGAAAGGTTACAAACATTACAAACATGCTGGTGAATTTGTGGCACACAGACATGTTCCAGAGACATTTGAATGGGAATTCAAAGGAGAGACCACCAACTGCTGAAATACATCAAATACCTCATTTAAAAACACACAAAAGTATCAGAATCAGCTCGAATTTCATAACCTGAGCATCTCTAATACTGATACCAGCCCAAGTGTCGATGACAACTCCACTGGGTGAGTGGGTGCCTTTGTGTGCGTGTGGGTCCATAGGTGTGTTTGTGGGTGGGAGGGTCGGGTTTTATTGTCGTTATTATTGTTGTTTTTAGCCTCTGTGAGGCACTTTGAACTGCATGTTTTGTATGAAAAGTGCCACATAAATAAAGTTGAATTTGAATGATAACTTTCTTATTGAGCCCCTTTAACATTTTATATTTCATCTTATTGAATGTTGCAGTAGAGGCTGCTGACATTCACACGCACAGACTCATTTATATTCATACTTTTCAGAAGCCTTTAGTGTTCAGCCTTTCATCACCTGTGCTTTACAAGTGAGTTTGTCTTTGTTTACAGCACTTCAAATTATATCTGAACAGCATGAACAATGATGTGCACAAGCTCACATTGCATGTGTCACCTTAGCAGAAATGTTCATATCTGCTGACATCAAAAATGTGCTTTTAAACATTTTAAAGCTGGCTTTTTTTTTTTTTTAGGAAAGGATGATACAAATAATTTCATAATCTCATTTTAGATTAAATCTGAACTTGAAACATGTGTTTGGGTGATAAGTGTGACTGCATCATGGTGAAGACTAAAAGTATATCGTTTCTAAAATGTATTTGAGACGATTTCTGGGGGAATTATCCATTTCTTTAGTAGTTGACCTTGTCAGTGCTTATTTAAAGAAAGTGATGCTCTCGTTTTATAGATCAGCTGTGTTCACTGGTGTTCCGGTGTAACGGGTGACCAAGTTAAATGGCGACTTTCAGCTGAATCTATCCGTGGGTGCCGTTGTGACATCAACTGATGAAAATATCATTGTGAATACTTTCTGCCAAGTTTTTTTTTTTTTTTTATTGAGCAAACTTTATATGAATAAACTTTAAAACTATGTTTAAAACACTAAACATGAAAGCATATGTAAGGACTCTTCCTATTTCCACAGCTGTCGTTACTACGACAACCACTGACGCATCCAGTTAAAAGTCACCAGTTGACAGGGTCACTCATTTAACCGAAACACCAACACACGCAAACCTTCCTGCGCTTAACACCTCATCAAAGAAGGGCGAATTAATATGGAGTGACATTGGTGAGATAAACAGAGTGAGCAACCGACAGGTGCCGCAGCAGCAGCTGGGTCTCACCTGGCTGCAGCAGGAGCCGCTGAACAGCGACGTTGAGGAGCCGTTTAAGCCGCTCGTTCTCCTCTTTAGTCCGCAGGATTTCGCTCTGGTACTCGGCCACCGTGTCTTTGACGGCGCGGAAGATCTCCTGCGCCGCCGCTGTCAGCCTGTCGTTCAAAAACACGTTCAACAGCTCCAGTTTGGTCATGTTTTCTGCAGCTGCTGCTGTCTCCAGAGGCGGAACGTCCTTCTGTTTACATCCACCGACCCGGAATTACAAACGTACCGGCTGCTGCGTAGACAGCGTGCCGAGGGACCCTTGATGTTTACCGCCACCCGCTGGACGGGAGAATACCTGCAGCATAGATTTCATAACGATACATTATTGTGATATAACTATGACCAGAACTACGCAGCGTGAACCGACGTAAATTTAGACCTCATATGCATATTAGTACCTATTACTGACTCCGTTTTACCTGTAAAAATACAGTTTATCCTAACAAGTTGTGGTCTCACCTCTTGTTTTTTTTTTTCAGATGACCAGAAAAACATCATTAGAATACAAGCCCTTTAAACTTAATGTTATGAAATGGAATAAATCTATTATTGGGGGGAAACCAGATTTTATCCTCTATATGATAAAAAACAATTAGTTGAATTCAATACAAATTGATTCTTTATATGGGGGACCATTGTGTTTATCTTGAGATAAAGACATGAACTAGTTAAATTCTCCAGAAATGAATGGTTTGGTTGAGTTTGTTGTTCAGGACGTCCAGCACCATCTCCTTAGTCTTGAAGGTGATCAGCTGCAGATAGTTACATAGTTATACTGAAAGTCAGAGGTGTACAGAATGAGAGAGGGAGAGGACAGTCCCCTGTGGTGTATACTGTAATATGTATTGTAAAGGCTCCCCCAGTTCAGAGGAGCAAACCTTGAGCATTCTCGATACTCTCCATCACGACCATTTGCTTTTCCGAGACAGTCTCCTAAGTTCTCTGCTTACCTGGTTTTTGGTGAGGATGGCTGTTCAGATATGGGGGTGGGTGGGGTTACATTGTTTATAGACAGTCTATCTCAAAGTCTATTTCCACCAAAGTTCCCTCTAAAAACTATGGGATGTGTTAAGAAACATTAAAAACAACACATCCCCCTGTAACTTTCTTTGAGAGTCCTATTTCTTCTTCTTTCTCCTTTGTTTGACTTCATGATCATCGCTGAGGTTGCAGTTTTTACATTTGTACTCTGATTTCAAACTCTGCATTTGAATGGATCATTTTTTTGTGCCTGAAATGAATGAAAATAGACACGTACCATGGGATGTGTTCCAGATTCTGGTTGAAAAATAAGACATGTAGGTTTCATTTTCTTAACTAACCCAGGGTATGAAGCAGGGCAGCAGTTTCACTGGATTGCTGGAGTGGGTGCTCCATGTGTGAGTCTGCAGCTCTTGTTGTAATTGTTGGAGGGTTGATTCCCAGTATAATAACTTGGTGTGCCATTCTACCCCTCCATCTGGCTGTCCTGAAAGACAGGAAAGTTTTCCCTGTCTAGAAAGTGCTATTTAAGAGTCCTGTATTTTGTAGGTTCTGTTAATGTAATTAATCAATCCACCTTCCTTTTAAAGCAGTGGTTCTCAACTGGTGGGTCCCAACCCAAAAGTGGGTCACGGACACGTTCTGGATGGGTCACTAACAGCTGGTCAAAACAGTAAATATTTAATGCAGTATTTATTAGATATTTGATATTTTCTGTATGTGCAACTTCAGTAGTTGCCGTCCTCATGTTGTCCCCTTCATGTGCACTGAAATGTACTTTACTCAATAAGACAAGTAGATTTATGTATATATATATATATATATATATATATATATATATATATATGAAATTGCTTGGTTTGAATTCTAAAAAAGTGGGCTGTGACTTAAGGACCGTGACAAAATGTGGGGCCCCGACTGAGACCAATTGAAAACCACTGATTTAAAGGATATGTATAACGCATCAAAGTGAAACAGAAAACATCCCGCCAGAATACTTTTTAAATTAAAATAGTAAATTTAAACAATGTCAGAAGTTACACATCAAATCCCATCAGTCTATAGTTTCAAAAAAGAGGAAATTTTCTTCAAGCATGCAAAGCTTTTGCCCATGTTCAAGGCCAAGGGTTTTTAAAATGGAGAACAAGTGTCCGATTGACATTTTAAGTGAATTATTCCACTCAGGATGATCCATGTCTGTTCTCAAAAACAGGTGAGCTGTGTGGAGGCTCACCTGTTTCATGAGGTGGAGTTCAGCCCTTAGTCATTACTGAAATCAACACACATCAGTTCTGCAGGTCATTAAAAGTATTCTTTATTTACACATCATCTGTACAATTCACTTTAAACAGTAAGATTCTGGGAAAGAGTGGGGACAGAATAAACAAGACCAAAAAACAAGCTGATCTTTCCTCAAAAGGCACGTATAAACCAACATCACATTGAATAGAAAAGGCCAACTGAAGACAGCGTGGTTAACTTGTAAGACCAGTGTTTGTACCAGGAAAACTCAGCCGGATGATCATATGAGTAGGAAATAAAAAAGAGAGAAGACGCCTAACATGACAAACATAAAACTAAAATGTGTTTAAAAACTGAAATGAAAGAAAGTCTTTTCAAAAATACAAAGACATGATGTGTTCGTAAGAGGGCGGGGTTTTTGTTTGTACTCTGCAGACTCCTCAGCTGTCAATCATCTCCGACAGCTCCTGCAGCAGGTCGTCCTCTCCGATAGCGGGGTCCATGTCTTCCTCTAGATGTTCATCGGTGAACTCGCTGATCAGGTCCGAAGTCGTCCACAGCGGACGTGGAGACCGCGATGCTGGAGGTCGAGGCAGCGCGGGAGACGGCTGCACTCCATCTTCTGGACTTGGGCTGAAAATAAATCAATCAATAAATGATGATCAAATAATGAGAAAATCAAAGAACATCTAATGAATAAATGAAGGAATGGTTTGAACTGAACCGAAGACCGGAGGTTAATGATAGTGAGTGAATAAGGGAAAATTTAACCTACGTTAACGGAGTTATCAGGGTAAATTTTTAAGAGGAATTTTGGAGAATTAAACTATAACCAGGAAAATACGCTACTGAACGCTCAACGCCATCCCCCAGTTGATACAGTAGTTTTGAGGAGTTTGCCTACTTTGGATGTCGGTTCTCAGCAGCACTCTTGGAATTGATCAGCTGTGGCTACCGGACCGGATGCTGAAGGCCATGTTTTGGTGGACTATACAAACAGCCAATGAAAAGGGGAGTTTCACGCTAAACCAATCATGTGCTGAATGAGAAACAAGTAGCAAACAGCCACGTAGTAGCAGGCTGCAGCTACACGCAACCATAGCACTTCAACACGTGAAGCCAACAGCACTGAAGCAGAGCACGTACAATGCAAAAGCTTACAAACCCCGAGCAAAGCAAGGAGCCCATGGCGCCTGTGCAGCTGATCATTCAGGCTGCTTTTGCTAGCGCAACGCCTCACGAAAAAACAGCGAAGAGACACAAAGACCTCACAGATGCAGTAGCTTATTGTATTGCAAAAGAAATGCTATTAATAAGCACTGTTAAATTTCATTTCTCATATCTGATATATATCAATATGAACTGATATGAAAAAACATATCGTGATAAAATGTTTCCCATATCGCCCAGCCCTATTCTGCCCTGTTCAAATGTAGCAAATGTTTCATTGAAAATAAAAAAATTAACCTTTTAAGGGCCCATTTAAGACATAAAGTCACTAATTTAGCAAAGAATCAAAAGTAGCAAGTGGTGTGTGTGTGTGTGTGTGTGTGTGTGTGTGTGTGTGTGTGTGTGTGTGTGTGTGTGTGTGTGTGTGTGCTTGCTTTCATAAACAAAATTCTAACCACTGTAACATCTGCTCACAACCAAATTTTTGCTCAAAATGGAATGAAATAAAAACAAGACCAAAGTTTCAAAAATTCAATGCTGCAAGGGGTGAAGAAGAACAACAGCTACCTTTTGGCTGTGAGGATGAGGAGGAGATGAAAAGAGAGATGAAAGAGCAAGAATGTGCGTGTTACCATGTGTGTGTGTTCATTTCTGGACGCAGGACTGGCAGGAGACTGCGCAGTGTCCTCTGCAGATGGGACGCCCACAGCTCACACAAGTGTGGAAGGTTCTGTTTTTGCACAGGTACATGTTGCATGTTCTCCTCTTCCATGCAGGCTCCTCTTCTCTGGGCACATGTGTTTTAGACTGTATCTCTCTCACAACTGCATTAGATTGAGGTTCACGAGGCAGGGTTTCTCTCCTCGTTATCGCAGGGGTCGTCAAAGCAGTTGCCAGGTCCTGAAGGAACAGCCTCCTCGGGACTCGCTTTCCCGCTTTCCAGGAGGGATTCACACAGGTGAAGATGACGTAAGCATTGTAAGCTGAAATGTCCAGCATATTGTAAAACAAAGTCAGTGGCCACCGCTTGCTTCTCCTCTGGCAGCTGAAGTTATGGACGAGCTGTAAAGATAAAATAACAAGAATTAAATCACAAAAGAGTTCCGAATGACACTTTGTTCTAAAGCCTCACATGACGGTAAAAATAATCATGCAAATGTGATCAGAAAACAAAATACATCTTCTAAATTCATCTCTTACAACTAATTGGAAAAAAAAAACAAAAAAAAACAGAAAAGCACTCGGAGAGCGCAGACCTCCGCCAAGCAGCTCATGTCCCCCATTACATTGTGATTCACACCAAAACTTTGACTGTTACGTGTCTTTTATTAACTTTTATTTATGTTTAAACTGGTATGTTCACTGTTCATAATGTTCCTAAAACAACAAAGCTGCAAGATACATAAATGCATGATTTATTATGCAATATTTGTAAGTGTTATCTTTCAGCATTGAAAATTCCAACGACACCCTTATTTTTGTGTGTTCACAGGATCACAGTATCCAGAATTTTTTCTGGATCAGGATCAACCTTTGACACTTCATAAAACTCATTGAGATCCTTTTGTGTAATTTTTTACTCAAGACTCTGGACATTTTTATAGAGTTAAATGCAAAAATTCCAAAATTTGCCCTATCTCACAATGATAAAGAAGCCTTCAAAAAATTCCTGGATCCAGAAGGCGATCCGGATCACCACTAAAATTTAATGGGATCCTCCTGGGGCTGAGACGCACCTCTGGTAAAAATTTCAGGTCAATCCATCTGTTACTTTCTCCGTAAAGTTGCTAACAGACAAACAAACAAACCAACGCTACCGAAAACATAACCTCCTTGGCGGAGATAACAGAAGAAACATACCTGGTCCAGAGTATCTACAGCCCCCTTGCAGTGATTGTAGTCCATGACGATTGTGGGTTTCTTCTTTGCGCCCTCTTCTACTTCTGGCTGTCTGTGCTTCGTGCTTATGAGGAGCAGATTCTTCCCCTTCTTAGGCACGTGGCTGACTGCTGTTGTGTTTTTGGTAAATGCAAAGACGGAGGAGAGGACGTCTCGGTCGTCTACTCTCAGGAGTTGGGGTGGGAGCTCAGGTTTGTTATTCCTGATTTTCCCAACCATGGTTATTTTTTTCTTCAGCAGCTCCTGGCCGAGTTGGTAAGATGTGAAGAAGTTATCACAGGTCACTGTGATCCCAGTAATATCCTCCAGAAAATCCAAAACCACCTGTCTCGCTAGGTCCAGTTCTCTCCCTTCTTCACTCTCAACTGTGTCAATGGAGACCTTCCAAGCATAGGACGTGGAGACATCTGCAGCCATCCAGATCTTTAGCCCATATTTAGTTGTTTTCTTTGGTATAAATTGCTTGAATTTGCATTTCCCTTTAAAAGGAACCATTTGTTCATCGATTGTGATTTCTGAGCCGGGACTGAACAGAAGAGGGAGGCGTTGTCTCCACATTTCCCACAGGGATCTGATGGGGGCCAGTTTGTTTTTCTTGTCTTGGGCCCGGCGTTTCTTCTCGTCATCAAATCGCACCGCACGCAATATCTGGTGGAACCTGTTTCTCGACATGGTTGCTCTAAAAATTGCTCGACCATGTGTTCCATCCCACAGGGAGCGAATTGTTTCTCCTTTTGAACGAAAAATGCCTGCAAAAATCAGGAGCCCCAGAAAAGCCCGAAATTCGCAGCTGTCCAATTTTTTCCAATCCTTTTGAGTGCGGCCTCCATGACGGTTAGTGTGTTCAACCACAAGGTCAATCACGGCTGGCGTGAAAAAGAGGTCAAATGTCGACTCTATACTGTGGCTCCTCACCGTGGCGTAGTAGGTCGGTTGCGCTTTCCTTGTGGCCTTTGCAGGTGGACTGCAAACTGTCTCCAGGTGGGAGGGAGACCAAACTTGTCCATTTTTCCCCTTCCATCCAGAGCAGTCAGACGTAGTCTCTGTCTCCTCCTCTGGCTCCTCCTCTGTTTCCGAGGAAGGTGGAGAAGACATGGGTATCTGGAAAAGATCGGGATCCGAGTCTGAAGCTGAGGTGGAGGCTTCTGAATCAGAAGACGATGGATCTACGGCGGGGTCAGACTCCTTGTCATTGGGCTCCTTGTCGTTGGGCTCCAAGTCGTTGGACTCCAGGGCCATGTCAAGGGCCTCTACTTTGCTAAAGCGTCTCTTCCTGGTGTTTCTCTGGCTCTTCCTACAAGAAAATGATCATGATTATCTTCAAGTTGTAAGGTGCAGGGGTGAGATCAAAAGGCCAGACAGCAGGTGCATAAACAACTTGTCTGGAGTTGTTTATGCTCCTGTTGTTTTAGACTAGGCCTGTCGCGATAATCAATAAATCGTGCACAGTCAGGCACACAGACACAGACTTTTGGATACAGTGCTGCAAGTGAGCGTCGTGAGTGAAAAGCAAGCTAACAGAATGAACACGACAGCTTTGGTGTCTAAACCGAACGCAACAGCCCAAGTGTGGGAATATTTCGGCTTTAAACTAGTTTTGTTTTCGTCAACCACAAAACTCGTGCGCGCGCGCGTGTGTGTCTGTGTGTTGGAGGAGCACAGCAGGGTGATGAGAGCTGTCAGAGCGGACTGAAGCTGCTCCTGTATGTTTAGTGTTTCACTGACTGAGTTTTGCAACTCTGTTTGTTATTTTCGTCTCGTCCCATCAACGTAAACGCACTTTCGTCTCGTCACATTTTAGTCATCTCCGACTTATGTTTAGCTCGTCAACGTTACGTCTTCGTCGTGGAAGAAAGGGAAATATTTTAGTCAACGGAAACAACCAGTGTTGTTCTCATTGACAAAAATATTTCCCTTTTTTGACGCTGGCGTTGACGAAAATATTTGACGAAATATGACGAAAACAACACTGCTTTAAACCAAATGAAAGAGGTGAGCCCACAAATACGGACGAGCCGATATGTCGTATTTGTTCCAAAGTTGTGGTGACAAAGAAGGGGAATACGACTATGCATGTGCACCTCAAGCACAATCATCCCCTCCATTTTTCTCAACTGAGCAAAAAAAGTACCGCCGGAGGTGCTGCGGAGCCATCGTCCCGACAGGTACCGCTTACTGAAGCGTTTGGTAAGCAAAGCAAATATAAACAAAACAGCGCAAAATGGTGTGCGCTGACAGACAGTGGAATAATTTGTAGCACAATTATCGTCCAGCAAAATTTGTTATCGTGACAGGCCAATTTTAGACTATAGTTCTGAGAGCATGTTTTGTTTTTTGGCCAGGTCAGTGCAGGGACCCATCTCTCTCATGCATGCAGGCACATGCAGGCACACACACACACACACACACAAACTGAATTCTGTCTGGCACAGTGAAAGTGAAAGAGAATGCACTAATAGAATCACTTCATCAATGCAGTTTTTATGAAAATCTTATGTTACACAAAACTGTCCCAAACATTCTGATGCTTCTAATCCTTCACATGCACAAAACTATGAACCATGTAAAAAGTCACCAACTTCTGATTATGTTTTATAATAAACATAGGTCATTTTCCTTCCATTTTTTGCTATATTAGTGACTTAATGTCTTAAATGGGCCCTTAAAGGGTTACAATTTTTATTTTCAATGAAACATTTGCTAGTTTTGAACAGGGCAGAAGTAAAGTAAGAGATGTACGAAAAGAAATCGGAAAAAAATATTAATCCAATATAATTTTACAGCAGTCAAAAGTAGTGGCTTTTCTCGGCCGCGAGGGACTCTAAAGGAAGTTTTTATGAGGGACTCGGAAGGTTAAAGTTATCAATGGCAGCAGACGCTTTAGTCAACCTGTGACCACTTTGGAAAGAAGTTAAACCACAAAATCTACATGATCTAAAACCACAAAGGGTTTTTTTCCCCAATTAAACCTAGAAAAAGAATGTGCTGAACAGAAAAAGCAGACGTGCAGTAGAGAAGACTCAAAGCGGTTGCAGACAGACACGACGTAAACATGCAGACCCACCTGCCCATCTCTGCATGTGGTCTCCTTCAGCGGTTCTTCTTGCACATTGGAGGCACTGTTCAGAGGTTTAACAGCAGCCACAGCAGAGCGCTCCGCAGCTTTCCTCTTTTGGCCTAGTTTTACCTGCACAGCAGGTTTCCCCACGGACGGCTTCACGTTCAGTTTGGGCCTCACTGAAAGAGAAAAAAAAAGGTTTAATGACACTGAACATAACATACACTTCCACGGGATTTCTTTTCATGCAGAGAGCCTTCAAAAGCAGGTCGAACAGGTGTGTGTGTGTTGAAGTTCTTCCTCACTCTGCGACTCTAACATGAGTGTTTACCATTAATTGTATATACTATGGACAACGTGGTTCCGCCTACCTAATAGTCGGGAATTGTGTGCCTTTAATTTCAATGTCAGTGCTTTGTCGTTGAAATTGTCGTACCAAACATCAGATAATGATAAATAAGTCGAGGCTTCCTCTGCTAAAGCTACATAATAGAGGCCTACCTCCTCCACTGATCCCTCGCGGCCTTACCGTTAGCTTAGCTTTAACGTAGTACAGACGGCTGTTCGCTTCGTAATAACCTACGTATTCAAGCTATGGTAACTCGACACTATAGCGTGAGAACGAATATGTGATGTAATTGTTAATTACCAGTTTCCGGTTTAAAAGATTTAAAAATTGTAGGGAAAAAAACCCGTCCCAGACCGTTGACCGTAGCAGCTTCACTGAGAAGGGTGTCTCTGCAGAGCCGGAGAATCCACAACTATTGACTACCGTCGACAAAGAGGAGAAAAAAAGGGGGGCGGTTACATGATTTTGAGACTCCGCCTCCTGCAGTTTCACACGGCGCAGAACTGCAGCGTGTGGAACTGCAGGGCTCTGCAGAGACACCCTTCTCTCTCCAACACCGGGGGCCTCATTTATAAAGCTTGCTTACGCACAAAACCTGGCTTGAAAGTGCATACGCAAGAGTTGGGATTTATAAAAAAAAAACTAGTGTAGGAATGTGCGCAACTTTAAGCAAACTCCACACCTTACGCACTTTTTTGAGACAGTTGGAGCAAGGTGAGAACAATTGGTTAATGTAAAGCGCGTATAAAAAGCCATACAGTGACAGTCGTGCGCAATGCAGCACAAGTTTCAAGTTTTATTTGTCACATACCTAAATGTACAGGTACAGTGGCAGTGAAATGAAAGTGTCGTCTGTGATTGTGCCAAAAAAACAGAATAATAATAATGTAAAGTCTGTTCAGAGGGTGTTGTGAAGTCAGTTATGGGGTGTGTGTTATGAGGAGTTCAGGATCTGAGTGGCCTGGGGGAAGAAGCTCCTTTTCAGCATCTCAGTCCTGGCTCTGATGGAGCGAAGCCTCTTACCCGAGGGCAGCCACTCAAACTGTCTGTGGTTGGGATGGTGAGTGTTTGATAATCCGTCTTGCCCTGGACCTGTACTGCTGGGTGTAGATGTCCTGGATGCCGGGCAGTGCAGTACAGGTGATGCGTTCAGCACAACAGATGATTCAATGCAGGGCCTTTCTGTCCTGAGAGCTGCAGCTGCTGTACCAGGCAGTGATGCTCGCAGAAAGCACAGACCCCACTGTGGCGGTGTAGAAAGTTTGCCAATTTGGATTTACAAATGTGCAAAAAAAAACAAATTCCATTTACATGTACTTGTTTTAAGATTAATATGACTAAATCTTTTTGGTTTAAAGGGTTAAAATTTAGATTTTTTAATGACACATTTACTAGTTTTGAATAGAGCAGAAGTTAATTAAGAGATGTGTGAAAAAAATCTGAAAAAAATATGAATCCAATATGTTTTTACAGCAGTCAATGTCAGTGGCTTTTTTAGCCACTGAGCGTTAACAAAGGATGTTTTTTGGAAATCTGATCCTACAGAAAAACTCAAAAGGCATCAAAGTTAATGACATTACTAATCATTTACATATTCAAGACTATAATACCCTGCAAGCGATATCCAGTTTCAGATTGTTTTCTAATAAAAATCAGTCATTTTCCTTTCATTTTTTCCCAATATTTGTGACTTTATGTTTTAAATTGGCCCTTAAAGGGTTAAAATTTTGATTCGTAATGAAACATTTACTAGTTTTGAATAGAGCAGAAGTTAATTTAGAGATATGTGAAAAAAAATCTGGAAAAATATGAATCTAATATGTTTTTACAGCAGTCAATTTCAGTGGCTTTTTTTAGCCACTGAGCGTTAACAACTGATGTAAATCTAACGGTTACACAAGGGTTAAATAGGCAGTTCTGTCAAGACTGTTAAAATATCTAAACCAAAGTAGTTATTAAAACAAGTGCATTAACAATTAAAGTTACAACACTGGGGTTTTAAATAAATTTGTAACTCTTGTGATGCAGTTATAAGAAAACTCAGCAGACCTGATTTAAAAGACAGTTGTTTATTGCTGTACAAAAACCATTGAACTGTACAACATAGAAAGCAAAGATGTAGAAAAATACTCCGAACAACAATCAAAAACACGAGGAAATACAATACGAGCAATAAATAAGTTCAGTCTTGTGCCTGCTGCTGCACGTGAAAGAGCACTTTGTGCACCTCGAACATGGCCCTCGACCTCTGGTCATCTGGCAGCCTCCTGATCATGCCTGCCACTGTCTGCCCAAACCTGGTATAAACATCATCTCCCTCGCTTAGTCTCTGTTGAAGTTCCACTCTTAGCTCTTCCAACTGCTTTTGTAGACATTCATCCTGATCCATCCCTTTTAACCTTTTTCCTGCCATCCTCGGGCTTGGGGGCCGAGGAGAGGGCTCCGAGGACAAAGGGGAGAGATAGGAAACCTCACTCGAACCCTCAACTGATACCTCAACAGCTGCAGCCTCTACTTCAGAGCTGCAGTTTCTGCTGGGTCTGAGCCTTTTCTGGAACTAAAGAAGAAAGAGCAGTATCGGTGTGGTTGCAGCTACATAAAGGTGTATTTACCATGAAGTGACATAGGTAAAAGGCTGAATAGACATTTTCTACCAATCTAGCCCTGTGTAGAAATCATGTTGTGTTTACAACGAGAGAGAACATTGTTAACTCAGCTCAGGCTGTTAGTAACCACGAGTTAAACACGCAAATATTGACCCCACAGAGAAGACATGATACCTTATCAGTACTAAGGGGAGCAGTATTCCGGTGTCTGACGAACGGCCCAAGCCAAGACAGAAAAATGTAGAAAGCTGTCACCCTTCTTCGACCTGCCTCCTGACTTTCTGAAGCCATTCGCTTTCGTAAACGGACAAACTTATCTCTCATGTTCTTCCACCTCTTCATGCATTCAGGAACCCCGACACCAACGGTCAAGGAGATTTCTCTCCACGATTTAGCTACCATTCGGTTGTCCTTACGATGCTGCGACAAAGAATCATAGAGGCATGGATGCTTCTTAATTTCCTCACACAGTCTCTCCCCGGTTTGGTCCATCAGCCTTTAAATGATATTTGCGCGGTCCCCAGCCGAACCGGAAGCTCCTCGAGACGCTTCCTTCTTTTTCTTCTTATTGGGTTTAATTGGCGGTTGGCAAACAACAAAATGGCGCATTTCCGCCACCTACTGGTAAGGAGTGTGGACCAGAATAATTAACACTTGCTCGCTTCTCTGGTTATACCAACTTTAGTAACAACCGTACGATGGCAAAATAGAGAGCCAGGCACTGAACCAAAACGCCACTCCATAGCCACAAATAATGCTTAGAACAGCGCCTAACTTCATCAACAGTACATATAGGGACCCAGCCATAGTACAAGCCACCAAACATCTTTTTAGCTTTGCCTGGTTTCTTTAGCAAAGAGACCAAACACAACTCACCCACTCGTTTCAGAGGCATTATCAATGTGTTTATATAAAAGATAAAATATACTGTTTACAATCATTTTATTACTAAATATAAATGAAAAGTATTGATAAATTATTAAATACTTATGGATTTTGGCTGTAGAAATGGCCCGCATGGTTGGCTGTAGGTCACTCTTCATGTGCAGGTGACAGGGTAAAGAAAAAAAAAATACTGTTCATGTTGTTGGAGTGAATACAGAGCAGGTGCTGAAATCAAATGCTGTTGAAGCAGCTGATCCAGGTAATCACCTGATGCCCTTATCTGATGCCTGGAGAAAATTGTTTTTCATTCCCTTCTTCTGTTTGCATCTAGTTAACTAGTATGGTTTCAGCTTGCTCGTTTTCTAAAGTGTCTTGAGATAACATTACATTTTTGGCACCACACAAATAAACATTGAGCTTGATTGATGGGTTACCAACGAACATGCAGTAAAGTGATAGCAGTGGAGGATGCATGGAAGCTTCTCCTACAGAAATAGTCTGCAACACCTGTAAAGTTGCAAATGCAGGACATACAATGCTGCCTTGTAGATTAACCACAGGGTTTGCTGCTGACCTTCTACTGTAGTTACTTGAAGAGGTGCATAACAGGCCACATATTTACTATGAGTGTCTGTGTAGGTAATGGTCACATGAAACATATAAGGGATGCTTTAGCAAAGTTTCGATGCAGAAGTATAACCCAGGCTTTAGGAATGAAGGTTTTATTTCATTGGAGTACAACTATATAATGAAAACTTTAAATATTAAAAATGAAAAAGCAACAAAAGTTAGAACGATAAAAACACAAAAAGATGACGTAACGCAGCACAGTGAAATATGACAAAAGTTAATGAACTATTTAAAAGGTTGCAGACATCTTGGTGACATCACGCTTCAGGTCGACCACGTGCATGTCAATCCTCCTGTGCAGCTCATCCATCGAGGTTGACAGGGTGTCATACAGAGCCTGCGCACAGCAAAGTCACACACATTCCTCTCAGAACTTGAATGAAACAACTCAAATGTGGACACTGAGGCAGATTCTGAGGAGGCGGTTGTACCTGAGCTTTCTCCGTCTCTTTGCTGCAGACGTCTCTCAGGCTCTGGATCTTTGACTTCAGCTGTTGTGTCTCTCTCGAGATCTCTTGGATTTTTTCCGCCTTCTCCTCTCGCTTCTGATGGATTTGATTACACCGCCTGGAAAACAAGAGAATGATGATCTTCTGCTGTACGGATCTGCTGCTATTAAATGTAACGCTTCATGGCATGACCTACCCCAACACTTCCTGAACATGCTGCTCCTTCATCTCTCTCTTCTTCTGCCTGCGCATGTTCTGTTTGGACTCTTTGTCCAGCTTCATGCATAGAGCTCGTTTCAGCTGATCCTCCTCCATGCACAAGTTCTTCAGCTCCCTCTGCTTCTTTTCATACTGGGCAGACAACTCCTGGTGCTACAAACAAGCAGGCGGGCAACATAACATGCTTATTTGAGAAAGTGATTTAAAAAAGCCTTTGCTATGTTTCCTTATCAGCCGCTGGTTTTAGGTCAATATTTTTAATCCAATCCAAACATGTACAAAGGGGATAACCATAGTATTCTATATTCATTTGATTTGATTAAGCTTTTTCATTTCATTTGAGGGCTTAGAGTTTATTATTCGATTTTGAGACAACTTCATTTGATAGTTGTTGGTGTGGACATTCAAGGGTTGTAATCAACCAAAGAAATTCTTGTTCGACTAAAACCCTGAAATTTTCAACCAAAAATCGACTAATTTGGGGGTGGCTGGGGGGGGGGACTCTGATGGCTGCCACTAACCCCTCTGTGGTGGGGGACGACACGGCTCAGAAGGGTGAAAAAAAAAAGAAATATTTATAAAACTAAATATTCAGTAAACCACCGGACGTTGATTAACGCGGACACTCTTCAATCTTCCTGTCTCCAGCCGGTGTCCAGTAGGTTGGGTGAATCCAAAATGGTGAAAACAAGGGGGGGTGTTCTAAGACAGGCTGTTACCTGTGAAACTGGGGTGCTCTGAAAACACCCCATTAGCACTTGGTACTTCTAATGAAATTGACCATAGACCGTGAATTGAAGGTGTAAAAAAATCGAGTCAACCAATCAGAATTTTGGTTGACTCGGCATGTATTGACAAATAAGATGACCAGTCGACTCGGACTTTACAGCCCTAGGACATTCATCAGTGCATATTGTTAGATATCTCCAGCTTCAGAGAGCTTTGCACCCGATCTTTACCTCCTCCTGTTTCTGCTTGGTGTTGTTCATGCTGCTCTCCAGGTCCTGCAGCAGGTTGTACATCTGCTGGATCTCAGCCTCAGTGTGAGTCACACTCTGCACCATGCTCTGTAGCTCCACCACACGCTCATCTGTTTCTTTCTGAAAACAAGAGAAATAAAACTCTTTCAGCAGCCAAATGACAGTCACTTGGCACACTCAACAAACCCACCCTGTTCTCACTATTCAACCCACCATGGTGTTCTTGATGTTCTTGACAGTCTCCCTCATCTTTTCCATCTGAGTCTTCAGCTCCTCCGGAGACTCCACGATCTGAGACTTCAGTTTGTTGATGTCTTCCTTCAGGTTGCTGATGTCCACCTTCACCTGAGCCTGACACAAAAATATGTAGGGCATAGGTCAGATAACAGGCCTCCAGCTACATGTTTCTGTATTACAGCATTGAAAAACTCGATGATGTTAAATATCAGTATCAGAGATTTACACTCGAGAATCTTACCAGTTGCTGGGTCTTCTCTGCTATGTTGGTTTTCCACTCTGCAATGATGTCATTTTTTGCATTCTGAAAGGAGACACAATTCATCAATTTGATTTGGAGCAAACATCCACATATCAACAGGATTGATTCTTGAACTGTTGAAACACTACCCACCACATCCTGGTATTCGTGCATGGTCGTGGTGTGCAACTCAGAGAGAGCAGCTGCCAGCTCATCGGCCTCAGCCTGCTGCTCTGGTGGGATGGTCCTGAACAAGCAGCAGGAAAAATTAACTTTGGTTTTTGATTGTTTTGACTTTATGTGATCATATTATTAGGTAAGTAGTCGTGACATATTTGTTTTCAAATGATGGTGAAACAGTAATAATCTTGAATTGAAGAAATACACTATCAAGAAAATTAAAACATGGTGCATCATCTTCTTGATTACTGATGAAGTTCTAAAAAACTGTCAATTAACTGTATGAATTTTGGCCAATTCTTACGTCAGTATCTCAATCTTCCTCTCTGCCTCTAAGTTGCCTTTGGTGTAGGCCTGCAGTCTGTCCATGTCTGCCCTCTGAAAACACAAGCAGTGACTGTTTAAACAACTCCATCACCAAACACACACAGTGAAACCAGGATAATGTTGACGACCTCATTCTGTGGGAATAATGAAGCTAAAAACCATGTTTTCACCGAGACAGGTATTGTATTATCTAAGACTGCAGCTACATTGTAGCAGTGTTTCCCCTACATAGACTTTATTTGGGTGGCCTGCCGAAGAGGATCGACACCCACCCAAGACGATGAAAATAGAATTTAAAAAAAAGAAAAACGCACGGTCATACAGACACACAGATAGCAGGGTTTCCTCCAGACTAACACGGCACAGCGCAGGACACGCTGGTGACTATACGGAAATGCACCCAAACTGTTGCGCTCCGGCTACACTAACTTATTCTTGATTATATACTGTTTTCTTCCTCATACAGTTTCTGTTATTGGACCATATGTTTTGTTTCAGAAACTGACTGTGACTTTTTCCTCTTCAAGACATGGAGCGAATTAAAAGCTATTTTTTCCTTTGGGTTGTTTGTTTACAAAGCAACAGTCTGTAGCAAAAAACTTGGTCAGTGTAATGCACTGTCTACCTTATGTTTTATGTTTGTTTTGCATCTTTAAAAGAGTACAATAAAATGTGACACTGAATTTAAAACAGAACATTGTAATTTTTAGCATTTATTATCTATTTATCAGTAATACAGTGAAAAAGAGAGGAAATGTGAATTATTTGCCTTACAAGTCAAGTCACAGTGCGTACCGCTAAATTTTCTGCTTGTACTCCTAAACTTTTAGTTAGAGGTTACTGTGCTCTTAGCAAAGCAAGTTAGTCTGAAGTCCTGTATGTACGATAAATAACGCATAGTTCATAAACCTTATTTTGACTAGATTATTTTGAATCCCAGCCCACCACCACAAGTAAATTCTCAACCTAGGGGAAACACTGTTGTAGCCATAGCTGTATTTAAATAAATCAATATTAAAACCAAACAGTCATATTGAGTTTGTGAGGCAAATCTGTGTGGAATTATCTAACATACAAATTTGGCCTGTTTCTCCAGGGTCATGTCCAGTCTCTGCTTCCTGAAGTGAAGGAAGTTCATGATGGCACTCAGCACAGTTAGAGTCTTCTGTTTCTCTGGTAAGATAGAGGAGAACTTTACCCACGGTTATTTAGATACTTCACTTTAGATATACGGTACAGTTTAAAAGACAACCTCTGGCAAGATAGAAAACATATTCTTACTTGGAGCAAGAAGGTCATTCAGCGAGAAATCGTACACCAAGCACATCGGCAAAAACTGACGCCTAAAGACAAAACCAGGAGTTGTTAGACACTGGAGACTGAATAACACAGTTCTTAGGTGATATCACTCAAAAATATAAAAATAAAGCTGGGGTCTGAAAGTAGTGAGGCTGCAAAAATAGGATGCGTCTTTCTATAGTCTTGTGATCAGTAATCACATATTTGTGATTTGTCCTGTAGTGGTCAGCTCATCCAGCAGAAAACACAAGAATACTCACATGCGCATGTAAACGCTCATTATAGCAGTTGCGCCCTCATGATAAGTTGGATGCTGAATGTTCTCCAGCATTGGAACCTGAGGGATGAGAAAAGTAATCATTGATACGTAAAACAACCAGATCCACAGCAGTGAATCTATCTGTGATGTACCACAGTTGGTACATATGTCTTGGAGAACTCACCATAGAGTGACACTCAGGTCTGAAACGATACAGGAGGTGCAACACTCTCATGTACAAAGTTTGGACTGTTTCTGGCTGCAAGAGAAAAAAATTAAAGACTTCATTAATGTGCTTTTAGTCAAATGTACAGAGAGGATTGACGGCTAAATCTCAGCTAACACCTCCTCTGGTTCACTCTTGTATTTGGCATGTCTTTCCTATTCAAGCAGGCTGTGATGTGATGTTTTGCTATCCAGACTGTCGTGTAAGAGACAGACGTGATTCTCAGATGTGATTCTCAGTGCTCGTTCTGTGTTATTAGTTTCTTGGTTATTGCTTTTGTTGTACCTTTGCCAAACTTTCACTTTCACGAATCTAACAGTGATTACAACTTTTAAGATGTTACTATTTAGTATTTCTTTGTCAACTGATGAGTTTTTCAACGGCTGATGCCAATATCAATAATGTTACAGAGCAGATTGGCTGATATATAAAGCCGATATCACATTGCTTTTTCCTTTCTGTTACTATTAGCATTATTTTATTTGCATTTTAAAAAAATAAAAATGCACTAATACTTACGAATGTAAAACAAAGTTACTAAACATCAGAAAATAACTGTAGATAGAAAATTATTCTGCTATTTAAGGAATTCTTGGTGTCTGTCCAGCCATCTCTAATTATCTTTAAAACAAATCATGCATAAATCCATCATTTCATGTCATAAAAATAATTAGCCAATAGATTATTAATGGACTCACAAACAGTGGTGATATCGGCCTAACGAGGACTCATGCTGATTTTTTTAAAAAAGATGTCATTTATCGACCTGATGTACTTGTGTCTGTATTTTTTCTCAAATCTATTAATAAATTTAAAATTCAGTAATGTTTATTTTTGATACATCACTAGGGTAAAAAAGGAGGGTACTTAGCTCATCTGTTTCTTACATTAAAAACAACCAACAAACTATGAACTAGGACTGGGCGATTATACGATCTTGATTAATGATCGTGATAAATATTAGTCCGATCACGGCGATCAGCTATGAGCTTATTTACTCGATCAAACATAGCGAAAATGTGTGTCACAACAGCCAATCAGGGTCGAGCTTTTCCTGCTCACTTCTGTAAGTTGCCGGAGAAGTAAACAGAGTAACTGAATGTGGAGCTGAGGGCAGTAAAATAGATATCAGCCATGACTTCATCCTCCAAAGATGTTGTTGAGAAGAAAAGTTATTTAATGTCTTATTTAGTATTTATCTATTTACTTTTTAGTTTTAAGTACAGATGCTTAAAAACTGGAAGTAAAAAAAAAATCTGGATAATAATCGAGATCGGACAATATATAATAATCGACATCGGACAGTATATAAGTATATTGTGATCATCTTTTAGGCCAAATCGCCCAGTCCTACTATGAACGTTAGAAAAAAAAACAGATTGTTAACACATAAAAACAGTATGTATTGCAGCTTTGCAGTGTAGTGAAAATAACCCCGTTTTTGGTCATTTTGACAGATTTTGGCTCAACTGAAGTCTCCACATTTAAGGATCAAGTCCTGATTTAGCTCCTCAAGTTTGGTACACGCCCTTTTTTCCGTTATACCCACATCATCGAGTGCACTTAATGATTCAGATCTGACTAAAAAACGTTTAAGTGTTTTAGTTATGTCGTTATAATCAGATGATAAGTGAGTTATGTGGGTAAACACCGTGAGATCCGTGCAGATGTTACCTTTGGAGCAGGAGTCAGATCGTTCTTGGTGAAGTGTTTGGCCTCCTGACCGGTAAGAACTTCGGTTCGGTAGAAGTTCACAATAGCGTCCGCAGTATAGACGGGAAATGTGTTCTCAGACATCTTTACGAATTTTCAGCTTGAAAACTGTCAAAACTCTGAGAAACCTTTCTAACCCAAAAGGACGAAACGAAATTGGCGCCTTTAAACGACTTCCTTATTGATTTGTAAACCACGTATCTGATTGGTCTATTTGTTTCTTCTTCTGCTTCAACAATGACAAAAATACACAAGGCCGCCATCTGGCGCACGCATCTATGTACAGCACCAGACTTTACACCATTTTTACCCGCGCTTGTTTAGAGGAAAATTCGCTCTTTCACCTGCTTACAACACATAATGTGGTTTATAACAAATGTCAAAAAAAGTTACACGACATAGTTTTAAAAATACGGAAAAGACCAGAACAGGACACCGTATGAATTTTCTAGAAAATTTCAGGCGCTCCAGCCCCGAAATTCACCCAAGTTTACATCTGTTTCCTCTCACAGCCTTCAAACCACACACATATAAATAGGGTTAATTTGCAGCTTGTGTCCTCTCTAGTTGTACTTCAGTAACAGCGCTACACATATGTGATATTTCTGTGTATTTTTTTATGGGAACTGTTATAAAAACTGTTATCCCTGACGGAACCCCGAAGCAACAGGGGGCGCTATTGTAACTGTGCTGGTAAGTGAGGAATAGGCACGTGACACAACAAGGAACTGAGCGGTGTGTCTTTGGGTGTCAGGGTTTTTTTGGAGACTTTTGTGTTTAACTTTAGAGGTAAAGTCAAACTTTTGTTATGACTGTAACTGCGTTGTTGAGGTGACAGTCTCCACTTCGCACAGGTTTGGGATTTGAGCCGAAATGGCGGTGAACTGGGCCGAGAGGGTCTCCGTTTTCTCCAGCAGCCCTTCTCGCGTTCTTTCCGGGACAACAGCTGAGGCGCTCCTGGCTGAGCTGCTGCGGGAACTCCGAGATGACAGAGCCAGTTACAGTGTCAAGGTACAACAATAACAACAACAGAAAAACCTTATGACACAAGTAAACGAAGCTCCTCTTCCTTTCACCTTGTCGTACTTCATTAACATTAAATATTTCTGCTCTTTGCTGGACCTCGACTTCACCACTCAGACTTTCACCCTGATATATATATTTGTCTGTTTTGTTCTGTCTCTGGAAAGGTCATCGTCACGTTATAGAGCTGAATGAATTAAGTAGGGGAGAGTGGGGTAAGTTGAGCCACCCCCTGTTGCTTGAAAATGGTAGAAGTTATTTAGGAGATGGGCATCAATTCATGGAGTCTGTTAAGGTTAGAAGCACATAGGTGAAGGGGTTAGACATTTATTTACAAAAAGAAAACATTTTTCACTCTTGAAAGTTAATTTATTCTGTCACAAGTTTTATTAGAAATGTATTGAGACCAAAAAAGGTCACTTTAAATTCGTTTTATACATCAATTGTGGTATCTATGAGCTCCAACATGAGGTCAAAAACCTAGCATAAAAGTCCACCATTTTAGCTTAGAGGACTAATAAAGTCATAATAGTAGTTCAGGGGTAAGTTGAGCTGTGAATGTTCTGAATCACTTAGAGGCATTCTCATGTTACAATGGCTTTTTAGCAGTTATATGCAATAACAATAATAAAAGGAATTATTATACCAGTTTGAATAGTGTATAATAGATAAAAATACACATGAATGTGAAGAAGTGACTGTTATTGAGGGAGAGAGAGTGGAGGGGGGGGTTGTAGGGATGTGGCTCAACTTACCCCATACACAGGGTAAGTTGACCATAGGGGACCACTTTTTTTGGCATGCTATATTATCAAGACAATTATGTTTACACTCATTCTGTTGGTTTGCAGGGATGCACAACATCTTGAAATATCTGCAGATACACTAGTTAGAGACAAAACTATGATTGCCTTCCTGGATTGATCCGAAATATGAAAAATGGCTCATCTTACTCTACTCTCCCCAATGCTAGTATGTTTATTAGACACAGTGTTTTTTGTAATAATGTGTTCTTAGGTATTAATAACTGTAGTGGAGATTTGTGATCTCAAGCGGCTCTTTTCTCATCTCTTCCCAACTACTTCAGGTTCTCCTGCTGTCCCCTATATGTGAGTACCCAACTCTGCTGTGTCCATCAGAGTCAGCGGGTGAGGAGACAGCCTTGGAGCTCATGTCAGTCTTCACACAGTGTCCTCCCAAGCATGTCCAGTTTCGTTGCCACCTCCTCCTGGCTCTGACCTCTGTGCTCGTCTGCACCTCCTGCGTTAGCAATCAATCCCGTGCCTCCCAAGATTACCTGGACCTGCTGCTCCAGGTAGCCCAGGACACTAGTGACCTCCAAGGTGACTGTGCTCTTCGCTTACTACGGGCTACTGCATGTGATTGTCTGCGAGAGCTGGAGGCCTGCTCTCCAGGACTTCTCTCCCAGCACCTGGAGCTGTTAGCAGGACTCCGGCTGCGAGAAGGCTCCCGACTCCACCAAGCCTACGCAGGACTCCACACTCTGGTGTTAAGAAATGCTGTGTATCAGCTCACCCAGGAGGCTGGGGCTGGGGCTGAGCACCTGAAGGCCCTGCTCGGAGGAAATACAACAGTTGCATGGGAAGCTGGCCAGAACTCAGGCTTAATAAAAAACAAAGACTCCATGCATCTGTCTTCTCTCATTCTGGGACCCATGCATACAACTCCTACCCTCCAGACTGGGCCGGATTGTAAAGAACTACGTTCAGTCCTGTCCTCTCTCCTGGAGGAATCCTACCTCCTCACTCCTCTGTGTCAGGCCTCACTGCTTTATAGACTGACGGAGGTGGTTGCTATGGTGCCAGGGGTTCCTCCGTCTGTGTTCAGAGCTCAGCTTCTGCGACTTCTCGGCACCAGTGAGGTTTGTATGGAGCAGAGATAGAAAAGGGTGTCTGTTTTGTTCATGTACTTGTTGCTTTTCATGTGCAGAAATTGTGTTAGAGACTATAGGTTCACACCAGTTATCTTTAGAATTTCAGTCCAACGTCAATCAACAGCATAAAATGGTTTGAAGCTATTTCTACCACTGTTACGAATAATACAACTGTGGCTTCCTCTTTTGACCATGACTCTCAGTCATAGCTACAAGTTCAAAAAGAAGCTATTTCCTGAAGGTATGATAGACTTTTTGGTATTTTTCCTGCAAAGCCTTAACCGCGAGGAAAGATTAGATCTACTTTATTGTCCCACAAGTGGGAAATATGTCTCAGGCTCTTCACACATGTTGCAGCCTTAAAAAAAATGACTTACAATTTACAGCATATAATGTGATTCAATACAGTTAACATAGGAATGACCCTGATGATGTATGAAACCCAGAGTAGCAGAGCATATAGTTATACATCTTTAAAAACATGACCATCTCCGTGTACAAATGAATAAATATCAGGGCTAGACAGCAGCTCTAAAAGATAAATAAATATACACGAGAGCTACTGATAGCAGTGCATAGAACGCAAGACAATAGTGGCAAAACATCTTTAGCATTTTGTGATGCTCCAAAAAATTGAAAGAAGACCATCTGCTATTTGAATATCATTCATTTATTTCAAAAAGTTAAAAAAATGTGTTTTTTTGTGTTCATATCACATAAAATGAAATGTTTCAAGCCATTTTGAAAATCGATGATTGTTGCTTATAGTGAATGAAAATAAGAAATCAAGCATTTAAAATTTTTTTGTATATTTTCTAAGATTGAAAACAAAAGTGTCCAAGAAGTATGTTTATTTATTCTAAATACTTGGCTGAGGCTTCTTCACAGTGAATCACTGTATTTAAAGGAGCCAATATGAAAAAGGAACTGAAATTGAGACTGCTCTCGATGTAAAAAGGCTGTATCAGCAGCTTAGTCTGACACTTATCCAAAAGTTCTTCTCTGGAGCTTTAAGTCATCAGGTTTTGTTTGAGCTATATAAGAGGGGGTGGGAGGGGGGTAAAGTTAAAACATACTCCAGCTAAGATAGTCGGTATTTTGTCGTGTGTGTGTGCATGCATGTGTGTGTGGGCAGTCTGATTTCATGTTGTTCATAAAGGAGAAACTCCCAGCATCATTTTAATGCAACCTGGATACTGCACAGTACAAGCCACTGAATACTTTTATGAAATTCACTGGCAGAGACATCCATTTCCTCTTCAAGGGATATTCAGGTGTAAAATAAAGGTATGGCTAAATACATCCTTACACTGAGTTAGACACTCCGTCAAGAGATGAATGTTGCAGACTACTTGCTACTCTTGTTATACCAACTTTAGTAACAACCGCACAATAGCAATACACAACGGACTATTTCTTTGGAGAAATAATCATCAGAATAATCATTTTGCACTGCAGACGCGGTAGTTCTTCTGCCTTAATGTCCTGTTCCGGTTGCATTTCATTGAAGTAACGATCATAAATGTTCTTTCTTGAGCTGCGAAACCCCGCTGCACTCAGTGGTCGACTTGTCAGGGCTCCCCCACAAACAAGTGGCTGCTGGAGGAGAGTGGGTGAGTTGTGTTTAGTCTCTTTGACAAAGAAACCAGGCAAAGCTCAAAAGATGTTTGATGGCTAGCACTATGGCTGGGACCCTATATGGACTGGTGATGAAGTTAGGTGCTGTTCTGAGAATTATTTGTGGCTATAGAGTGGCTTTTTGGTTGTGGTTTGCTATCGTGCGGTCATTGCTGAAGTTGGTATAACTGGAGAAGTAAGCATTCGGCAACATTCATCTCTCGAGGGGGTGTCTAATTCAGTCTTAAAGTCTGTTTGACCATAACTTAATTTTATGCTGGAATATCCCTTTAAGAAAAGTGATCATATTTCATAGATTTCACGTATCAGTTCAGTTGAACCACGACTAAAGCTTTGCTCGCCTCCCTCCAGGTCAGCCTCCTCCACGCCACTCTGCTGATGAAGTGCGCGTTCACTGACAGCCTGTTCAGCGCAGAAGACGAAGCTTTCATCCTCAAGCGTCTGGTTGTCCTCTCCCAGCACCCTTTGCTGATCACATCAGAGAAGCTTTTCTACATGGACTGTATCCTGCATTTTCCTGAGAACCGGCCAATCAGCTGCAGCGATGGTGATGAGTCCCTCCCTGTTCTACTGACTCCCCGGCTCGCCTCGGCTCTTCTGCCCACTGTGTTTAACGACAGTGCCACCATGCTGGCCCGCCTCAACCTGCTGTCTTTAGTCTACCTTGAAGAAGGAGAAGAAGGAGAGGGGGAGGAGAGCGGAGGGCTGGCCTACCTCTACGAACATCTCAACTCTCTGCTAAACATCGTGGAACATGGAGCCAGCCGAGAGATCAACGTCACCTTCTTTAGAGCCGCCTTCCTCTTCCTCTTTTACTTTAACCACGTGGAGCATTACGCCAACAACCTCATCGAGAAACTGTGTAAGCTCTACCTCCGCCACACCCACTTGGCCCCACAGCTCATCAACCTTGCTGACCAGACCCAGGACAAGCTCCCTGAGTCGAGCTGGGCCGTTGGGCTCCTGAAAGCTCTCCTACAAGCCATCACAGAGACCTCCCTCACCCAACTCAATTTACAAGATCTCAGCCAGCACCTTAAAATGCTCGCTCGAATGGCAGAAGAAGGAGAAATCCCTCAACACAGCACCCTCCGCTTCCTCTCCAGCGTCATCACTCAGTCCTCCGCCTCACTTTGCATGAACGGCAACTGGCGTCTGGGAAACAGTCTCCTGGGGATTTGTCGCCGCCTCCTCAACCACCCCAATCTGGACTCGCTGCTCATCCCTCTGGCCGACATCCTCCAGCATCTCGCTTGCAACTACGGGGACACAGATATCCAGGACCACGCTCGCCTTTACTACACGCTTCTGACCACGCTGTCACGGGAGAAGCTTGTCAGCGTGTTGGCGCAGGGTTTGAGGGAGGGAGGGCGGCAGGTCAAGAAGAGAACGCTGTCTTCCATCATGGCTGAAAGCGAGGGGCTGACGAGCACGTTAACCATCCACCGGATGGACAAAGCGGTCTTCAGGCTGGTTGAGGCCCAATCAGAGCTAAACACAGAAACACACGCCACTAAAGACACCGACCAGAATGAGACGGTGGACGGTCCTGATGCAGCACTGACAGCCTACAGAGCCCAGTTTGAAGACCCCTGCTTTGCCTCAGACATCACTTTGAACTACCAGCTGACTCACTTGACAACCAGTGACTCCCGCTTTGATCAGCTCTTCAGCATCCGCCTCCACATCACCCTTACAGACGACCACTACGAAGAGCTGAGTGATATCAGCGTCCCATGTTTGTTCAGAGAGAGGCCCACACCAAAGGTAAGGCTAAGACTGAAGCCCAGACGTCCTTATCCCACCGTCCTCCAGGCCAGCGCTATCTTCACCTCCCAGGACGGGCTCTCTTGGCTCACTGTCCTGCCAGACATCCATGTGTCGTTCCAGCAGGTTTTCAAGCCTCCACCTGTCCCCTCAACCTGGGGACGAAGCGACAAGCTGAGCCTGTTTGAAGGTTTGTGGGATGAGGTAAACTCTCAGACTGGCGAGAAAGACCTGGTCGACTGTGCCACCAGCCTGTTCTGCTGCCAACTGAAGGAGGACGCTCTGGCTGCCTTGGTCGAGAAACACTTCCTCCCATTCCTTCTATCAGATCCCGCCGATAAAGAGGAGTTCAAAGTGCTTTTCTTCCTCCCGCCACATTCCCATGTGCTGCTTAAAATCAAGTCTGAGGAAGATGCTGTGCACTTTAATATAACCACAGACAGCTGGCAGCTGCTGCCTCACATAAGTTCTTATCTACTGACAATCACAACCTCACAAGATGTTCAGGAGTGACTGAAGCACCACTCTCTCGTTTTTAATCAACAGCTGACTTTTTAACATGATCAAGAAGCTTTTTTTTTCAGCACTGAGAAACTCCAATTTAAAATCCAATTAATGAACCCAGTTGATTTAAAATAAAGAAGTTGCACTTATATTTGCTGCCACTGTAATAAACACTTGTTTAAAGTTTGATGGTTTTGTCATTTACTTACTGAATAGTTGATCAGACCTTTGACTAATAAGTAACAGTCTGTAACTGACAAAAGCATAGTACACTAGGTGTCACATGAACTTACACATGGATGACACAACTAAAGTGAGCTTTCCCATGTACACAAAACGAGGTGATGCAAAATAAAGAAGCAAGGAAGCTGTGGGACACACCGAGATAGCTGTGTGTTCCTGAAATTCATCAACTCAAAGTATCTACACTTAAATAACCGCATCAGTGTACAAACAGTTATGTTGGTACAATAACACAGACTGCTGCAAACTTAAAATCAGAATCTGAAAATGACCCTTCATTGTTTACTGTATATATCAAAAGACCAACCCTGACAGGTCTGGTCTACTCTCAAGTCAGACTGAGTAAATTATCTTGATAAAAACTATTTTTAAAAGTTATGTAGATGTTTGGAGAGGCTGCCTGTCTGGACCCTGCTGGAAAAAAAAACAAACAAACTTGGAACTATTTATAATGATGTATGAATATGCTGTTGCAGTGATTGGAGCTAGCCTTACAATCCGGGTACAACCAGAGGTTTGGATAACTAGTACTGTGATGTCTCAGCAGTTACTCTAATCCCGCATCTCCTGTCTTTGTTGCCATAGCCTATAGCTAAGACTACATTTCATACCAAAGCAGTAAACAGACAGCCAACAAATAAAATCTGAGGTTAACAGAAAAAGTTAATATATTTTATATCCGAGTTTGTAGAAAGGATTTTTAACACATTTATAAAACCAACCAGATGCAAACTGTGCACAGTTTATCAGCACTCTTTTATTTAAATTGTTTTCCAAAGAGCAGTCTAGACTTGTCTGGGCTCCCTCCTCAAACAAGCGGCTGCTGGAGGGGAGCGGGTGAGTTGTGTTTAGTCTCTTTGCCAAAGAAACCAGGCAGAGCTAAAAAGATGTTTGATGGCTAGCACTATGGCTGGAACCCTGTATGTTCTGTTGATGAGGTTAGGTGCTGTTCTGAGCTTTATTTGTGGCTATAGAGTGGCTTTTTGGTTGAGGTTTGCATGTGGAGACATAGACTGCTGTGTATTGCTATCGTGCAGTCATTGCTAAAGTTGGTATAACTAGAGAAGCAAGCGGTCGGCAACAGTCATCTCTCGAGGGGATGTCTAACTAGGTGTTACAGTGTATTTGGCCATAACTTAAATTTACACCAGAATACCCCTTTAAGTCGTCTTTGTCCTCCAATCAGTGCATTTCACAAGTACAATTCTTCTGTTACCAGTTAGTCCATTCTGTACTGATGGGGATACTTAGCTGCATGAGTGTATCTAAGTATCTGTGGAAGCTCCCATGAGTGTGACTGACATAAATTAAATCAACAAAAAGGGATTGTTGTATCCCTGTGACTATAAACTAATTTAAACATCAATTCTGTTCTGCTAAATGCAGCTTAAAACTACGTACTTTTCCTTTAAAGTCTAGGTGGATAGTTTCAACAAAAGCCAATTACATCAAAGTATTAAAAGTTTATTGTAAGCTCCTCCTCCAAAGCTTCACAGAGAGGCCAAATTAGATTTTTTCAAATTAAGAAAAGCTCTCCAATAGTTGCAACATAAAAAACTCAAAACTATTACACTGAAGCACTGAAGGCAGGTCATGTCCTGTGAGACACTGAAAGGAAGTTCAAATATCAGGGATTCCATGTTTCAGTTCATGATGTCCGTTAAGACTGCAGTGAGTTACCACATGTCCTTAAAAAAATTAACTCTTTGATTCAGTCCAGGTTGGTGGTCCTTTAATCGGAGAGGCCCTTAAAGTTTGGTCCTGTGAACGAGGGTAAAGCTGTCTGCTGGCTGATAAGCTTATCCATGATGGCGATTTCTGAGTCCCTCTTCTCCACCTCCGCTATGGGAGTCCAGGACATGTCGTGTTGGAGTTTGAATGCACCGACAAATGTGTGGGGACAACTTTGACCCCATTCCTTCAGAAGACAGAACAAGAAAAGAACAGTGAGATAATAATAATAATAATAATTTTATTTATATAGCACCTTTAAAAACAGAAGTTTACAAAGTGCTTAGACAACAGTTGTAAGCACAGAGCATCAGCACATTGAAAATAAAAACACATAAAAACAAAAGCTCAGTTAAAAACAGGCCTCTGAGATGATCAGTCCTTGGTCAAATCAATAAAGTGTATTCAGCTTTCTGTCTTAATTATTGCTCGAGCCTTTTTCCATAAATCCTCTGACCATGTCTGCAACAACAAAACTAGAGAAACTGAAACTAGTCCAATCCAACCTAAACTGCTTCTATTCGGTCTGTGACCTCTCTGCAAGGCCAAGTGGACTTTGAACACCTTATCTCAACATAACAAGCAGGACCTCACAGGTGTTTGTTTGTGCATTCACATGTTCACACCTGTGCATAGGAAGTGAAGTAACAGGTACAGTACATGTAACTCCTGATGTAAACACTGTGACATAACATTGCGTATGTGCGATCATTGAAGTATCTGCTGACCTTGGGGGAGATGATAGAAAAGTATTTCTGTCCAGATGGCCGTTCGTAGAGGTAATACATGTTGCCAGGCTTTTTCACGATGTTACAGGCAGCATGGTGGAGGTCTGTGTCTCTTTTAGCATCTTCTAAAACCTAAAAAGGAGGAAAAAAAAGTTAACTTGACGTGAAGAATCTCTTCTTTTTCTCTAACAACTGCTCTTTAGTTTCTCCTGCTCTCTTTTTCAGACAGGCTGGTGTTCCAAAGTTCATTTAATGATGCCCAACTTCTCTTTGCATCACCAGCCTATCTATCCCATGGTAGAAGTCAGATCTATTTTAGATTTTGTTTAATGAGATTTTGCTTGAATTTCCACCCCCAACGCACAGACAATAAATCTTCATTTTTAGCAGTTTGATCCCACTGAGCAATAGACAGCCATTAGACGTCTAATTTTTTTTAAGACCTAATTTCAACCGTCTAGATTCTGTATATTCTTAGATGGAATTTAGACATTGCACATTAACCCGTTATTCGATAACTATTTATTACAAATAAAAGTACTTAACCAAAATAATTAGAATAGAATAGAATAGAATATTTCTTTATTGATCCCCCATGGGGGAATTTTTTTGCCACAGCAGCAACACAGACAAAGTGCAAAAATGCAGTTCTAAAAATAAAGATGGTAATATTAAGAACTTAAATGTTACAATTAAGAAAAAGATTTAGAAAAGGAAAAAGAAAAGAAAACTATATAAATTATACACAATTAAAGTACTGGATGAATGAATGAATGAATAAGGAGATGAACAACAGATGATGAGGTATCAGGATGGTCATGGTTAAATAACTGTACATGAATGTTGAATATTAAATAGATTAAGGTGTGAGTCCAGTTTTATTACACTTCGTTGTAAAGTCTTATTGCAGAAGGGAGGAATGACCTGCGGTAGCGCTCCGTCTTACAAGATGGGAGTCTCAGTCTGCTGCTGAAGGAGCTGCTTAAAGCCCCCACAGTCACAGTCCCCACAGTCAATTATGATTGCCATTGAGCAAAATACAGTGTAGTATAGATATTGCCCAGATTTAGACTTGGTCTAAATTTAGACGTCTCAAAAGTTTTCATTTTTAGGCCTGTGGTAGCCTGATTTTAGACCAGTCGTCTAGACTACATTTAGACCTCTTTTAGACCAAAAAATGCTCAGTGGGATGATAAGTGCGGTGCTCTGTGAGTGTCAGAAAACTGGGTAACCGCACTGTGTGTTTGTTAGACTCATCTTGTGCTTACCTTTCTTGCCTGCTCCTGAAGGTATCTGATCTGATCAGCAATAACTGTCAGTTTGTTGCCAGCATTGGCTTTAATGAAATCATCTCCCTGAAAAAATAAACATGACAGTTACATCCATCAATCAAGAGTGTTCTATGAAATAACTTGACAGATGTAAGTAACCCTTGGGGAAAAGTCCAGTCCATACCCTCTGAACTTGAGCTGCCAAGGAAACCAGATCCATGGGGTCTCCTACTCTGTGGGTCTGGTAGGAGCTGACCAGTTCCAGCCCACTCGGGGCGCCGCTGCTCTCAACTAGAGTCACTGCAGAAAACACGTGAGTTACATCACTGCTGTATGTAACATCAGCAGCAGGCAGGGATTCATGTAATATTTAACACCTACTGTGACTTTATCTACTGCTTAAGAGCTTAGAAGGGGCGCAAAGTGTATAAAGCGTAATGATACAGGTCATAATTGTACTTGTAAACATAACACCCTTCCTGGAGTACACATATTAAGCCATCAAGTCATTTTACTACAATAAGTTTGGCAGGTATATTTAGAGCTGATATTTTTAAGCATGAGGTACTGAGCAGGTCCCACAGAGAGTTTCTGTTACCTGTGGTGGTTTTGTCGGGCTGGTTCGGGAGGCTGACGGTCCTGTCCATCTTCTCTTACTAACGGTGTTACTCTGAAGATTTCACTGTTCTCCTGTCTTCTACTGAACCGGACAGTTTTGTAACCGTTTAATATTTGTCAAACACAGGAGGCGTCCCGGGGTCCTGAGTCTCCGCCCCCCTAGTGCTAAGCTAGCTGTTTAGAAATGTGCCTGTAAATAATACAAAGCATTAAATAATACAGGCTAATTGAAAGCTACGTGTTATTAATACTTGAATAAAAAACGTGATCAATATCAACATTTTAGCTAAATATTTATCCAGTGTTTTTTTTTTTAACCGCATAGACACTGATATTTTCTGGCCATATCAGAAACAGCTAAGCTGTAAAAACAGAGAGGCTAAAGAAGAGGAGATGTGTCGTATTCGAGTGAACAAACAATCTTATAAAAACCCGTATTACGAAATTTAAGCAGATGTTTTATCATTTTGATTCAGTGCTTTAAATGCCGTAACAAAAGACATCAAAACTACACTATATAGATAATTAATATCGATATGTAATATGGTTTTTCTCTTTGACTTTGTAAAATATCCTATAATGTCAAATCACTTACTCAAACACCATGGTAGCAGCTGTTGATTGACATATTTTTAATTTTATTTCTTATTTTCAGACTCTTGTAGGATATATAAATCCATATAAAACTATGAAATTTCTTTTTAAGGACAATTGTTTTGTCATTGGAACAGCATTAATGAAAGTTTCTGAAATAATAATAATTATGAGTAGTAGTGTTATTACTATTACTTGTTGTTGCTATTATTATTTTTATTATTATTATTATTTATAATAATAATAATAAGGTTTTGCAGCTTTGTAACTGTCTGTGCTTGAGGTAAGGCAAGTGGTGTTAAGTGAAACAGGACACAGTGTTAATACTGATCAATTTTAGACAGCATTTTAATTGTAAAAAGGCTTGTATTTTTGATAAAAACTAATAGTACTCTACAGAAACAATTGCATAAAAGTAGTATTTCCCATTACAGGAAATATTGTTTGATATAAAATACAGCTGTCTTTTGGATTATGCAGATTAACATTTGAGAATGAAAGTTGTCAACTTTTTTCTGAGCAATCAGTGTGCTAGGCAACATGAAAAAAACGGCTTTCCTTGGAGATGACTGTCTGAGTTCTATGTATTTCTATGTTGGTTGGTTTGTTGTGGTGGCCAAGAAGCGCCACTGCTTCAAGCGCTACATGGCCTAACCGAATGACACATTGAAAATTTTACGAAGCGTAATTAAACAATAACCCTTCCACTAACTTCTTTGCTCGTCTTCTCGCTGTCGTCTTCTGTGCCTAGATCGTAACACACTGGTAAATCATTAATATTGGTCCCTAGCAGCTCACTTCCGTTGTGGCTTTTTTTATTTGCCTTTTTTTTTTTCCATCACCACTTTTTTTTTTTTTTTTTATTTGTATTTATTGCGTTGTTCACTTCTGTTGTGGCTTTTTTTTTTAATCTGCACCGTTTCTTTTTTATTTGCAGTGGGCTTCAGTTTCTTTTTTTTTTATTGCATCAGTAACTTCAGTTGTAACTTCTTTTTTTTGCACTCTTTTTTTTTATTTGCAGTGGGCTTCAGTTTCTTTTTTTTTTGCATCAGTAACTTCAGTTGTAACTTCTTTTTTTTTTAACTCTTTTTATTTGCAGTGGGCTTCATTGTCCTTTTTTTGCATCAGTAACTTCAGTTGTAACTTCTTTTTTTGCACTCTTTTTTTTTTTTTTTTTAATTTGCAGCAGTGGCGGTTCTGGGCCACCGTAGCCTGTTTGTATAAAACAACAGTCAATATGTATGTACTTAAATGACTGTTTGCCAGCTGTAACAGCGCAGGTGTTACCCTCATGTTGGTGATGATGAGTTTTACGGGGCTCTACTGTTGAAATCCCACCCCCAGGCTAGACAAGTTTCTGCTGGAGAAAAGTTCCACCTCCTGCTCCTTCTCCTCCTCCTCTTCCTCTCTTCATCGCCCCGGCTCCTCTGATCCCCGTTTCAGACGCCTGTCCGGCTGCAGAGCCCTGACCCTGTACCACCATGGAGCTCCGTCATGTGTCGATGTTTTTCTACCTCGTTATTCCTCTGTGCATTGCGGACACTTCGCTGAACAGTCGCTTTGTTTTGGAGCCTTGTGATTTCCTCTTCGACACGGCTGTGGAAGCCTACAATAATGGGGACTGGTTATCGGTCATCCTGAACATGGAGAAAGCTCTCAGGAACAAAGCTTTAGTGCGAAGTGTGAGGGCTCAATGCCGGCTGAGCTGCGCCAACCAGACCGCGTTCGGCGATCGTTTGACCGGTTTAGGAGTTCCTATACCAGGGGCCGGGTCTGTGGAGGACCTGGGCTTCTTCCAGAAAATTCTGAAACGGGCAGACTGCGTGAACTCCTGCGAGACTGAAAAACTGGGCACACCGACTCTGCATCAAGTCACTGCAGACGTGGAGCTGGAGTTTAAGAAGAGAACTCCCTACAACTATCTACAAGTCGCATATTTCAAGGTACAAGTCTAGTACTGAGGTCCACAGAGGTGGTGGGGCTGCAATCACAGTTTTCCTCTTGTTAATGCATCACTCAGACTAAAGATGCATGCTTCTCATTCTCCAGGATAAATTCTTAATCCACACAGTAAACATGGTAACTCTTAAAAGTTACAATCTCATTCAAATTGTTACTCACAGCTAAAGTAGACTTGGCTACTGTAATTACCCCAACCCCCCCAAACCAAGACTTCCATGCCACGTCTTAAGGTGGAGTCAGTCTGACGTGAGGACGTCGCTTTTTCCAGATCCAGGCCCAAAGTGTTGCTTTCAAATGCGCCTCATAAACTCAGATTTAGAAAGAAAAATGCTTTGTTAGTACTCTGGAGTTTATAATTCCAATACAGAAGGGGTCAGCTTAAACTGTATTAAAGAGTTTAACATCCATTCATTGTTTTACAGAGCTGAAGTAACCCACAGCTCTTAGACAGAAGCAGCTTGATAATAAAATTAAATTGCCACAAAAACCTGTGACAAAAAGTTTAAATATCTGCACTGAGTCCCTCAAAGCATGACTCAGCAAAGAAATAGGCAAGGAAATACAAGCAGCGGTAAATCTGTAAATTTGAACAGCAGGTAGTAGCAAGTTACATTAAAATTATGACCACATACTGTCAATGGTTATACACACCAAAGGGTCTGGTTCTGTTGGGTCAGAGTTCTGGAGGGTCACAGTTCGTGGTGTAAAGAGCATAATGTCACTTTAAAGCTGCTGTGAGGAACTTTTGATCGGTGCTAATGTTTGATAACTCTTATCTCTTGGCCTGAACCTGTAAAAGTCGTCTCTAAAGACAGAAAATGGAATGTATTGCTTGTTGTGAGTATTTAGTACGGTGGGGGCGGCAGTAGCTCAGGAGGTAGAGCGGTCATCCAGTAACAGGAAGGTTTATGGTTTGATTCCCCCCCTATCCCAAGTCTGTCCGTTGTGTCTTTGGGCAAGACACTTACCCTACCTTGCTCCCAGTGTGTTTCCTCCACTGGTGTATGATTGTGAGTGTTGGGTGGAAACTGGCTGCCATGTTTCCGTCAGTCTTCCCCTGGGCAGCAATGACGACTAAGGTAGCTTACCACCACCAAGGTGTGCGAATGAATGATGTATCCAATGTAAAGTGCTTTAAAGGTCTCTGAAAAAAGCGCTATATGAAATCTGATACATTATTATTAAAGGTTTTTACCTTATCTTGCTATTAATCTGAAACTAACCCCTCAGGACTGTTCCAGGTATCAAAATCTACAATTGCGTCAGTACTAGTTTTAATCTATTTCTCAACCAGCTAAAACCTCCTCACAGTGACTTTAATAAGGAAAGCTCTATACAACTTAATTCATTAGTGTGAACTGAGGGATTTATGAGCAACATTTACAGCAGATTAAAATTATCTGTATTTTTTTTCTACATATTATATTTTAGGGCCCCTGACAGTCATGAATTTAGAAAAGCACCTTGCTGCTCTCTCCTCAGCAGTGTTTCCAGGAGAAAGCTTTAATTCGACCCTCTTTATGCCAGGTGGATCAGACCGACCAGCTAGGTGGGCGAAAACCATTTAATCCTGACCAACACATTTGGCGTAGCGTGTGTCAGTGAGGGTTGGCCTGCCTCTTCTGATTAACACACCTTCAATCAAAAAGGATGAGCTGAACCCATGTCTGTATTTTCAGATCAATAAGCTGGACAAGGCTGTGGCAGCTGCCAACACATTCTTCCTGGCCAATCCTGATCATGTGGAGATGAGACAGAATCTGGAGTACTACAGGATGATGGCAGGAGTACAGGAGGAGGACTTCAAAGATTTGGAGGCCATGAAGCATATGGTGAGAACAAATGCCTTCTCTGATGGTTTTAATTGGATTTCTGTACTCAAATACAAGGTTTACTGGGAAGGACAGAGCATAATAAACTATTATTGTAATGTGTTTTTGTATATTTATTGATTATAATTGTTTGTTCACATGTCACATCTCTGCTCTTGCACCTGGACATTTTTTTTAAAGTCCTACTCCGATTTTTATTTTTATTTTTACTACTTAAGTTTTAAGTTGTGAGTATGAAATATTTAGCCAAAATTACATTACCTGTGTCATTTTCAAAGGCTTTTCTTCTGCAGAGCTCCAGTAGCTCAATAGCAATTCGCCTCTGAGTCGGGGGCGGAGACAGCGCTGCTCTGCACACTCCTCTTCATGGTAGCTTGTAGCTCAACATTGCTGGTTTAGTTGAAGTAACAGGTAACATAGGAACTATTCAGCTCTCTGACACTAATGTCTTCAGGGACATGATGAAAGCTAAAATCTTAATTACCTTTCTTACAAGCATTACAAACCGCTAACACACAGGCTTGTTCCGCGATTGTCCTCTCTACTTTTCCAAGTCTGGCCTGCATAGCGGGGCTCTGGGGGCGGAGCTTGAGTTTGCTATTTAGGAAATCTCACTGTGCCTGAACCTGCTGTTTGGGTCTGCCAGAGATTCGCAGCGATTTGAATACAGAAATACCCAGAAATGCAATTTCGCACTTACTTTTCTCCTGATATGTCCTCTAGCATCAGTAAAATGTTATTTGAGCATTTAGGCAACAAGAAAAACATGATTTTTATCGTAGTAGTGCTTTAAGTTTTCAGGTGGCTTCAAAGTTCTTGTGCTTCTGTGTGACAGGCTTCAAAGTAAGTGATATACTGTGGAAACTTTGGCTAAACAGAACATAAAGGCAGACCCTAAAAAATTCTTGAAAGAGCTGGTGTTCACTTTGTCGTGCACAAGAGTCTGAAAAACAATTGTAAAAGATAAAGCACTCTTTCCAGGCTTAGCTGACTTAAATCACTGATAAATTAATGAATCCTATGAAAAGCCCTTAAGTAAGGGTGACCACCTCACTGGATGCTCACTAACTCTCTGTTTTTTTCAGGCTGAGTTCCTGCTGGGAAAAAGTTACTACAGTGACGACTCTTTCGGCCTTGCAGCTCAACACTTTGAAGTGGCTGTAGATGAGTACTTCACTGCTGATAAGGAGTGCAGAGCGCTGTGTGAGGGAGCTTACAACTATGATGGATACAACTACATGGAGTACAGCGCTGACCTGTTCCAAACCATGACAGGTGAGACTAAACACCTGAAAACACATGATTCATTTAAAGGTTGTAAGTTCACCCTTTAATTTAATGTGTATGTGTGTGTGTGTGTGTGTGTGTTAGATCACTACATGCAGGTGCTGAACTGTAAGCAGCGATGTGCAGTGGAGCTGGCCTCAGCCGCTGGCAAAGACAAACCCTTTGAGGATTTCCTGCCATCACACTTCAACTACCTGCAGTTCTCCTACTACAACAGTGAGTCCGTCAGCTCTGATATGAACACCAGATACTGCCTCGATATGTGGCCAGTGAAAATGAGTGAAAAAGTGCCGTTTTTGTTCCTCTATATCATTGTTATCTTGGGATTTGCAGCACGAGTTACTCATTACATCAGTCTAAATAAAATGATCATCACCTGGAAGAAGATTCAATGACTTGGGTCAATGTTTCGGGTGTATTCAAAAGTGAAGTGGCAGAGATTTGGAATTTTATGATGGATAAAATGTTGATAGTCATGATGATGAGCTAACTCTATTTGATACAACCTCAGATGAAGCTCAGATAGACTTTTATAAATATACAAGAAACACAGTGGAGATGATTTTATTCATAAGTGATCTGAAGCAGGCACTCGCTTTCAGACAGACATATATTGATCAGCTACAGCTGCTCTTCCTCTGCTGGAGTTTGGTGTTTCAACAAGTAGGGACTGGAGGTATCATCTATAAACCAGAAACTGCTGCCATACTCCCATAAAAAGAATCACATGCCCTGATGCGTACCTGACTTGGTTGTCGATTTCATTTCAAACAGAGACGTGATTTTGCAGAAACTCAGATAAAGACATTAAAGGGATATTTCGTTGTAAATTAAAGTTAGGGTCAAACACACCGTAGCAACAAGTTAGACACCCTCCCTCGAGAGATTTCTTTAGCAAAGAGACCAAACACTACTCACCCACTCTCCTCCAGCAGCCGCTTGTTGTGGGGGAACCCTAACAAGTCGATCACCGAGGGCAGCAGATCAGTTCCATGAATCATCATAACAATTATTTTGCACTGCAGACACACCAGTTCTTCTGCCTTAGCATCTCGGTCTGATTGCACTTTCATGAAGTAATAATCATAAATTTTCTTCCTTGAGCTGCGAAACTCCGCTGCACTAGGGGATGGACTGGTCAGGGCTCCCCCACAAACAAGCCGCCAAGCAGCCAAAGAAACCAGGCAAAGCTAAAAAGATGTTTGATGGCTAGTGCTATGGCTGGTACCCTATATGTACTGTTGATGAAGTTAGGTGCTGTTCTGAGCATTATTAGTGGATATAGAGTGGCTTATTGAGGTTTGTGTGTGGAGATGTCAACCGCTGTGTATTGCCATTATGTGGTCGTTGGTATAACTAGAGAAGCAAGGAGTCAACAACATTCATCTCTTGAGGTGGTGTCTAACTCAGTGTTATGGCGTGTTTGACCATAACTTAGTTTCACGCCGGAATATCCCGTTAAGGCTGTTTAAGCTTTACTTTTGATAACAAAGTTTGATAACAAGAACAACTTAGGTCTCAAAAAGGTTATATTCTTAAACTTGATAGAGCTCATGTTTATGCAGCCTTATTTAGCGCCCTCTAAAATGTTCAGAGTCTTGTGTATAGTCTCCACATTAATTACAGTTGTTTACCTGTGTAGAAATACTAGTTCTAACTGTTTTCTCTTCTCTTTCCTCTCTCTAGGTGAGAAGTACGAGCAGGCCATCGAGTGCGCTAAGACCTTCCTGCTGTTCCACCCTGACGATGAGGTGATGAACCAGAACCTGGCGTACTATTCTGCTGTGCTGGGGGAGGAAAAAGCACAAACCATATCAGCCAGACAGGTACAGCCCGCTCGAATCGCTCTCTTTATGTTGAAGTATTTTCATGGTGAGCTATTGTCGGCTCTGTGTTATTTCAGTCCGTAACTATCAGTGATTTATCAGACTGGACTTCATGCGCTGGGGGAAAAACAACCCCTATTAGCACTTGAATGTACTCAAGGGCACGAAAGACATTAAAATACACTGATGGAAATCTGAAGCACATGAACATTTGCCATTTTAAAAGAAGAATTAAGTCAGTGTTTTACTGCCCATGGCTCTACATGTCCAGGTCACAAAGTATTTCAGGCAATAGAGTCATTAGCACCAAACACCAAGAGAGTGTGCAGCTTTGCTGATTCAAACTGGACGTTATAAATAAATACAAAATCGTGGTAATATCAAAAAAACATGGCAGAGAACATTCAGAAACAATAACCAGACATAAAATGTTGGTTTTCTCATAGAATGTAAATGATGAAATAGTCACTTTACTGAAGCAGGGCTTGTCACAGTCTGAATTTAAAATCAATTAAAACAAAATCTGATATGATAAAATGGGTAGAGACTCCATGAAGGCACAGATCATCAACTCCACTGACCCCCGTTTATAGGAAAATAGCGACGTAAATTAGCTGTAAATCATTTCCCACTGTAGTGACATTCTGACCTGATTTTTAGTCACTGTCTGGGTCCGGGGTGAGGTGTTTTTGACACGCTTCTGATACAATCCAGTGTCCAATCCAGGTTATTGTTGAGTTATCTTTTTGCCATTATTCATCAAATGAAAACCACACACACAAAAAAGACATTCACTTACTATGATGGTGATGAGGCTGGGAGTGGTGTTGAAGATTAGTGGTAAAAACCGTGTGCTCTTCCCGTTCCCCAGATCACTGCGTCACCTGTGTCCCTTTTGTAGCATTTACCTGCCCATTTACTTTAAGTGCCTCTTGATTACAGAGATTAACAGATTTACAGATTAAATGGCTCATACACCCATTCCTCTCTTTCTTTTATCCTTTCCTGTCCTTTCTCCACTGTTAGCCATCTATAAAGACAGAAAATGCGCATTTCACTCAGATCACAAACCTACTCAGATAAAACAATGTATGTATGTACCTGCCAGGACTAAAACACCAGGATCAAAGGCATTTGTTCAGTCCACAAATCTTTCTATCATCTGCCTCTCTCTGCTCCGTGTTTCTGACAAACCTCTTAATCTCCTTTGTTGTTTCGGTGGATACAGGGTGAAGTGTTAGGATAATTCACAGAATGAGCCGGTGGGGTAATGAGAGAGGAGAAAAGGCTTATAAATGAGGGGGATGATTTTAGTTTGAATGGTGTTTTCTAGGGTTTGTTTCCATCAGTAGAAGGTACTCAAAACATCCCCTTTAAATGTCACTCTTTCTCCACCTGAACTTTGTCTTAAGGGTATTTCACACCAAGCTTTTTAACAGGTTGTTTGTTTTTAACAGATGCCCTCAAAGTTAATCAGATTTTTACTCCCCAGGTGGTCAAACTTTACATCCAGCAGTCCATACTGGAAAAAGAGCTGCTTTACTTTGGATATGAAGTATTTGGAATCACATTTGTAGATCCTGTGAGTAAATCGTTCAATTTCCTTTCAGTGGTTTTGTTGTTTTTGTGTTCGGAGGTATTTAACTTTTGCTTTTTCTGTCATTTTGGATTCAGGACACATGGACTCCTGAAGATGTCATGCCAAAGAAGCTGAGAGACAAGCAGAAGTAAGATTGAAGACCCAATCACACACATTTATGCATTTATGTAATCTGTGGCCTCTGACCTTCCTCCTGTGTGTCTCAGGGCAGACAGGGAAACTGCGGCCAGGATCACAGAGGAAATAGGAAACCTAATGAAGGAGATAGAGACTCTTGTTGAGGAGAAGAAGAAGGATTCTTCAGACCTGACCATGATGGTAGCACCACAAGAAGGTGAATATGCCTCACTGGTGAACAAGTTGTTGGTTAGGGGATGTTTGAGGGAGCATTAGCGCAAGTCCTCTTTTCCAACTTTGATGCTGACTGTCCTCTTGTAGGTGGAAGTCTGTTGCATGATGACATCAAGGTGACCATGACGTCCAAGCAGCTGAATGGTTCTCAGCGGGTGCTGTTGGATGGGGTGCTGAGTGATGACGAGTGCAGGGAGCTGCAGCGCCTTTCAAATGTGAGTGAACATGATTAACTCAATAGTTAGGTAGTTATCAGTAAACCGTTGGGTTAAAGGGATATTCCGGCGTAAATTTGAATTATGGTCAAACTCATCATAACACCGAGTTAGACACCACCTCGAGAGATGAATGTTGCCGACCGCTTGCAGACTAGTTGCAGTTGCAGTTCTAGAGCAGTCTACATCTTCTTGCTTGTTTGTGGAGGAGCCCTGACAAGTCGATCACCGAGTGCAGTGGAGTTTCGCAGCTCAAGGAAGAACATATAGGTAAGGATACTGAGACGCTAAGGCAGAAGAACTACCGGGTTTGCAGTCCAAGATGATTATTATGATGATTATTACTTCAATGAAATTTTCCGTTGCACTCACAAACAAGCGGCTGCTGGAGGAGAGTGGGTGAGTTGTGTTTGGTCTCTTTGTTAAAGAAATCAGTCAAAGCTAAAAAGACGTTTGATGGCTAGCACTATGACTTGGACCCTATATGTACTGTTGATGAAGTTAGGTGCTGTTCTGAGCATTATTTGTGGAGACTTAGACCGCTGTGTATTGCTCTCGTGCCAAAAATATTCTCCCTGTCCCTGTAAGGAAAACAAACCAGGCTAAATACAGAACCTCATTAAGAATGCCTTATGAAGCAATATATTTATAAACAACTCACACAGGAGTAGCTCTCAGGGATGGACTCAAAGTGAATTATTATCCAAGTTTGCATCTCCTGTGATTTATCTTTTTTTGCAATTCAGCAAAGAGTGAGATACTTTCTGTTGAGTTTGTGGCCCAACAGGGTGAGAATATTTACATGAGTTACAAACTGATGCTACATTATGTTTGTCAGCCTTTCATGTTGTTGTGTGGATTGTGTTTTTTTTTTTTTTCCAGACAGCTGCTCTTAAAGGGGATGGCTACAGGGGGCGCCCCTCCCCACACTCTCCCAGTGAGTTGTTCCAGGGGGTCACTGTCCTGAAGGCTGTGAAGGTCCGTAGTCCTGGTCCTTTTAATTACAAAACACATGTTCTCACGTATCAGCATACACCCCTGAAACAGTCTGTACAGCTGCTGTAAAAGTTGTTTCCACACCTACAGCTCGGTCAGGAGGGGAAGGTTCCTCTGAAGAGCGCTCGTCTGTTCTTCGACCTCAGTGAGAAAGTGAGGAAGGTGTTGGCGTCGTACTTCAGTCTGGACTCTCCTCTCTACTTCTCCTACTCCCACCTGGTCTGTCGCTCAGCCATCGATGGTAAGTAATTCAGAGAGAGTTAGCAAGGATGTGTAAAAGAGACTCCTCCATTGCTGCACAACTCCATGTAGCTACACAACCACCTCTGTAAGAGTCCCTGCATACCTGTTTCAAGTTGCAGTTACAGTGCGATAAGAATATTTCAAATCTGTTTGTTTATTACTTATGATATATTTGTGTGAAAAGGTTTAAAATAGCCCTCCACTTAGGGCTGGACGATTATGGCAAAAATAATAATCATGATTAATAATAATAATAATAATAATAGATTTTATTTGTAACGCACTTTACATTTGAAAACAAATCTCAAAGTGCACAAAGAAAACAGAAAAAAAATAAGACAACAATAACAGTAAAACAGGGCAAAACAATAAAAACAGTCAGCAAATAAAATCAGATAAAATTAGTCCGGGTAGGCTTTCTGAAAGAGGACGGTTTTGAGTGATTATTTTGACTGATATTGAAATCACGATTAATAAACACAATCATTCATTGATTTAAAAACTTTATTGAACCAACAAAAGTTAACTTTAAATATAACTTATAAGAACAGCCAGAAGTAACAAGTGAACAAGTAAAAGAATAAAAATAATGACAATATTAAATTAAAGTATTGATAGCAATAAAAACGATAAATAACAGTTACCCAATCTACATGCACTCCTGTAAAACTTGCAACATGGAAAAAAACCCACTAATAACAGCCAAAAAACAGAAGACTCATTTTTTTGAAAACAAAAAGGATTGGCTACAAAGTGCGCTACTTCCTCAGCTGAACTTCCTGCAATTTGCCTCCTACAAACTTAGGTTCTTGGCGAGAAGCACCAGTCTGTTTACTTGGTCTGGCTTTAGTGACGAACAAAGGCAGGTCACAGTATTGCTCCTTTATCACCTGTCTATCACCATAGACCACTTCACGGCCATACATTAAGTGATTGAATAAGTTCAGTGATTCCTCCAGGACGGGAATCTAGCGGGGCAGAAATTGCTAATCCAAATGCTAATACTCGGCGCGCGTGTGCACGCATATACTGCTCTTGCTCGACGTCTGTCAAATTGAAGCCAAAATGTTTCCAGATAACTAAAGTTGTCCCACCATGTTTTCTCAATCAGACGCTGCCTTCCTGCAACATTTTCAATCGCTCGCTCCTTGTATTATTGATCCACACACATCACACACTTGCTGCAGCTGCACTAACAGAGGTGCATTTAAAGTGTTTTCCCAGCACTTGGGGAAAAACAACACAGTGTTTTCATGATTGTAAGAAGCCAAAAATCAAAATCATGATTAAAATTCGATTTAATTGTCCAGCTCTACCTCCACTGTATTAAATGAGGCTGTGGACTACGCAAAGCATCCTCGGGCACACTGGACCCCAAATGGCCTCTGCCTTCAGTACATGAATGCATGTCACAAAACATCCCTGCAGCAGCTTTGAATACAACTAACTACAAGGAGTGAATGTGTTTTATTTGTCTGCCAAATTCAAGTGACAAACTGTGATTGTGAAGGAAACTGGGTCCATTCTCACTGCTGCTCAGGTTAGAGTTAACAAAGCATCAATTGTCGTCCAAAATGATCACTCACTATCTTCTCTCTTCAGAGAAGCAGGAGGACCGTGAGGACCTGAGTCACCCTGTTCACGTGGACAACTGTCTGCTGGTCTCTGAGCTAAATGAGTGTATAAAGGAGCCCCCTGCATACACACACAGGGACTACAGGTGAGCAAACAGGGATGTGCTCTACACTCTATCCTCCAAACAGACGGCCCTCCTAACATCCTCATGTCTCTCCTGTGCAGTGCCATCCTCTACCTCAACAGTGACTTTGAAGGGGGAGATTTCATTTTCACCGAGCTGGATGCTAAAACAGTGACGGTATACAATCAGCCCGTCTTACCTGATTTGTTTTTATCAATCATTGCACTGAATATAAATGAAATAAGACTATTATAAATGTCAAGCTTCACTGCTGCTGTTGAATGATTCCCCTAGGCTGAGGTGCACCCACAGTGTGGTCGTGTGGTCGGGTTTGGAGCAGGGAAGGAAAACCCTCATGGCGTCAGAGCCGTCACTAAGGGTCAGAGGTGTGCTGTGGCGCTGTGGTTCACCCTGGATCCTGCACATGAAGAAAAGGTACACACAATAACCTCTGTAGGCTAATAGAGGTCAAAGGAGGACAATGTCACCAGTATCTGTATTTGATCACCAGAATCCTGATGAACTCAGCGACCAATTGTCTTTCTCAAGTAGGGATGGAAATTGATAAGTTTCATCGATATCGCTGCGATTATCGATTCTGCTTATCGATTCAATTCTTTAACGATTCCCTTATCAATGCCTTTCTTTGATTTAAAAAAAAAGTGGACTATAGGTTTTCACCATTAACTCAAAACTTTATTGAGTCCCTGAAAACAGAAAAAGATGTATGCCACCTTCAGTGAGAGTCTAAAAATAATCAAACGACAAACTACCGTATTTTCCTGACTATAGAGCGCACCTCAATATAAGCCGCACCCACAAAATTAAAAAAAAAAATTGGAAATGTACTTATATAAGCCGCACCGGCCTAAAAGCCGCGGTTATCTACTGAACTGAATATTTAGTTTAACTGAACATAACTGAACTGATCAGTTTCCGAACGGTGCCCAAAGCATAAAAGTGCTTATCAAATAAAACAGAAAAGTTATCGATCGCTTTATTCATCGTCCTCCTGTGCACTGAAACTATCTAAGTCCCCTTCTTCAGTGTCGGAGTTGAACAGCCTCAGGAGAGCTTCGTCACATGCCTTTTCTGTGGCGATGTCAGTGTTGCTCTCCGTGTTGCTCTCCGTGTCACTGTCATCATCCCGGGGTGAAGCTGACTCTGAAGCTGAAGTGTCCTCTTCACGCAACAGTCCAGCCTTTCGGAACCCATTGGTGATGGTAGATTCCTTCACGCTGCTCCACGCAGCTAGGATCCACTGACAGACATCAGAAAATGATGCTCTTCGCATGCGGCCAGTGTTTGTGTCGGATTTATCGCCACTCGTCATTAAGTCTCCCATTCACAGTGGAGTGCTGCTTTAAACGCTCGATTCTGCTTGCATGTGCTAAATGAAAATTAGCACTTTCTTCTTTTATGTTAAAATTTGACTTTCACCTGTCTCGTTTTTTTTCACTTTATACTAAAGCGCCCCCCTGGTGGGTGAAGAAAAATCCACAGAAAAGCCGCACCACATTATAAGCCGCATAGTTCGAAGTGTGGGAAAAAAGTAGCGGCTTATAGTCAGGAAAATACGGTATTTGTACAGCATTTACTTTGGTCGGTATTAAGAGGACCCTACAATGCGGGGTGGAGTGGTGCGCAAAATTTTGAGCGTTTTTCAGGTCGGGTCGAGAGTTTTTTTACACGCTTCTAACTCAGTTAGTCCATGCTACACAAACTCAAAACTTCCAAACAAAACCCGGACATTTAAAGAATTTTGTAAACTCCCCCAGACAGGCCGGACAGCCCCTCAAAAAGAGGGCAGGTCCGGGTAAAAGAGGACGTTATGAAGTCTGGCATGCATTGTGCTTATGTGAACACAGGACATACATACCTGAGATGGAGCAGCAGCGGCTGACGACCAGCAGAGAGCATCAAATACACATGACTCCTTATATTTGACAGATGTTTCAGCATGTTGCTGGTGTTTTCTACGGTGGCCCTGATGTGCAAAACACAACAGCAAATCAGAAAACACGACACAAGAAGAGAAAACACAACAAAAGGACATTAACCATCGTGTTTTCTGATTTGTCCTTGTGTTTTGCACCTCAGGGCCACCGTAGTTTCACCTTTGCATATCATCACTGCCCAACAAACGTTGCACGCTGGCTGTTGTCATCTTTCTTATCAAAATGAAGCCACGCTTTAAATTGTTCTGCCTACTTTTCGTACCGTCCGCTATGTTTTTGTCCTCAAAGTCTCTGTTCTCGTTCGCATAGCCTGGCTCTCGCAAGACCATTTTTCGAGGCACCCGGAACAAAGGAATCATTAAGATAAAATGTAAATGATGTCGATGGATTGAACCATCTGGAACCTCGATTTCCATCCCTATTCTTATGTGTTTTCTTCAAATATGACGTCAAATAACGTCATGATGTACGGCCAGTGTCTTTAATCCGCCTCTAGTCTTGTAACTTGATTTTGTGTTGGCTCATATTGAATGCACTTTTCTCCTCAAACATTTCTGTCTCTGTCCTGTAGGAAAGAATCCAAGCTGAAGAAATGCTCAAGATGTTTTCTACCCCTGTGGATGCAGAATTCATCCAAAAAAAGGAGACTAATACCTCTGAGGCTTTACCAACAACACCAGAGCCTCTTGCACAGGCTGAGCATGAAAAAGCAGACAGCAAAGCAGAGAAGAAGCCAGACGTACCAGCAGACACGCAGGCTGACAAACCAGCTGACCCACCGAAGGACAAAACAGAGACAAAACCAGCCGGCAAGACAGCAAAAGACACTAAAGCCAAAGCTGCTCCTAAAGCCAAGGCCAAATCTGGACAGCAAACGAAGGCCAAGACATCAGATAAAGTCAAACCTGCTGCTAAAAAGGACGGAAAACAGACAGTCAAAACACAAGCCAAGCAGGGAGACAAAAAGGACGCAAAACCTGCGACAAAAAAGACAGTGAAAGTTGCTGCAAAGAAGGACTCCAAAAAAGCAAAAGCTGACGCAACGTCGGCTCCAGACTCTCAGAACGACAAGGACGAGCTGTGATCAAACAGCTTCAGTGACTGAGTATGCGGTGTCTGTTTTCCCACTCTTTTTCTACAAGGTCTCTTCTGGTGGTTGTTGAATGCAAACTGAGTGAAAGGTTGAGTTTGAAACACATTGTTTGTCTTTTCAGTGATCAGTCGGGGTGAATTATTTTATGTAACTTAAAACTGAGTGACTGCTGTTGTACTGAACTCTTGTTTGATTAAATGACAATCTGCTCTCGAGCCAAAACTCCTGTAACCCCCCGCTTCATTTGGCAAACGAAGCTTTGAATCTGTATAGATGTTGCTTTGCTTCATCTCACATTTTAGCCTGAAGCTGTTTTCATGTGTATTGTTGAAGCACAGAGGTGTTGGGGAGGGAGACGGGGTATCAGTAAGAGCAAAATCATCCTGTCCAGAAAAACTCAAATCCACTTTTTAAATGGTTGAAATAAAATCTCTGTTTTTAAGTTCGTCTGAGTCTTCATGATCAGAAAGAGTGGGAGATAATGCAGTACCCTGAACCAACACTGGGTGTCAGGATGGAAGCATTGTTCAGCAATCTGTCACATCACTCTCCCAGCTTATTTAACAAAGCATTACAAATTCACTTTCAAGAGTAATCCTCAGGTAGCGAACTTCAAGATTTTGGGAAACTGGGTTGCCCCCCTGCTGTGATTGGACTACAGCCTGAATAATTCAAAGCCCCAGCGCTCATTGTTGCTCTCACTTGCTTGAAGCTCAGCACATTTCAGCACTGTCACATAATAGATCGCAGTCTGCTCAGGAATACCAACATGTCAGCCTTGTATTTGTAAGCCTAGACTGATGTATTCATTTTTTCACTGCGTAGAGCCCAGAGAACTTAATTTAGATTCTCGGTTTTCTTCAAAGTCAACAGTCGTTTTCTCCCCCAGAACTGATTAAAAGCAGGTTACTGTGTTGCCTCTTATGCTCTCATCAGTAAGAAAGATGATTAACAATGTATGATAATTCATATTTTGTGATATGATATGTCATGCCATCTGTTAGTTACAGTTATACAGTGCAGAATAAGATTTTGCAAACACTTCCAAACACCCATATCAAATTTGAAGCTCTGTGCTAAATGAGATAAAATGAAAAAGACAGGATTATTTTAATTGGTCCAAGCTTGAATTTAGAGATGAGAGAGCCTGGAGTAGAGAAGGGATCTGAAGCTGGAGGCCGAACCTTGGGCCCAGGACTATAGCCTCTGGGGTGCAGGATTTAACTGTGGAGCCGAACGGCACCAAGACTTACGTGTTTAAAAGTTCAGGTTAAATAAAGGTGACCTGAGAGCTAAGCACTGGTCTGTTGGTCATTTTGAGGCTTTGTGAAGATGCGGATTCAGGTGATCATTGTCCTCATATTTTTCACCATCATAACCCTTTCAACATTCATGAAGCACAGCAAGGACGGTACTTTAGTTTCATGTTGATATGGACATAGATAAGATAAGATGTTCCCTTAATAGTCCCACGGGGGGAAATTCTACACATTAGTTAATACATTGATACATTAATGTAACATACATTACAACATACATTATAGCATACATTAATATATATTGCAGGTAATTGGCACCATTCCTGGAAGCGTTAAAGCGTGGGATGGGTGTTCTTGTTTGGTTGTTCATTTTGTGTTTTGAACAGGGGCGTAGCACCAAATTCTGGGCCCCACATGTTTATTTGACAACATGTATGGGGAGCTATTTTTCTTTCCCAGTAAAAATATTTAAAAGCAAAAACAAATCACCCAGGTACAGTGTGTACTAATATCAAAAAGTTCTCTGTGCCAAGGCAGTAATGGTGTCAAATTCTGGTGTCAAAATGAGCACAAAATGAGACCTCTTCCTCTTTTTTTTTTTTTTTTGTATGTTTGTTTCACTTCAAAATTAGCTTTATTTTCCAGCACTGGTTGTTGCTGCCCGTATGTTAAGTTCTTCTCGGTGTATAAAAAGAAGGCACATGAGCACAGAGTGGACATCTGGAGTCAGACTAACACCCACAGTAAACATAATGTGCAGAAACAGTAGCCCCTGTAATCAGCACAGACCCAAATCAATAAGAGCTGAGTCCTTTGAGGGCAATCTAGAGGAGGGGTTTGACCGTTTTACCCTGCCCTGCATGTGAAACCCATGTACTGACTGAGTCAGTGTGTGTGAGAGTCAAATGTTGAGTGAAAAATTCCTTCAGCTCTGTTCAAACACTGCAGTCAGTGCTGACGCAGAGCCTTCGCTCTGAAACACATGCTTGCAATGCAAATGTACTCACAACACCCACCCATTCACTTAAACAAACCCACTGAGCATGCATGAGACCTCCACCAATGTTTCCCTGCGTAAACAGACACATAAACAAAAGCACAGAGATCGAGTTGAACCACAGAGCTGATTTAGTTCCAGAAAAGTCTCCGTCGAAGTTTGATGGAGCCCTCAGTGTGATTAATGTGAGAGGCAGATGGACTCGTCATGCCCAACAACGCCGATCCTCCTACAGCACAGAATCCATGATCACAACCCCGCTGCAGTGTGTGTGTTTGTGTCTCTGTTGTGATGTGTGTGAGTGTGTGTGTGTGTTTGTGTGTGTATGGTTTACTCAGTGCTTTCTTTGTATCTTCTTACTCGTGTCTGATTGAAAGAGGGAGAGAAACACACAGGCCACTTTGTTTTTCTGTGTATTTGCGGCCTATGGATTTGACCATTGTTTCTCTGGAAGAGAGAGGGAGGGGGGTACAGTAGACAACAGAGGTTGGTACAGCCATCTCTGACTGTTCTGCCTACAGCCACACCACATTTGAACAGTTTCGATATGCTGTTAAAGTCCCAAGTTCATTTTCTCAAACTTCACATTCTCTGAGTGCATTGCTTTAGGCTTGCGTGTGTGTGTGTATGTGTGTGCCGCATGGTCGGCCTTTGTTGCCATGGGAACATAGTGGGCATGGAGACAGAGGTGGCAGGTTGGGGTCAGGCACAGCGGGGCGCAGGGCTGAGATTAACTGTGACTGTGACTCTGGAGAGAGGAGAATAAAACAGCAGGCTATCAAGGACTGACATGACCTCCGTCTCTCCGCTCCTCTGGCTACTGGCGGCACATCCAAAGGAAACTTTTCATTGTCCAGCATTTGGGCTGCAACTTTTGAGATCAGCCTTTCACTTATCTCTGTAAACCCTTGCTCAGCGCTCTGGGAGATGTGTATTTTTGTGTGTGAGTGTGTATGTGTGGTATTGTCCGGCTACTGAGAGAAAAGGCACAATCCTGAGAGTCTTTTTTTCTTGAGGAAGTGGTGTTCAGGGCCAGAATGATACAGTTTCAACAGGCAACTTTAACTGATGGATGTGAGGAGGGGCTGGAATATTCATAAAACATACTCCTAATCCCTACAGAGGAAAAGGAGGTGTTACGGTACAAAGGTCAAAACTCTAGCTGTCAGTTCCATTGCCTCTGCCGGTCCATCTCAGCGCTCTCGGGCCCTCTTGTCTAAAACCAACCTTGTGTTAGCGGGACAGAAGGGCTCATTGTTTCTGCTGGTTGTTCTGACGGATGCCTGGCCGATGACTTCAGCTTGGCCGTGAACTGTCTCCTTATTCTCCTATAGGACTGGATCACAGCCGTGCCGGTCTGGGCATGGGACCACAGCTGAGAGGGGAGGAGAGGTTGAGTTAGGTGCGAAGCATGTATAGCTACAGACTTATTTATCGATAAGAAAAGTAGAAATGTAACGTTTTATTGAAGACTTTGACATTTTTTATCAGATTTATGATGCATAACTCCTGTGCACATCAGTGGCATTCATTTGATTAATGATACCGTAGATTGTAAGGTTGATTTCTGTCACAAAAACATACGAGTTGACCCTGTTTCACTATTGCATGAGCAACTTTAGGTGAAGATATAAAGTCAAAGTTTAACCATTTAACCCAAATTTGAAAAGAGAAACACTACTATACCAGTTTCAAACAAGTTTAGATGTACTATACAATGTTTTATTTTGTAGTAGCTGATTCCTTGTGTTTCTACTCTGGTTTTACTTCCCTAGTTTTCCCTCCTTCGTTAATCACCCATAAGTTTCACCTGTGTCTCGTTTGCCTCACCTGTTGCTCGTTACCCAGTGTGTCTATAGTCCCTGTCTTCCCCTCTGTCCTTGTTGGTTCATTGTATGTCGATGTGTGCATATGCTTGTGTCCCCAATTGTCTCCTTGTGATTCTTTTCCCCACAGTGTCTTTAGTTGGGTTTTGCCTTTTGATTTTTTTTTTATTTTCTTTGTGAAATTGAGTTCGAGTCCATGCAGAAGTTTCAACTGCAGAGTCAGGCCTGTTTTTAAAGCCCTGCCACTTAGGGGCCCGAGGATCTCAGCCATCCAGTCATAGTTTTGTACAAAGGTGTCTTTGAGTATCTGAAATATTTTCAATTTTTATCTTGTTCGGTAGATGATGAAATACACAATTTTACACTGAGGAACAATAGTTTGAAGTTGTTGAACCATAGACTCAGCCTCTTGTGGGTGCTCCTATTATATCCAGCCATGTTGCCATGCTGTTACAAATCAATGTAATTAATTGAGAGATCATTCCATGGTTGTGTTTTGATGTTCCTGTCCAAACTTAGAAAATATAAGATAAAATAAAAAAAACCCCAACCAACCAACCAACCGATTGGACTTTACAGCCAATCAAATCCTCCATATAGTCTGTATAATTTGATTATGATTATGGGATCCATATGTTTTGGTTTTATGGTGATGGGCTCTTTCATTTGGTTTAAATTGGCAACATAAGCCCTGTTGCTCAGCGGTGCATTTCTTGTTACAGTTATGCGCCTGGCAAGGACCTGGCCTGGGAGTTTGTAATGCAGTGTTCAGGACTAAACGACATTTTTATTGGCTCAAATAAAACAGGATGTAGTAATACTGATTCTTTATGAATGATCTTATAAATGCATAATTGAAGAGTGAGTGAAAGCAGACATCAGCCCTTTGGGGGTCGACGTCACTCTGCTAAGGGTTTTTCAGAGGAGTTCAGCTCTATACTCAGCTGGTTGTTGTGCTGAAGGCAGAGGAGTATCACTGCTTTACTCAGAGACAGATGGGTCAGGTAGACAGATGGAAGTCAGGTAGGGAAAGATGTTAGGACAGAGAAAATAATACGGTTGAAGAGAAAAGAGTCTCCTGTGAAAAAAAAAAAAAAGGTAATGGTTGGTGGGAAAGACAGCGAAGAAGGGAAGTGAGGGAGACAAGGAGGGGGAGATTCTCCTTCACGAGACAGCATGTACATGACACATTTTTGGCATAGCTGCCAATAAAAAAGGTGGCAAAGAGTGTGAGAAAGGTTTTGTGGACACTAGTATCTAAACATTTTTGCACACTGTCGCATTTATTCTGGACTTCGATGTATCTCAGTAATAAACTGAGATACAGGAGGGAATCTGGTCTTCTGACCACTAACGGCACATAATCCATACTTGTCATATTCACCCACTCAAACAGACATGGCAGGAGGAGCCATTTAAAGTGCCTATTGGTACCAATTAATCCCACTCACATAGCTGGCACAGCCGCCTTGTGCAGTTTGGGGCTGAGTGTTTTGCCCACGGACACTTTGGCATGAGGATGGAGGGACTTGGCACCCAACCTTCCAATGGAGAGATAACTGACTCTACCACTGAGCTGCCCTATAGTCTTCTTGACCATGCTGCATAAAATACTCATATTTCTTGTGTTCATTGTATTTCTCACAATAGAGCATCCCAAAATAACTCACACTCATATTCATCTGTGGTTTGCAAGCCAAGCAATAGACGAGGGTGTTAGTCTTTCAGTTCATTCAGTATTCTGAGGATCATCTGACGGTCTCACATCGCTATATTTGTATTGGATGGTTCCCACTGGAGTGTTAACCCTTGAGTGGACATCCAGCACATAACACAGTGTCTGACCGAGGACTGGTGGAGGTGTGAAAACGTGATGGTTTCAGGCAAGTGGCACATATTTGACTACAAGCAGTGGGGAGTACATCCTGATTCTCTCCTGTGATGTAGAAAGAAAAGGCCAAGATGGGAGGAAAATGTACAAATGTCAATGATGTGTCCCTATGATGGGCCATAAGGAACGAGGTTTATCTACTCTAGTGATGGGAATTACGGCTCTTTTTAGTGAGCCAGATCATTCGGCTCAGCTCACCATGAAGAGCCGGCTCTTGCGGCTCCCAAACGGCTCTTCATTTCACCCCTTATATATTTTCTAATTCAGCCAAATTTAGGGTTGTTTGGCTTATGATATGTACATATGTGTACACATACCACTTAAATAATTCAATACATCGTTTGTACTGATGTATTCACAAGTAAAAATTACATTTTCTAATATCAGTAAATTGCTGTAGCCAATTGTTTTTGTTGCATTTACAGACCCTTGTAACTCTGTAACCACCCAATGACATGCTTGTAGAACCACTCTCACATCACTAATCTACTCAACAACTTCTCAAAGGATTTTAAAAGCCACAGGTACTTTTCTTGAGTACCTGTGGTTGCCCTACTGTATACTACAGTTTTTCAACATCTGATACCAATACTGATAATGAGAGAGCAGTCAACTGATGGCAATTATACACAACAATTTGGTTAAAGTAACACATAAGAAAGTAAGTTGCTGACCATGAGTGAACATTTATCATATTAACATAGACAGAAAAATATTTAGCCAAGTAAAACATTGCCTTAAAGGAATTTTTGATGTCTGTCCAGCCACTTAATTATTATTGTGGTTGAAATAAAAATAAATAAATAGATAAAAAGTTTTGCATAAATCCATTATTGTTTTGATCAAAATCTAATATTCATGGTTATGTTGTTTTGACGGATCTTTAAATGAATTGAAGAAAAAGTCAAAGATTGGGGGATACTATAGATTTCAGAAAACGGCTGATATAAGGAAGGCTAAACTGCATTATTCTGTATATTATGTGGTTATTTAAACACCAGACTGTGACTGATTGTTGTCATTTTGAATATATTTTTCCAAAAGATAACAGTTATATCAGCCTTGTGAGTGCCACTGTTTATATGATGCAATTATTTCAAAATGACATTAATTATCTCTTAATTGACTTTCTGTCGATGTCTGATGAGTGCTCTTTAATGTCCTGGATTATATAAGAAACTCTTATTAAGATTCATTTTTATTCATATCATATTTGCTTTTCTATCTGTAAAATGACTTTAAGTGTTCAGCAAGGTGCTTACAAATATAATGTACCATTATTATTGTCAAATCCCTCTAGAGTTACTGTTAAATAAGGTTTAAGACGTGGTTTAGGCTCTTTGAAATCTGCTTGCACTATTCCTAATAAAACAATAAAACAGCCCGTAGACCATCCTATGGAGGCAAAAAGCAACAGTGATTTACTGAGCTTTGTGAGAAGTAGAGTAAGAGGTAAAAGCAGCAGAGGTTAAAGTGAAGCTCGAGAGTGTGCAGCGGTGGTCCAGGTTTGAAGGGCCGGAGGGCAGCAGAGATCAGGGTCGAGGGGCTGATGAGTGTTTGGTTAAGGCCAGATGGCAGGAGAATGGCGTCTGTAGCCCCTGGTCTGTGTGCTGTGCAGCAAGCGCTGGGAGGAATGCTTGTCTTTTCTTTGCTTTCTCTCAGTGAGTGGAGACTCAGAGGACTGCAGTATAACAGTGGATTAAGTCCCACATTCCCTTTTTAATCTCTCTATAGTCGCCCTCAGCTGTTCACCCTCAGGCCTCTGCTCCTCAACCTCCCACTGCCTGTCTGTTGATGTTGGGCTCTCATACAGTACACACACACACACACACACATAGTGACCCCGTTACTCAGATGAATTTATCACAAACTTGTGGCTGAAGGTCACCTCAGAAAACCTTTGCCAAACTGTACCTCAGTCTAACAGTATTGATCAGCGCTAAATCAGTTTAACTTCTTACAGCGGCACAAGGATGACTTTCTAACCTGTCTGCTCCCAGGTGTGTCTGTAAGCAAGTGTGTTTCAATTCATGCGACAGATATCAAGTTTTCTCCTTTAAAGACCCGCTCCGTTTTTCTTGTTGTCTACATGTTCGTATGGCATTTTTCTGACGCTACAGGACATTGCTTGAAAAAAAAAAGTGCAAAATTGCATTTCTGAGTATTTCTGCATTCAAATCATTGTGAATCTCTGACAGAAACAACAGCAGGTTCAGACAGTGAGATTTCATGCGTCACAAATCCAAGCTACAACCCTGGAGCCCCGCTATGCAGGCCATACTCGGAGAAACAGAGAGGATGATGGGGAAGCAAGTGTGTGCGTTAGCGGATTGCAATGCTCCCAAGAAAGCTAATTATGGTATTAGCTTTCATCGTGTCCCTGAAGACATTAGTGTCCAAGAGCTAGATAGCTCCTATGTCACCTGCTTCTGCTACCGCACCGGCAATGTTAGGCTAGTGTGAAGCTCTGAAAGAACCAATGGTTACAAGTCACGCACGAAACACAATGGCGGGGCTTTTTGAGGATTGTCGTCAATTTCTCTCACTGGTACTACTAGCGAAAAGAATTCTCCGTCCTCCAACCACAAGGCATTTAGTGGCCTGACCGACCACCGCCTCCTCCAACGCTGCCTCTGTTTCTGTCTCCTATGCAAAATATACATTATCACTAGCTCCTCCACAGCCACCATGTTTCTTTTTGTTTGTTGTTGTCAGAAACTTCTGACTCCGGCCTGCCCCCTGGTGGATGTACTGGTTAACATCCATGCCAACGTAAAGGACGCATGGAAGTATGTGGGCAGTGACGGAACCATCGTTTGAAACAGACGCATACATTTTCACAGGTATGGCGAGCATAAGCGAGCCTTGAAGCTGATTAGGTCATGCAAACATCCATGAGTTTGCTTATACATGCACACAGTTGTCAGTTGTAGTTGTAGTTGTAGTTGCTTGAATATGTCTAATAGTCATTTAGACTTTTCTATGGCAGAATGTGAGATATTCCTGCATTAAATTACAGCAAAACTACAAAAATAAGACCCCAGAAGAAAGTAGACGGAAACGAAACATGTTACAAATCCAGCAAATGGGCGCATGACGACCGACATTGTATTACTGCCAAAGCTATTCTATCATCCGTTCAACCAGAGGAAGCTGTACTAAGTATTCAGGGGCCCCACTCCAGACCAGGGGACCCTGTTAAAAAACAGTCATTTTCCTGAGCCCAGAGTTAACTTTGCACTACAATAGAGCCTTTTCTGGCTCCAGATAAATGCGTACTAACAAGAGAAGCCCTCTCCTCTACAACCGGGGCTGCAAAAAAGGGTTCCTGCTTTCCTCTCTGTTCCCCCTCTTTTTTCCCCTCCATCTCTCCCCTTCACCTCTCTGATTTTGTTGAGGGTCAGCATTGTGCTTCTTGGAATTCAGGCACCGGATAGAGTCTGAACAACCAGGTGCAAGAGATTTGGTTCCGGCAACTGTGTGCATCAAGTAGAGGTGAGTAATAAAGTGCCAAGAAGCGATGGGCAGGAAGGGAGTGACGGAAGACGGCGAAGACAAAGCATAGGCTGGGTAATATGTGTTTGTATCGAAGGTAAAAAGAGGAGACTGGACCATGACAGAGCAAAGTTAAACAGAAATGGGAAAAGTTAGTGAGTCACTGAGTAAGTTCAGGCAAAGTCAGTCTGTTACACATAAAACCGCAAAGGATGACTAAGCTGTCCAACTCTGCCTTTTTTAGGGAGACATGAAAAGCATTATAGCACTTTTAGAATATTATTTAGAACAGTTGTCATCTAGATCACTTGATCATGACTTGGTTTTGATCATAGACTGTGTATACTATGGACAACTTGGTTATGCCTTCCGTCGTTATAAGAATTTAAAACCAAATTGCCCTCGGTTTTTCTGGGATTTTCTCCACTTCCTGGAACCACCACTTGTGCAGTAGCATTGTACGCATTGACGCTCGGCTCAAGCAGCGTATCCCCCGGGTGAGCTACGCAATCTTCGTTTCCCCATAGGCTGCAGTAAGTGTCAAAAATAGAAAATATGAACCCCTAATAACTTTTCAAAGTGGAGCTGTACAGAAAAAAGAGGACTTTTTATTCTGTTTAATAAATTCTGAAGTTTGTCCACAGCTCCATAGGGATTGTTGGAGGAGGCAGGATTTATGACCTATACTGCAGCCCGTCACCAGAGGGTGCTGTTTTTCGCGTGGCTTTACCCAGCGAGGAGGCAGATGGCGTCCATTTGATATAAAGTCTATGGTTTTGATCCTCAATATTTGTTTTGTTATTTTAATGTCAGCCTGTATTTTAGAGACTGTGTCTTGATTTGAGAATCATTGTTGTTTTTTGTCTCTTGGATACTGTACATCTGTCTGCACAATAAGTTTGCCCTTTTGGATGCTAATGAAGAACACTGAACCTTGAATATCTATTTGTTTCTCTTACAGTGAAGACAAATCAGAACTGACAGTTTATATACCAGCTGTTTTTGGAGTAGTCATCAGCCAAAAAGTTTAAATCCCTGCTGGTGCCGACTAGCGCACACAGAAGAACAACAGTTAACACTGTAAAATTCGTGTAGAGTAAATCAGAACTAAAGGTCATGAAGGACAAAAGATAAAGTGGTGAACAAAGGGAGGAGGAGAGGGGGGGGAAGCCTGCTAGGGCTAATTAGAGTAACAATAGGGGCCCAGGGCATGCAGGCATGCAACTCTTCTCGTCACATCAATGACGTGACCGAGAGAGTGGTACATCGAGGAGGAGGAGGAGATGGGAGAGAGAGAGAGGGAGGAGAGTGGTGGGAACAGGACCTGGTCCTTCGTTTCTCACATTAGAGGAATGCTGGGTTATGAAGGGTGGCTCACCCTGCAGTCTTAAAGTCACCAGAGCAAGCTGGCAAAATGTTTGTGGACCTAAGATCCAGCTTGGCAAGAATAATGTGTTTTTGAGACAAAAGGGGACAGTGGTTTCTGTATGTCTACCCAGTCTCATGCAGTCACATGGGTGGAGTGTATAATAAGCTTGTGTCCCTTCATGTCCATTCTAGTTACAGTAAGTCTATAGTGGTGGAAACCCCTGGGAGGTCCTGTGTCGTTGGGAACTCTCGCCTCTAGTTAGCCACTACATGACCACAGTCTTTGATCAGCTCAGCTGACTCTTAAGCTCAGCTTAATGCGGCAGGGGTCTGGAAAATATGAGGAGAGGGAGAGAGGTAAGAGGTGGGGAGAAGGGGTCTGATGATGTCTGCTGAACCATTTATCCTCTGTTGATGTGCTTGGAGAGAGGAGGAGGAGGAGGAGGAGGAGGAGGAGGAGGAGGGAGAACAGATGGGGAGATATACGAAGATGAAGAGGGATAAGCAGGTTGTGAATGGAGAATGAACAGAATGGGTCTCTGTCCATTCCTACCAAGGTATTAACACACTTCGTAACCACCATCAGCAGAAGGCGCTGACCCAACAACTGAGCTGAAGCCAAGCATGTCAGCAGGGTCAACCATAGTCAGTTTAGGAAACAGAGGGATGAAAAGATTTCGTAGAAAGCACTGCCCAAGGCTTTACAGCATTCATGGAAGTGCTCCATAACTTTCAAGATTCAAGGCTTCAAAACAACTTGATCAGCTGACAATAACCTCACCAAACACTAGCTCCCCAATAGTTTTTATCTTACCAGCCCAGTGCGAGGTTTACCTTTGTTACAGCGCTTACTGTGGCCGACTGAGGTCCCGTGAAACTCTTAAACAAGCAAGACCAACAGGTCTTATTGGACCACTTTATATAATTTCATTAATTTATTTTATTCTAGATCATTAGTTGATGATAATAGTTTTATGAATTGACTTTATTTTCACTGCCAAACTTTTTATGCCTCCACCCTAAATGTGTGAGACATGACTGATGGCTTTACTGCCAGCGAGCAGCCTGCTGGCTGTAAGTAAAGCTTGAGGTCCCAATATCTAGGGAACACTTTAAGTAACATGGACTAAGACGTATAACTCTTGATTGGATCTTTTTTAAATGGAGGGAAATGACATATTCCACTAAAACAACAGTTCTTTGGCTTTATTGTGATGATTTCAGAGGTGGACGAATCCAGCAGAGGAGAGGAGTGTCAGTGAAGCTCATGATAAAGAAGTGACTTTCCTTTTTTTATGTTCAGGGTAGTAATGAAAACATTTGAATTCAAAGATGACAGTGTCCACCTCATACATAAATTCATATTCAATTTTCAGCTGATTCATTATGTGGGATTTCTGGATTGAAGGTATCAACAGAGTGGGAAGTGGCGCTTTTGTCAAAGTTTACTGAAGAGCTCTGTAAAATCTGTGGTTAAGCTGCAGATTCATGTTCAAATTTCCATCCCACGAGTGTATCTGGATTTCCTTCATGTGACCCAAAGTAAAGCTACTTCAGAAAATAATACTTGTGTTTCTTTTTTTCCCCAAATAGACTCTAGACTCACAACCTGCCTGTTATATTATATAACCCTCCTCCAATACTGTTTACATGTCCACATGTCTCATTGTTACCCTGAACACACAGCCTAATCTGGTAGGCCTGGTGTCTTAACTGTGTGTGCATGGGTATGAGGCTTTGCTAACCTCATTTGCTGGTTTCCTGTTTAAATCAAAGAGATAAAAGCCACGAGAGGAAAAAAGGGTGTATCCTAAGATTATGACAAGTCCAGATGGTTAGGACAGAAACTTTTTAGAATAAAATGATAAGAACATAGTGTCATGCTGCAAGTTCTCAGACGTTTAGGCAAAAGATGCTTCATTTCTGAGTGGTTACAAGCTTGATGGCCATATTAAGGGTGTATTTTTCCTATAAGCCGATCACCAGCTGTCCTATCTTTTTTTGTACCTGTGAAAATTAAAATTTTCCCTTCTGTCAAGGTACAGTGGTGTTTTAAAAAAAGTGTATTTAAAATGAAGTGCCACTGCTGAAATTTCACATCAGAGTTTATGCACTACAACCCTTTACATGATGCTGCCTTAATATCTGAAGAGCTTTGGCATCATATAAATCATGATCGCCTATCTGCTCCCTGTTACTGTCTCTCGTGGCTACTCTCATACATCTTCACATATCAGCCCTCCCTCATTCACACTGCCAGGTAGAGTAACTCTTGTTGCCATGCCTCAAGGTGTTTAAGTAATCCTTGCCATTCTGCATTCAATACTTGTTCCTGCCCCGCTGCTGTTCCTGTGTCTTGTAACCTCCGGCTCTCCGCTGGCTCAAAGTTCCATTGGATATTCCTTTCTGGTTGGTATTTTGGCTCATAGACTACTTTGATCTCTTTCCACAAAACAGCTCCTTTGGTGAACCACGTATGTGCCATGACAGTGAGTCCCCCCTCACCAAAGCAATATCAGCATTAATTAGAGTGATCACAACTTTATCTCTGAAAATCAGCTAAATGCAAGCCTTGTTTGTAAACCCATCCTCACATGAGGTAAATTTAAAAATGCTTTGAATGGTAGGACTAAATAGAGCTCAGTCCATATACATATCATTTGAAGAACTTAGGTAGGAGGATAGGAGGAGGGGAACAACACAGAGATAAGTTCAAGATATTGGGACTTGCAGCACACAGGGAAAGAATCATCAACCAGACTGAAGAAAACAGACATGATGCAAACACAAACTGCTACATGGTATGGGTGCTGACAGACAGTGTTTCAGGACTGGTTGAAAGAAAAAACATGTCAACATAAAAGTAACTGGGGAGAGGACTTCATACAGATAATTTCTGCATATGTTACGTGAAGCCAAGGAAAACCTCAAGACTTTCCTGTAAATGAATGAATTAACTTAAATGTGTTAACTTTGGTTATAGTAGTAAAGCTGGAACTTAAATGTGAATGTAAAGGGAAAGGAGCACCTTACTGACGAGTCGATCACCGAGTGCAGTGGAAAACTTATGATTATTACTTCGTGAAATGCAACTGAACCGAGATGCTAAGGCAGAAGAACTGCAGTGCACATACAAGATATACAAGAAGTCTGATTGCACTTCAACGAAGTAGTGATTATAAATGTTCTTCCTTGAGCTGCGAAACTCCACTGCACTCTGTGATTGACTTGTCAGGACTCCCCCATAAACAAGCGGCTGCTGGAAGAGAGTGGGTGAGTTGTGTTTAGTCTCTTTGCTAAAGAAACCAGGCAAAGCTGAAAAGATGTTTGATGGCTAGTGCTATGGCTGGGACCCTATATGTACTGTTGATGAAGTTAGGTGCTGTTCTGAGCATTATTTGTATCTATAGAGTGAGTGTTTGGTTGAGGTTCGCATGTGGAGACATAGACTGCTGTGTATTGCTATTGAGCGGTTGTTGCTGAAGTTGGAATAACTAGAGAAGCAAGCAGTCGGCAACATTCATCTCTTGAGGGGGTGTCTAACTCAGCGTTACAGTGTGTTTGACCATAACTTAAATTTTACGATGGAGTATCCCTTTAATTAAAAACTCCAACCATGCTAGTGAGAATACACTTCCACCTGTTAACCCTGCAGAGTTATTTTGAAATCATCCACAACTTGATTGTAGCACAATTTTAGTCATTTAAAAATAACTAAAAAGTAGTAATGACTGACAGTTTGGTTGAGCTTTGCACTTCCGTTTGAATAGTCATAACCTCAGCAGTTAATGGCATTGTTATGATTCAAAGTAAGAATAACCTCCAAAGCCTCATTGAAGCCCCCTTAGCTCCACCCCCACCACACCGGACCTGAGCGCTTGTTTTGCCTCTCTTTCATCTCTTCTCGCCTCTCGGGCTCAGCTGACCCTGTGCTCTGACCAAAACTCACCCCATATGTCAAGCCCCTCATTAGACACAGAGAAACCTGCACACACAATGTTTGAACATACTCATACAGTATGTATAACCTGAATATTAAAAATATGTGAGAATGAAGGGGATGAAAGGCTTTGAGGGTAACAAACCAAGATGGTTTGAATCATGGGCAAGTTCAAGAAACACGGCTCTGTGTGTAAATTTGTGTGAGTGTGTTGGCAGTGAAGGATTTTCAAAGACATGCTTAGTGCCAGATAAGTGAGGTCACATGCATGTTCACATGATGAAGTTGTTTTTTTATGGTGGATGAAGTTCAAGTTCAAGGTTAGGTTGGTAGAGTCGGAAAAAAGAAAGAAACGCACTGGGATAAAAAAAAAAGGAGAGTGAAGAGAAACTGGTGTGGTTGAAAGTTAGTGAGTTAGTGCACAACTTGCCCTACTTTCCTATCAGTCTTCTGTGTCTTTCTATAAAGTTTCTAAACTCTTGAGTCTGTGAAAGTCGGGCAGAGTGTAGGCAAGAACATGGCTGTGGTGTAGACAGGCTGTGTAAGTGTGTGTGTGTGTGCAGGGTGGGGGTGAGACATGTCTCTTACAGATGTGAGAAAACGGCCCTGTCTCAGAGAGGGAGTGTGTCGACGCTCTAATTGGCAGAATGGAATGATTGAGTTAGTCGGTGAATTGAAGCTAATTTAATGATTTGAGTAGAAGGACAGCTGATAGGATGTGCGACTGTGGGAAAACAGGTTTCTACGCTCTCCACACACACACACACACAAAAGGCTGGAGTGTGTCTGCCTTTACAGGATGTACAGTGGAGTGAACTCTTACTCGCTCCGTCTCTTTCTCTCTCCTTCCATTTGTCGGGGTTACCATGGTGACCGGGGAGGCTTGCTTCGGCGGGCCATAATTTCCAGAGAGTCTGCCTGGATGTGACATGTCCTTTTCAGCCAGGCATTGTTTCGATGCTGATTTACGTGTGTTTGTGGCACTTTACCACCACCTCCTCCTCACCTCCAGCAGAGGCTGCAAAATTTTAAAAGGACCAAGAAGAACAACATCTAATCATAGAGAAGTATGTTTAAGTTAGGAGGAGGGTTTGATTCAGTAATTATGATGCAGATTTGACAGCCTACATGCTCAACTTCATTATTTAATGAAGCTCCAACATCTTTTCTCTTTGTCCTCTCTCTCTCTCTAAAACAGTAATTATTCTCCCGTCCAGCCCATCCCTCTTCCCTCCCAGTAGGCGTTCCTACAACCCAAAGGAGTCCAATCACAGACCAACCCCTTTACTCCATCCCTTCATGGTCAGCCTGTTGAGGACTTTTTGTATTCACATTCTTTTTTTTTTTTCCTTTTTTTTTCTGCCACCCCTCATTGAGCCACTTGAGCCTGGAGCAGATGGAAAGATTGTAGAGGGAGGAAAGTAAGCAGGCAGCTGAGACAGGAAGAATTGGCAGGAGCCATGCAGAGAGTGAGGCAGCTCTGCTGCAATGCTTGATGAAGTGAACCACTGACCACCAGAAAGTCTTTCTTCCACTCCAGCGCCCTGAGAGACCAAGGACCCAGACAGGACAACCCCTGAGGAGAGACATCAAACCCATCGCCCAAGCTGTCGGCAAACAAACAGCCCAGGACGGGGAGAGCAAAGGAAAGAAAGAGTTAGAGACGAGGAGAAAGAGGGGAAGTTCTACAGATGAGAGTGAAGGCAGAAAGGTAGAAGGAGGTGATCAGAGGGACCAGATAGTGAAGAGAAAGTAACAGGTGTGTCCACAAGAACTGCTCAGAGGAAGGGGAGACACACCAGCCAACTGAGCAAAAGGCTGTTGAAGTACAACAGGGAGTCAAAGAGCGAGTGTAGACAGAGGAAGAGGGACACAGCTTAGAAGAAGATGGCCAACTCAGGTCTCCAGTTGTTGGGTTATTTTCTGGCATTGGGTGGCTGGATCGGCATCATCTCTACCACCGCCTTGCCTCAGTGGAAGCAGTCGTCGTATGCCGGAGATGCCATCATCACAGCCGTGGGTCTGTATGAGGGTCTGTGGATGAGCTGTGCCTCTCAGAGTACAGGACAGGTGCAGTGCAAGATCTTTGACTCCATGCTCTCGCTGGACTGTGAGTACCGTTGAACTTAACTTGTAGTGGCTGTTTCTGTGATCTTGTTGTTCTGGGACTGTGAGCTCATCGAATTCAATGCTAGAGTTACCAATCAGGTTTCCCTATTTCACCAAATATAAATATGTAACATATTTTTGAACATACTAGCCGCTGGAACTTTTTATAGGGAAGATGAACAGAGAGCATATATGAGTGACTCCTTTATGGAATTGAATACAACTTGTACTTGGCGTCTCATCTCGTATCTCATTAGATATTATGTTTGGGGTTAGACAGTCCCACTTCAGTTTCCGTCTTGCAGTTTCCTTCTTGCTGTTTGCTCTTCAGACTTTCTCTGCAAAGTATCCGTGTTATAAATCACATTAGTTACTACAGTTGGCCCATTCATGTGGACACACATATAAATCAGCGGCAAAAACAGAAGGAAAACAAACTCTCCCTGTCTGGAGCACATTAAATTCAGGCGCTGTAAATCTCACATAACATGCTCCTGCTACTCACGATCTCTAATGAACTTGAATAAAAACTTCAGATCATCATGAAATTTTTATTTGTGAAGAGTGGGAGAGGGTCAGGCATGTGGGGTTCAGACATAAATTAGCTCAGAATATGATCCCCCTGTCATCCCTAATCTGTAAGTAGGACTCAGTGACTCATAATTAATGGCGCTCAGATTACAAGAATCCATGCATTGAATGTCTCTTTAAATCATCCTATTACAGATTCTAATGAAAAGCCTCGGTCAGAAATAATTTCACAGAAACAATTGAGTGTTTTTCTTGGTGGTTTGACCCTGATGTGCTTATGAGTCCTGCTGTAACGTGCAACAGATGACGCATTTTGCAAACATTTTGGTGTCTTGTGAGTCATTATATCAAAATATTTTCTGAGGCGTCGAGTGTGACAAGTGCCCGACAAGCTGATCTCCCATCTCCTTTGGTGAGTTGCAGCAATAAGAACAGCGTATTGTCCTTGTGGATGAATAGGGGCTGTTAGGAGAAGAAAAGGGCAGTGTTAAGCCAAACAGCAGAGATATTCCCAGAATGCGCTCTGTCTTCCCCACACGCGCACATTGTTCCATTTGTCCATTAATACTCCCTGTGAATACAGACTTAGACTGGGACACAAACACTGACAAACTTCTGAAGGGTTCAGAACAATCATGTACATGTGAATGAACACTGAAGTGGAATATCGTGACCACGATTTCTCAGGTTTATTCGGGAGGTTTTCCAGACAGATTATGAAATGAAGCAGATCAGCATCCAATCATGTGTCTGGGGTTCACTAAAGGCACCACATGCCCGAGTCTTGATTAAACACCCTTCATGCGTGTGTGTGTGTGTGTGTTTGATCCAGCCACAACAATGATGGGAGTTATGGAGGAACATTTCTTCCTGTTTCCATTCACAGCAGGAGCAGCATGTGATAGCGGGTTGAATTGTTCACCAGACTGTGTGCTGTAATTGACTGATACAGCCCAGCAAGCGGAGCAGAAGCAACAGGTTAGTTGAGCACCTTGCTCAAAAAAGAGCTGATGATCCGGATGATTCACAGTCGAGCAGGTCGGCTATTATTATCTGAGAAGTGAGGATGGTGGTGCTGAAAGGACAGCTCTTCAGGACAAGAAACAACAGGGCGTCGTAATGTTAAAGACACCGCCGCCAACGCTTTATATCTGTAACATGGAGGCAGCTTTATGTCCAGCTCTACATGGAAAGTTCAGTTCTGCTGACCAAATTTACACTTTATACCTGTCAAAATCAAAACTTCAGGACAACCAATGGACAAGCAAATGCTCAACTTTCAAACCAGTGCTGATTAATCTCACACCAGGCCGGCGTCATGGGATGTGTCTGTCTTTAAGTCCATAAAAATCTGAAGTCGATGACGTTTCAGTCAGGCTGTCAGCTCTGATGCACATCTTTGAAATTAAACTCTCTGAGGACAGAGGTTTCAGAGGACTGCAGTTTTGGGCTAAGATTCTTGATTTGGACTCAATGAATCAATCAAGACTTTGGTTTTCTTTGGTGGGGAATTAATACCCAGTCTATTTGGTCCTTCAATAAACATTTAAGGCAACAAATTTAAGAATGAAAGCGTGACAGTGTGGGAGAAATGTGAATGTGGAAACCTGACAACAAGAGTTTTTCAGCTGCTTCTGTCTCTGCTCAAATCACAGAAGACAAACATTTCCCACCGTGGATGTCTTTAGATGAGATTTGTTGATTTGAGGTCCATATGTTTTTAGTAACAGTGCATGAAAAAGGTTTTATTGAACAGGTTCTCAGGCTAACAATGCTAACGTAGCAATGATTGATAAATGTCTTCACATCTCAAAGGCTTACTTGTGCTGTTGTGTGTATCTGTGTGTGTGTGTGTGTGTTTGTGTTGATACGGTAAGGGATATGCACAGATGGGTGGCATGAGCCTCCTCTGAATCTGATTGGCAACCTCTGGTACCGCCCCCCGAATTATAAATGATGATGGGCCAAAGGCAGGACTTGTGTTGAATGAGACAAACAAACTTAACCATCACCAGGTTGTTGTTGTTGTTTTCTTTTCATTAAGTTATAAGTTTCTTTTTTTGTTTGTTTGTTTCTTTGCACATCTCGTCCGTAAGACAGATGTGAGGGAGAGAAATCAGTCAATCTCTTTGGGCGCTCACAACAACAGCAAGTAAAACCACCTAATCGCTTTATTTGCGCAAATCTAGACGTGTGAATAAATAGTGTTTACTCGCTTCATTCGCACGTCAACGGTAATCCCAGCCAATCCAACCGGCGGGATCAAGTGATAGACAAAGGTTTTTTACAACTAACCAGGTCATCTGACCTCCTCACTCACTTGCCTCTGGGCGAGCTCCTTTTTATTCTGGTTTCCGTAATTGAAAGCAAAGGTATCATATAATTCGGGGCACCCACACACCGACACGATCAGTTTGTCCTCCATTTGAGATACCAGGAAAAAAACATCCGTTTCCATACGTCACCTGGCAACCTTAGTGCTGATTAGTTATCACGATGCAAATATCCACTCAAGTTGAGACATTTTCAGCTCACACCCAATTCGTGTCATTAGTGCCACCAGAGCAGTAGGAGCATCTAATTGCATCTTTGCATTGACTTAACATGTAATTCATTCGCGCGAATGATTTTACTTGCACTTGGTGTGTGGAGACAGCAAGAGTGCAATTGCACACTGCCTCGCTGTCAGAAATACATTTATTATATTTGTACCATAAGTACTTTAGTTGTGATTTCGGACGAGCGTTGAATAGTGGTATTCAAATGAGAGATAACAACAGAGGATAGAAAGGGTTTTTTGGGGGTATGCAGCCATATTTTATGCCATCCTGGCGTTTTTTCTTTGTCTGTTTGGTCCTTGGCTTTTACACACTGGCGAGGATAATTTCCTGATGAAAACTGAGTTAACTGTAGTAACACAATCAGTAACATAGATTCAGTGAGCTTGTGCCTTCAGTTTGAAGTGGAAGTGGACAGGGCTCCAGTTGGCCATTGTGAGTTTGGTTGTATAGTTTGATAGTGAGTGGGCAAACACAAATTACGTACAACAGAGTCACAAGTGACCTCACAATGGGACCTTACAGTACCCCCCCCCACACACACACACACACCATTAAGCACACACACTCATTGAAAGCTTGTGGCTGGCACCACCAACCTTGGCACTAGGAAGAGAGGGCCTAGTGGGTGAGCCAGCCCTCCCACACCTCCCTCCTGTCCCTCCTCTTGGCCTCTCCTTCACCTCAAAAGTCCGTGAACACCAGTGCTGTGTGTCAGTGGTTGGAACTGGTCAGAGTGGTGTCACTGCATCGGCCTGAACCCCCACACACCCTCACAAGAAAAAGAAGAATGACGATGAAAGACAAGGAAATCAAACCTCTCTCTGTTCAGACAGTCCATCAAAAGGACTTCTGGAGCCATAAATCAGACTTCAAAGATGTTTCTTCCTCTTTCCTCCATCATAAGTCCCTTCAGATCAGTGACTGAAATGCTGCTTCATTGTCACACCATGAGTGATGGTGTGTATATTTCTGTCACAGTGACAAATGATGACCTAAAGTTCCTGTTCTGGCTGATGCTCAACAGCTTTCCCCTTTCTTCTAACACTTTGGTACAACAGATAAACCAATGCAAAAAGAAAGTGATGAAAGAAAAGCTTTTTAGACCTGTGAAATCTGGTTCATTCTCCGCTGCTGTGCACTCACTTTGCAACAAAACTTGGTGACTTGGAGTGGACCTTTAGCAAAAACCTTTTTCAAAATAGTTTACATGGTGTGACAGTAAATTCTGACTTGACCTTAAAAACTGGAAGTTTAACAGAAAATGTTGTTAGTATCCTCTCCTGAGCTCTTCCTGAGAGTATTAAAAAAAAAAAAAAAAAAACAAGTTGGGATATAAATATCAAAGACGCTTATTTTGGTCCATCTGATGGTACTACAGTCTACTGTTTCTTCTTGTGCCACGTGAAGGAGTCCAATTTAAGCTCTTTAATATGTACTTCCAGGACAAATATCTTAGCCTAACATTATATTTATTAAAAGTTTTTGAGTCTCATCTTTTCTTGTATTTGTAGGTAAAGTTTGTGAAAATGGGAATATTAAACTACATCTATCAGTGAGATTTAGATTTACAAGCTCCCTCGCTCACCCTTCCCATGGCCTTTTGTATCTTACGCAACCACTGATTGAATAGAACAACCTGTACGCCACTGGTTTGTCTCTTCTGTACGTCTATAGAAACATTAAATTTACAGGCCATAAAAGGGAAGGTCTAAGTGAAGAAACCCACCCCACCATGCCCACACCCAAACATCTATGTCCCACCAACAAGACACACAATCTTATACAGGTCCCCAAATGTCCCCTGTCACCCAAGCATGGAGATACATGGGCATGGGTATTGTATACTCTTAAAAAGATAAGCAGTACAAGCCAAGTGTACTTAAACCTAAGGCACAGATACAAAAATGTATATGTTTAAGTATCAGTTAAATATATTTTCACTTTTAGTGTAATTCTAAGTACAAGCTAAGTATACTTAACATTAACTTTGTTAAGTATATCTCTAAAAAGAACATAAAGTAAACTGAAAGCAAACTTAGTTTAAACACAGAATAATTGAAGTACACTAAAATATACTTTTTTTGGTAAGGGTCATCTAACCAGCAAAAATAGACATGTTTCCAACCTTGTCCACAAAATTAACTTTGGCAGAGGTTATAACTCATTACTTTTTAAGATATTTAGGTCAAAGATTTGTCAAATGAGAGGTACGGCTGCTTTAAGTGACAGGCCACTATTAGCTGTTAGCAAGGAGGCTAATGGTCCTCATCAACCCTTTATCCTTGTCTCATGGTGGGTAGAAGTTAACTCTGGTCAGCATTTCCAGCATGATGTTGGCCCATTTTAATTTCATTTTTAATCATAAAGTTAAAGCCAAAAATTTAACTTTAAGGTGAAAATTTTCAATACTATTCTAGTTGATTGAAAATTTCAAAACATCTGTTTACACTTGCTCATTTCCAGAACTTTGAGGGTTGTGCTGTGGAGTCAAAACACTGTAAATATGCTGAGGCATGAACTATTACAGAACACTTCAGCTGTGTTTCAGATATTTTAAAGTGAGTGTTTGCAGCTCATTAAGTATTACATTGATAAAGACAAGCGGCCAACCAAAGAATGAAATTGTAGTTCGTCAAGCTGCACTTGACTCAAATATGGTAAAGCAGTATTTCTGTGACACTACACTTTTCCCTTTGAAACAAAAGATTATGAAAGCTTGTATTTGGATTGATGTCTGGATTGTCTGCTCAGGTCTGTCCTTATTGCTCTGATTTAATTCCTGTCTCTCTTCATGTTCAAACACCGACTCACTCTTTAAGTCATTGTTACTTGAAGCTAATGCCTGCAACCTTTGCTGCCAAACCTGTATGAACAGCTTTGATGCATGTGCTTCAATTACTGTATATGTCAGCTTTGTCGCTTATCAGAATCAGGATATTAGACTTTGCATGTTTGCCGCTGCCGCTGAGGGGATTTCAACAATCCCCTGGCTTGTTCTAAATAAGACGCTCTCCATCGGTATTTTGACAGTATCATTAAGCGCTCAGCCTTGCTTTGGCGTTAACATGATTGTGAGCGGCTGTGTTTGAGGCAGTAATGTCTGATCGCTGTGGCGACAGCCCCGTGAAAACAATCTTGCTTTGTGACAAAGCCACACTAATCCCACTGTGTGAAACATGTAAAGCAGGCCCTCCTACAGCTGCTCTGTGTGAGAGAGAGACCTCTGTGTTTCATCTGTGTCTATTCCACCTACAGTTATTGCGTGTGCGCAGATATTGTGCATCTTCACATGTATGTGTGTGTGTGTGTGTGTGCAAATATGTGTAAATATGTTCCTCCCACTGAGTTATGTGTGTGCTGAGGCCAGTGTGGGCAGCATATTAGATTTTTGAAAAGGCAAAACCTCAGTGGAATGGTATGAAGAAGATTTAGAGGATCATTTAAGGTCAAAGAGCCCGGCCAAGAGAGTTACCTCTGGAAATTAAAAATGATGAAAACATCCTGCTGGAAAGTAGGACAGTGGTGGACTCACCCTGATGAACTTTCAGTCAGAAATGCATGCGGTCTACCATTAGTCCTCCATGCTGTGTCACTTCATTTTCATATGATAGTCCGGAAATTATTGTTCCAAATGAGTGACTCAAAGACTTAATGTTTCTCTCTTATTCTTCTTTTTTCTTCATTTTTCTCTTCTCTCCTTTTATCATCACTATCATCCATCACTCTGTTCCCTCCTCTGTGATCCCTGCCTCCTCCTCTCCTTTTCTTATCTAGTCCACATCCAGACATGTCGGGCCCTTATGGTCGTGTCCGTACTGCTGGGCTTTATCGGGATTATCGTCAGCGTGGTGGGCATGAAGTGCACTAAGGTGGGAGATAACAACCCAGCCACTAAAACCCGCATTGCTGTCACCGGAGGAGTCCTCTTCTTGCTTGCAGGTGGGATTTCTCTTCTGCTCTGTTCTGTTAGTTTGCACCACAAAACACACAGCAGCAGTGTTTCCAAAAATCTAGTGCATTACACAGGAGTGGCCCCGCATTTTTCTGGGCTAAATATCTCACCAGGGTTTTCACGGTAATTAGAGTCCCTGCTGTAAACAGGAAGTGGTCATTTTAGAGGCATTAGCCACTGACCTCAGATATAAACCACAAGCCCAGAGGAGAAAATTAACTGAGCAAGGACCCCCCTTATTCATCTGTGTGCTGTTTTAGCTACAGTAATCGCTCTCAGGCTTAATTTATTCAGAGACCCCACACACTGTGTCTGATCTTTCCTCCCTCTACAGGACTCTGTACACTGGTGTCTGTGTCCTGGTATGCCACTCAGGTGTCCTATCAGTTCTTCAACCCAAACACGCCGCCTAATGCCAGGTATGTCAATGAAGAGCTGCCACACTGTTTCTGACATCTCCAATCATTTCACTTGATCTGACTAAGGAAGACGCTAGCTGTAACCTTCATGTCGTTCCTTGCAGATGCTTGCACACTCAGAAAAATAAATCATGGCATAGTGTGTTGTTAGGTATTTACATCTATTTGATTTGGATCTACTTGGATTTGCTACGTCTCAGTGTGTCTGAGCCTGTGTTTGGGTCAGCCAGAGATTCACAGCAATTTAAATGCAGAAATACTCAGAAATACAATTTCACACTCACTTTTCTCATGATATGTCCTGTAGCATCAGAAAAATGCCATATTATGAACTTGTGGACAACAAGAAAAACATGATTTTCATTGGAGTGGGTCTTCAAATATGATGAGCTGTGGATCAACCAAGATTAATTAAGTTAAAATTTATGAGACAGAAACAAACATGATTTATTAATGATGATTACATAAATCTGACATTATTTATTTAAAATACACTGCATTTATTGGTATTATTACAGAAATCTTATTCTTAATTGTTTCATTTACATTTGACTGACAAATATGCAGCACATAAAGTTTATTGGCATGTTTATGATGAATCTAAGTAATTCAAATGGATGGAAATTTATATGCAATGAGGCCCACATATTTCTGTGACTGCAGAGACATTATCATTAAGCTTTGGGATCAACAGGGGAAGTGAAACTTTCTGCGATTTTACAGTTTCAGCTTTGTTAATGACTCATGGGAAATCTGACTTTATTTACAATAGAGTTTGAACTCCAGTGCGTACAATTCTGGCCAATTTCTGTTCGGATATTGAAACTATTGACATATAGTGGTTGTCTAATAGCGAATGATAAACCACCTACTTATTTGGCTTGTTGAAGGAGCTATTTTTTTGTTTGTGGTTCTTCAGCACTAGGTTAATTGTTTTTCTAATTAGGAGCCTGAATACCTGATACCAGCCTTAAAAAAGCTCCTATTATCAGTATTAGTATCTGCTTGGAGATCCCTTTTTCAATGAAACATTCACTATCAACGGCAGTCCGTGCCCTTTCTACACTTTTTTTTCATTTCTGCTGTCCATGAAATCTTTTGGGTAACGCTTTCTTTTACAGTACAGTTATTACCAGGTAATTAACAGGTAATTAATTAGTAACAACATGAAATTATCTGGTAATTACATGATAACTACTAAGTCAATACTGTCTAGCTACCAGGTAGGTAACCTTCCATCATCATACAAATTTGAAGCCGAATTGCTCTGGTATCTCAAGGATTTTCTCCGGTTCCTGGAACCACCTCTCGCGCAGTAGCATTGTTACGCAATCTTCGCACGCCCATAGGCTGTATCAAGTGTCAATCATAGAAAATAAGAACCTCAAATAGCTTTTGAAAATGGAGCTGCACAGAAAAAAAGAAAAACTGGACAGTATTGACTTAGTAGTTATCATGTAATTACCAGATAATTTCATGTTGTTACTAGGTAATTACCTGTTAATTACCTAGTAATAAGTGTACAGTAAAAGGAAGTGTTACCATCTTTTGTTATTTTTGATGAAGTAAGGCAGTAAAATAACTGATCATATACGTCTTTTCTGTAATGTTTCTCCTCTCTTTATTCCACAGGTATGAGTTTGGCTCAGCCCTGTTTGTAGGCTGGGCAGCAGCCAGCCTGATAGTTCTGGGGGGCTCCTTGCTTTGCTGCTCGTGCTCTAAAGAGGACATGCGTGGGCAACAATATTATCGCCAATCACAGCCTTCCACAACCAGGGAGTACGTCTAAACCCCACTCCTTCCAACAGCCTCCCAAACAGAGAGCATTGGACACGCTTGGCTCCACCTCCCCTTCTTTCCTCAAATTAAACCTGTTAAAAAAAGCAATGCAATCACAAGCTTCTCACACACAGGCATACGCAAACACAACAACTGATACAGAAACACACAATTTAGCTCATAGATCCTGGAGATGCAGACAAAAGAGCTAAACTTTTATAAATCATTTTCACCGCCATACCTTCAAGTTCATCATACAAGCTTGTTTTAGCACCATTATTAAGCTCACTTATCTTCACGTCATTATTATCAGATTAAAGCAGCTGCTAAACCTGACCAATCATCACAACCACTCATCCAAGTAAAGAAAGGAAAGAGATCAGAACATTTCTTATATAGTAGGATAAAAATACTGCCCAAGTCATTCAGAGACAAAGAAAGACGTATCCCAGAAGACACAGAGAGAATGGACATGGAGCTAGATTGTTATCGTAGTAGCACTGATCTTTTGTTAGCATGTCCTCTGCTTCCTGGTTGGAGCTGCATCTGTGGTTTGCCTCCATATTGCTCTGTGTATTCATTCTTCACTGTTGCAGTTACGTTGTGTGAAGCTGGGTCTCAACTCCTTTTTCAAAATTTCAAAAACTTGTTTTATTTACGAAGTTACATAGCAGCTCCTCGTTGTGGGAGCAACAGGGCTTAGCTTGCACAATCCGACCCATTGCAGAAGACACTGAACTCACCTCTTCAGACTCAAAGAGCTTTAACTCTGATGCAACAATCTAGTTCTCAGCGTCTGACTCCGAGCAAAAAAGATGAATAATATGCCTCAGAATGAAAACTCAACAAGATACATTTACTTGGATAGTTTAAAAAGGTTATTCCAAAAGTAATTTGCATCAATGACTCTGTGTAAACTCGACTCAAACTTAACTCATTCTGCAGAAATCATAAATCCACTGAAACATAGTTTGTGTTAAAAAGACTGGAATCAGGCTACAAATACATATATGAAGTCATATTTTAAAATGTGGACTCATAAAGCTCATATTTACCTCGCGATAAAATAGCTCTCTATATGGCCGTGTTTCTAATGGTGAGAACAAATGGTTGTGGTTATACTAAAGTCAGACTACATGTTGTTGACTGATCGGGCAGAGGTATGGTTTCAGGACCTGTCAACCACAGGAATTGATCATTTCATCTTGTGTAGTGTGTCATAGTGACTGACAAACAAGGCTCCATCTGGGACACCTCGCAACCTCCAGCATGATTGATTTTTCTTTCTGCCCTCCACATTGTTTTCCATCAAGTCAGTGATGTTAACCAATGAAAGCAGAAGCAAGATGGCAAAGCCCGAAAGAGGTGATAAAATCAGTGCTCCGAGTTGAAACCAAGAGACAGAGGAGGTTTGGAGCTCTGGCGCCAAAGTCCCTGCTTTTATGAGCATTATTGAGGGACTAACATGACAGACTGCTGTTAGCATTTGCAGCTGTGGTTGGGCTCCACTTTTTCTGTCATTTATGGCTTTGTGATCACCTAATCTGACACAGAGATCGTTTTAAACCCCTGAGAAGATGGTGCCGTCCAACCACGAAACTCACATATGCAGTGGCGTCATTTCAAAGACCAAGAAAATCCATTTGATGTGAAATAGTATGTTCTATAAATGCAAGATCTTACCCAGGAGACTGAGAGCCGAAGTGCACGGGTAAAGTCACAAATACAATATAACTCACATATGCAACTAGTAGTTATTTTAGCCCTGGTGTTAGGGTTAAAAAATGTGCTGAACTGTGTGAACAGGATGGGGTGTGTTCAGTGTCATTTGGGTTAGGGATATTTGATGTTTCCAGTGTGAAAATCACGTACAAAGAGCTCCATGTCAAACACACATCCTGAACTGCAGCAGTGGAGGTGAACTGCTGGTAAAGATGTCTGTTTAGTTTGAGTATGAACACTGTCAATGATTTTTTCAACACTAAGAAAACCTGAAGGTTCTCACCAACACAAATCACCGTTCTCCATCTAACTCTATCAATCACTTCATCATCTTTCCTTCAACCTAATGGATTAATTATATATAAGCTATTTCATGTACTTCTCATACAAGCCAAATCATCATAAGCTTTAAGACTCTATTACAGTTATAAACATTACCATAAGCTAACATCATGAAATGTCATGTGTAATAAAAAATGACTGTTCTTCTATAAAAACCATTGACCACCACATGAATAACAATGGGAATGAGCAGCTTTTCAGCAACCTGCCCAACATTAGAGCCTGTTCAACTCAACAGCAGGTCCAAATTGGCTCTTGAGTCTCCCCTCGATGCCCCCTTATTTGTGTTTTTCAAAAGAGCTGGTCCATCACTGTTCCAGATAATAAAACCATCAAGGTTTCTAGGAACAACCCCCCGGTGCCCCCTATTTCCGGGTCACACGGCCTCTCTTCTTGGTAGACTCTTGTTTGTGGAGTGCTCTGTTATTCTCAGATTGTGGGGGTTGTAGATCTGTAGGAGACTTCTTGTGCCCTTTGAATAAAGGGACGTCAGTGGCCTGTCAGAAGCAGCTGCGCCCTGAATAGGAATCCCACAACAACAAGAGTGACAGAGTGACCTGTACAGCTATGTCCAAAGAAAGGCAGCATGCAAGAATGAAAAAGACATTTGGGGGAAATCAGCTTATTTGATGTTTTTCTGAGAATTTAGAGGAGCATTGGTGCCTCTAGGAAATGTGTCCTCCAGTCGATAATTTGCAGAGCTGTCACAACTGAGCTGAGTTTTAGCAATAAAGGTTTCACCGATAAAGGTGAACGTTTTGAACGATGTTCAACCAAATAACTTGTCTGAATATGAAAAACATGCGTGTTATAATTGACTTGTAGGAACAAGTGAACTTTGTTGTGCACATGTTATAATCTTATAGGCATATGTGAGTTAGGTAATCATCTTGTGGCAAAAGTTACGATATTGTGCACACAATACAATCATTATGTGAAATCCATAAACTGTTTATAGTATGGACGCCATCTGCCTCCTTGCAGGGTGAAGCCACCGTGAAAACAGCACCCTCTGGTGATGGGCTGCAGTATAGGTCATAAATCCCGCCTTCTCCAGCAATCCCTATGGAGCTGTGGACCAACTTTAGAAATTTATTACTCAGAACATAAATTTTTCTCCCCTCTGGTTGCCATGTTGACATATAGTTACTGTACGACTGGTTTGTGCTCAAGTTCTCTTCTTTTTGTACAGCCCCATTTTTAAAAGTTATTAAGGGGTTCATGTTTTCTATGATTGACACTTGATACAGCCTATGGGTGTATGAAGATTGCATAAGTCACCCAGGGGATACGCTGTTTGAGCAGACGTTATCACAGCGACTCATCCTCAGAATGTGCACAATGCTACTGTACAAGTGGTGGAGAAAATCCCGGAAATACAGGGAGCAATTCGGCTTAAAATTCATACAATGACAGAAGGCGGAGCCAAGTTGTCCGTAGCATATACAGTCTATAGTTGAAAACAAGTTTTAACAAAACAGTTATATTGTGTGCACAAGATAACAACTTGTTTGTACAAGACAACTTATTTAATTAATGTGCAAGTAAGTGTAAAGTAAGTGTAAAACAAAAAAAAAAAAAAACACATCAGCGATGATCTTATGAATAATGATAAATCCATTATCGGCACAAGTGAGTAACTTATAGGCACAAAAACAGAATGAAAGTTATTTTTTAGGACTTAAGGGGTTCCATACTTTCCTTAAACCTGAGTGTTTTTTTTTCTCCAAATTAAGCTAAAATTGGTTTCTTTATTTACTTCTCTGTCCATCATCACTTATATTTATTTTAAGCTTGTAATCTCTTTCAACTTTTGATTACTGTTGCAGCGTCTTGCATCCTTTGCCTCACTCACCTTCTTGCTCACATGTTCATAACTCACAGTCACCTTTTCTCTCTAACTCCTCATGACTGTTGTGAGAATCTTAGAGGTCTTGATGTGTCTCTTGTTTCCCCTCGCGTCCTCTAATCCTGTTCTTCTCTGACTGTCTTCTTCTCTCCTCTAATTCAGGGCAGAGTTGTTGAGTGAAACTAGTTTCCCTGACTGATCAGCCCCCGCCTTTTTATCGAGGACTGTCCGACTGTCCAACCACTGTCTTCCCTTTTTCCCCCTGTTACTTTCTAGACCCTAAATTTGGACCTCTTGCAGTAGAATATTCTCATTTTCTCCTCACTATGGCTGCACCTTATCAGTATAACAGGGAACCAAGATGCCCTATCTTGACCCCTTTCTTTCCCTACCTTCTGAGCCTTTTCTGTAAATATGGACTCTTTAAGGATATGTGATCTGACCTTCTTTTTAAGAAATGAGATGGCCTTCTCCTTTTCAGCCTGTCAACCATGTGCTACACCACCCACAACCCCCTTCTATCCCACTATTGACCCAATAGTTAACAATGTGTTGAAACCCTAGGCGGTTTTATTGCTCTGATTTATGAGTTCACTGATATCCTATGACCTCTGGGTTTTGCTTTCCTTTCTTTTTGTTTTTGTAAATGTCTCTTTTGGGTTTATTTTGTTTGCTGTGACTGTACTTTGACTGAAATATGTCTTTTTTTCCCTTTTGAATTGCAGAGCAAATGTTAAAAGTACCCCACCAGAGAAAAGGGAGCAGTACTTGTAGTTTGGGAGAGTCTTCTGGCCTTACCATGGTTTAGATTCTGACAACAGGCAAAAAAAAAAAAAAAAACCTCTCTCTGAGGAATTCAAAACAGACAAACAGACACGATTAAGAAGTTTAAAGTGATCAAAAGCAACTTTACAGCATAAATTCGATGATTTTGAGATGTAACATTTCTTTTAGAAGATTTTAAGACCTTTTATTCGAGTGGATTGACACAGATCATATCCTTGTCTTGTCTGTTTTGTTGACTTTGGGAGAGACATTCATTCAGGGTATGTTTTCTATAACATTGTTAAAATGCCCAGGTGTATATACCACCTTTTTTTTTTTTACTACATATATAATGTTTTACTACAGTGCCTTATAACACATGTTTGTGCACATGTTTGTTTTTGATTTCATAGTCTCCCATCCCGTCTGAGGGATGTGTGTGTCCATAGTTCCTCTGCCTTTTTTCTATTGTTGGAATTCTGAAACTGAATGTGAAGCTACTCTACAGTACCACTTATAAAAACAACAAACACATACAAACACATGATAGATCTTCAGCATGGTGCCTTAGACCACTGTATGTAAGCCGCTGTGTGCCTGCTTCCATGTAGCCTGGATTGAGGATATACCTGATGGATTTGTTTTGTTTTGTTAATGCAGATATGATTTTGTGTGAATGACAGAGTCGTCGTCTTATTGACTCGAAGGATGTACTGTACTGTGTGCTGTCTCCTGTACTAAGGAACACCAGTTTGCTGAGTGTTCAAAAGCCCTTCTGATGCCTGCATTTATTTACCATGCCAGTCCTTTCTCTAATATTTACCTCCTTGATGTTGTGTATCATCTCATTTACAGTATACCCCTGTCTGTTTCTTTTAGAATAAAGTAAACAGAGACATAAATTCGGATCTGACTCAGTCATTACTCGATCTGCTCTTTCTAACTTTTTGCCCTTGTCTGACTTGGTGCTGGTTCCCCCCTCCCCACTCTTCCTTCCTCTCCAGCTCAAATACTTCTTTTGCACCCTGTTGTTCAATAATTGCAGACGTGGAATTCCACTTCTGCTCCACTGGACTGTGGTACAATCTCTTCAGTGGATTCACAAAGTTAACACCACCACTACAGCTCACAACAACACTTGGATTCTTTCCTTTTGCTGAGAAAAGGTTGTGTTTTATTTGCACTGATTTTACATCCCAACTGGTGAAACATTTTTAACATTAAGAAGTAAACTGCTTCATCAAAGTTTAGATTTACACGAATAAATAAAGTGTCTGTTTAGAAATGGTTAAAAAGAAAAGGAAATCAAGCAGTCAGTTGTGTGTTTGAAGTAGCTCAGGACCCTCTAAAAATTTGAATCATTTAACTCCTAGTTATGTGTCGGTCACGGATGAACCGGTTCAAAGAGCCGGCTCTTTAATATGAACGATGGGGCAAAATGACGTGATTCCTATCTGCTTTGTGTAGCAGAGTGGTTCGACAAGCAAGTCAGTGCATTCATTGGGTGGCTTCAGAGAGTTACAAGGGTCTGTAAGTGCAATGAAAACAATTGGCTACAGCAATTCACTGATATTAGAAAACATATTCTTTTACCTGTTAATACTCCAGTACAAAGCATGTACTGAATTATTTAAGAGGTATGTGTATACGGTGACCATACATCATCTTTAATCCGGACATGTCGTCTTTTTTGGGGGCTGTCCAGCCTGTCCGGGGAAGTTTATAGAATCCTTCAAATGTCCGGGCTTTTGTATGGAAGTTTTCGAGTTTGTGTCGGGTGGACTTACTGAGGTAACTTAAATTAACTATGTGCGACAACAACGCTAAATTTGGCTGAATTAGAAAATATATAAGGGGTAAAATGAGGACCTTTTTGAATGCTGAAAGAGCCGGCTTTTTTTGGTGAGCTGAGCCGAATGCTCTGTCTTACTGAAAAGAGCCGCAATTCCCTTCACTATTAACTCCAACAACCCTGTCAGAAAATGTAGTTTATCAGATTTTCACATGGTTTCTTTAAATGGGAGAATAATCCATTATTTTTTCCCCCATACTTCATTATAATTGCTCACAAGTGTTTAATACGCATTAATTTTGGAGCCTCTGCATGAATAATATTTCTGCGAAAGAAGAAGAACATTGGAGATTGTTTACAGAGAAGAAAGATAAGGTACTTCAGGGGGAAAAAGTCACAGTGAAGACACCAGTGATGGGAACAGAGTGTGGGTGTGAAATCTCACATACACCTGACATGTACGGATGCACCTACACCACCTATGACTATACAGTCTGTTCAACAACACCGATGTGCACCATCGGCACATTTATGACCATCATGCAAAAGAAAACAAACTCCCCACTGCCACATTTGCTCCGTGCTGTCCACATTTTTTTTTTTTACAGCAACTATGATTTATGCACTACCATGAAAATCTGGTCAAAATAAAACACGTATATCATCATCATCTGACTCTTTCATATTTCCCTCTTAGCAAAGCTAAATAGATACAAGATAGGATTAGTTTTACTCCAGCTGACACACAGAACCAAGGTTATTCAGATAATTGTGCTGGAGTTGAAACCAGAAATCAAATCATTATTGTTGACATAGGAATGTGTTTTAGACCCTCAGAGTGATAGATGATGTACTGGGACTTTACAAGTTGGGACTTGTGGTGAATTAGGAATGTCAGACTTGACAACTCTTACTGGTAATGACAACAACAATGTGACAACAATGCCACATGTTTGTGTGGGGTTGCCGCTCACTCATATTAGGGAGAGCAGACCAGAACACTTCACTGAGTTGTAGCTGGTTTTATACTACACCCACCACCACCACCCAAAACCAAAAATAGTTTTTTTTCAAAGTATTAAAAAAATAACTTCATTTATTAAAAACAACCGTAAAGAAATAGTTGCTGTTCCTTCTGATAGTCTTCTCTGCATTTTTAGATCATAAAGAAGCATGGATATTAATTTCAACCTGCTTTATAACAAACGAAAAACTCCTCCTGGAGCTTTAAATTACGGTAATGTTACTGAGATTAAATTGAGTTTGCTTCAGCTTGTATATCTATCATAAAAAATATAACAATTATTCTACAGAGAAAGCGGTAAATGCATGTTATTTAACACTATCTTAAGTTTAAAACTGCCACTGTTTTGAGTGTCAGCCTGAAGTGATAAGCAGCAGAGGTTGAAGCCAGATATTGATTATCTATGTGCTGGGGTAGGTGTCGCTACAGGAAGTTTTGTTAAAAGGTCCCATGGCATGCCAATTTCACACAACTTAAAATAGTCCCCTGCTGTGTTAAAAGCATGTCTGTTACGTCCTTCAGTCAAAATTCGATTTGGATCAATTATTTTGTAAATGAGCTGCACCTAAGCCAAGTCCACTTTACACCCATCTCTCTGGAAGGAGCTGTGGCTGTGCTCCAATAGCCATGTGCTAATGTTTACACTGGGTCGGTCATGGCTGCACGAAGATCGCTCGTACAATCCTACCTGTTTGACCCAGTGGGAGACGCTCCGGAAGAAACTCTTAGCCGCGTTCAAATACGGTCCCGTATTTGAACGCGGCTAACACTTCCGGGTAAATGCTAAAGCTACATGCTGCTCCGGAGGGGGATTTGTCCCCCGCCGCCGGAGTTGTCGGGGAAGAAGCGAGCGGCTAAAATACGGGAGGATCCGGTAAACCGGCGCGGCTCCGGTGTGTTTATCAAAGCGTGGTGGCCGTGCTGAGGCACCGGGGGAATTCAGGCTAAACAGTAAGTCAAAATAAAACGTTCATACTTACAGATGCCACGTTTGTAGTAGGATCACGGATAGTTGGTACGGATCCATTCTTTATCTTCAGACATCTAGCAAATCCAGCGTTGAACTGTCCCTCGTTGATAAAACAGTCCGAAGTGAAATGGTGCGCACATACGTACAGATATTGTGGAAGTGCCGCGGGTACATTCCCATTATCAATAAAATCCACCCATTGAGTCCTCAAATCCTCCGACGAGGGAGTTTTCAAAAGAGTTTTGTGCTCGTTTGTGCAGCCAACAACAGAGCAAACGCTGCCTCTTTTTCAGATCGTACTTTCGCCATGGTTCTAACCGGAGCAAAGCGAGTGAGCGGCCGGAAGTAATGGCGCTGTTTAGATCATATTTTGGGCAGGGCAGTGGGCGGCTCCATGGGCAGTACCATCAACCCACCAGCACTGACATGACGTCATGTCAGTGGAGTTTTCAGAACGGCTCTGAGCACACAGTTCCTAAATACAGAGATAACTAAAAAACGACTGGATGGAATTTTTTCGAACTTGGAGGGGATTGTAGCGGTTTTCTATCCCTGATATGCACCCCCCTCCCGTTAACAAAGTCTGTTTTTCATGTTTAGTGATAGATTTTAGTGCTTTGGATACACATACAGCCATCTCAGTGTTGTATGTGTGGGCTGTTGCTAACGATGGCATTAAAGCAAAGCTTGCAGTGCCTAGTTAATGTAATAGTTTTCATCTGCAGGGCTCCAGCCTTATTCTCTTATCCCCAGATGCACAGTGTCTGATGGCACATATGAACTGTTTAATGGCGCATACAATACTGAAGTGAGTCTCAGAAATCAAATCTTAGAACAAGGGTGAGGTGCTGGCTATTGCGGTAAAACATACCAGCGCTGTAGCTATTTTAAAGCAACATATCAAGTTATGTAGTATTAATGACAACTGTTCCTTAAAAGTTTCTGTTTCTGTCCTCTTTTGTTGGTTTTTGATCATTTATATGTTTAATGCTTGTCAGAGGGGCCCCTTGAGAATTTTTGCTTGGGGCCCCAGCACACTCTAGAATTGGGATGCAGGGAGCTGGATTTCTATGACTGGCCGTGTGCGGGTCTTGCTTGCATCCTAAAGGAATAACAGATATTAAATGTGCTTGCCGGTTTCTGGCCATGCTGAGGTAAAACCAGGGAACAAATGAATGACCATTAAGAAGTTGGAGAGTAGGAACTCAAATGTTATTTATAAAGATCGAAAACCAGTGACATTAAAACTCAATACCTTTTGTTTTCACTTCATCTCTCCCAAATAGTGTTATCAGAAATGAAATAAGGGGCAAGAGAAAAAGTACAGCAATTCCAACAAATTGCTCGCCTTGAAAATATCTGTGAACTGTATTTAATCTGTGCTACAGGCAAGGATCCGCACCCTCTCTGAGACCTTTTATGTGGATTTCACAGCCTGCTGGCTACATGAATCCACAGAATTTATAACTGGACGTCTGCACTTTTTATTTATTATGTTATTACTGGGCAGGTTTGCCTCTGACCCTTCATAAGGCCTCAGTTCCTTCAACTGCAACAAAAACAGTGATTGAACCCAGAGAACACCTTCAATATTATGCATGTGCGTGCACCAAATCTGATGTTGTACTGAAACTTGCTCAACAGAAACATCATATCACATCCTGTAGATAATAACCTTAACCTGTGGTCATTTTTGTAGCTCTCAGTTTGGGTCAAACATTTTAACCAAGATAAAGTTATCCCTCAGTTAACCCCGAACTATAATGACATAAACATACTTATAAGACTCAAAAATACATAAGGCCAAATTAATAGCCTAATAAACACTATATAACTGGTGCTTCTGCTGGGATAATGTGAGCAAACAAATGTGACCTACTAAAGTGTTGTGTCTTTGTGAGAGGAAGGAAAGTCTAGGGTGTGGTTGAGGTTACAGAGTTTCATTAACCAAATTTAACCAATCTCTCAGTTTTGTCGTGTTTCTGCTCAGAGCTGCTTCCTGCCTTTATCTGATGTGTTGATCACCCTGTACCACAGTGGATCTGCTGCACCACACACAACACATTTTGGGCCAAAACATGGATGAAATATAGAAGTTCAACAACCCAACTGCTGCTGCCC